TGTTTCTTACCAGAGAATAGTTCCGGGCTTCCTACCCCATGGCGTTACATGTTGACTCTCTTGTGTTTCTCCTTCCCAGAATCCTCCTGGACTCCTAGTCCCACCTATCTAGATTCCTATTGGCTCAACAGTGCTTTATTGACAAAGGACTTCCCCAACAATAACTGAATTCCAAAATCATCTAAAAAGGATAGGTGTAATTTCTCTTGTTTCAGATAGGTGGGGTTAAAGGGCAGGTGGCCTGCCAGGGGACATGGGGAAGTCCTTGTGCATTCTGTAGATCCCTCACCAACCTCTGTAACAAGTTCTCACAATAGCCCAGGCTAGTCTTCAGCTCACCAATCTCCTGTCTCTCAAGGACCCAGATGAATGTGTGGCTTCTGACCCATTGTCCTGAGGATTAATGCCAGCTATATTCCTCTCTTGGACAGGCAGGCATGTGAAAAACAACATGATCTCCCCAGACCACCTGGAGAATAAGCTGCACAGACTGGAACAAAATTTAGCTTTATGGATGGATAGGATGCAAAGGGCTCAGCCCCCATCCCACAACACCTCCTGTACTATACGGTGACAAATGAAGCAGTTATCACTCAGGGTTGGGCTCTCCCAGCACACAGGTGCAGTCTGTGTTTTCCAAGGGCATTCCTTCTCTAGGAAGAGGAAATAAGGGGTGACACGGAAGTGTTGACCCACTGTGGGAGCCATGCCTGACTATACCAGTGTGTATGTAGGGTCCAGAGCATTGTGTATTACTTTGGTTACTATTACTGTGATAAATGCCATGTCCAAAAGTAACCCCACGACTCTAACTTGTGTCAAGTTGACAAAAAACTAACCAGCACAAATTGGTTCTCAAGTTTCCATTGAGGGAACTGAGTAGTTATGTCCCAAGGTTCGCTTGCCTTTTGGTGGCCCTTCTGTCCCATCCCTGGTCCCTTAGCTTCTCTCTGGCTCATCCTAAAAGACACGCTCTGCTTGGTGTTGGGGCTTGTACTCCACTTTCTACAGAGCTACCTTTGCTCAGTGAAGTGGAGCATGGCCTATTGCCTTATGGAGTGGTTTGCAAATAATTCTGCTTAAAATAATTCAGTTCCTGATCATTCTGTTGTATCTGGATACTAATTAGAATTTTCACCTTTATTTGCCCTTTTGCCTTGTCTCTTGGCGCCTGAAGTTGACTGCAGGCCCTGTGCACGTGTGCTCCATCTCTGGATAGCTCGCCAAGGCCTCTCACAGCTGTTCTTGAGCAAAACACCGTGTAGTACTGCAGAAGTCAAATTCTGCCAAATGCCAAACCCAAGGACCCAGAACTCTCATTTACCTCGCTTATCATTATTTATTAAACTTATTATTTTATACTTTGTACTATTTATAGCATATATTACATGAATGTTGCTGCATGTGTATATGTATGTGTGCCTCATGCCTCTGGAGGCCGGGAGAAGACAGCAGAATCTTTGGAACTGGAGTTACAGGCAGCTATGAGCTGCCACGTGGATGCTGGGAACCAAACCCAGGTCCTCTGCAAGAGCACTCAGTGCCCGTAGCCACTGAGCCCTCTCTCCAGCCCCTACCTCTATCATCTTGCAACTTGACCTTTGATTTATTTCAGACTCTTCACCATTCCCCTTTGAACCAAAGCCTCAGGCATCTACCTGCATTTACTCCTCACCTCCTTTCTTCCATGCCCCTCCCCTCCTCTCTCCAGCCCTTCCCACCTCCCTCTCCTTTTGTATTAGTAGAGATTGAATTCAGATTCATCCATGCTAGGCTCATGCTTCACCACTAAGCACATCTCCAGCCCTGCTTTCGCCACAGCAGCCTCTCCCTCCTCCCCTTCTTCCATTTATTTATTTATTTATTTTGAGACAGGGTCTTACCAAGTAGAGCAGGCTGACCTTGAACTCACAGAGCTCCGCCTGCCTCTGCCTCCTGAGTGCTGGGATTAAAAGCGTATGCCACCACTGCCCAGCCAATTTTACTTTTTGATGTCAGAGTTCACAATTCATCTCCTCCTCTATCACGGGTGTATCTTTGCCTTGTTCTTTCTGCTTGTTTGGAAAAAACACAACGTTTTTAGAAAAGCTACAAGAATAGGGGAGTACAGAGAACAGCAGAAACCTTTGTATAGATTTACTTACTGGTTCTTCATGGAACTCCCTAGGCCTCCAACATGCTGTGGTCAGCACCTAAGCTCACTCTGCAGCCCTATATTGGTTTATCCTTAACATGTGACACACATTTAATCATCAGTTAGCTACTTACATTTTCTGAATCTCTTGTTAATAAATTTGAGCCTTTACCTTCAAACGCTTTAGTTACATTTTCTAAGCATTGAGATTTTCTCTTTTATGATGTCTTAGTTCTGTTGTTGCAAAGAGATCTGATGACCACAGCAGCTCCTGTAAGGAAAGTGTTTAATTGGCATTGGCTTACAGTTTGAGAGGTTTGTCCATTATCATTATGGAGGGAGCATAGTGACAGGCATGTTGCCTGAGAAATAGTTGATAGATACATCCTGATTTTCAGACAAGGAATTGAGGAAGAGAGAGAAGGAGGAGGAGGGAGGGAAGGGAGGGAGAGAGAGAAAGAGACAGAGAGAGAGACAGAGACAGACAGACACAGAGAGAGAGAGAGAGAGAGAGAGAGAGAGAGAGAGAGAGAGAGAGAGAGAGAGAGAGAGAGAGAGAGAGAGAGAGAGAGAGAGAGAGAGAGAGACTGGGCTGAGTGTGGACTTTTGAAACTTCCAAGCCCACCACTAGTAGCACACTGCCTTCAACAAGGCCACACCTCCTAATCTCTTCTCAAATCGTGTCGGTAGAGGTGTTTTATGTTTTGTGGGTTGGTTGAAGAAAGAAGTCACTCCAAGATGAGTTTTCAGGCCTGTGTGGTGCAGGAAGGTCTAGTCTCTGATGAACTGAACTCTGAACAGCCATACAAAGGCATTTTTACTGATTGTTAACACGAAGCTGTTTTTTGGGTAAAGCATGTCCTCATACTAAGATTCCTAATCTATCTGCCTCTCTAAAGGAGAGCATCATGTGCCTCATGGCTCTAGCCCTTACTGTGTGTGGTTTGCAGCACGTGATACTCCAAGAGCCGCAGGTGTGCCAGAGGCGGCTTGTGACCCAAGTCATGCGGAAGCTGCAATGCCCCTTGAGAAAAACAACTCTACAAATCATGGAAAACAATCACTGTTTTCCACAAGACTCTTTCCTGCTTTCCACGATGATTCTTCAAGGTCAAAGTAGTCTTAGAAAGCAACTATTCAGTACACTGTCTACCCAAGTTGCAGCAACTCTGCTAAATTCCTGCAAGTACCACTCGCGATGACTAAGCATTCAAATGTATAAACCTAGGGGAGTCATTCTTATTCAGAACCCCACAATAACCACAGGGTGACTATCTGTACCCATTAATTGAGAACTGAGGCCACACTTTTACCTGATTTTCTAGATACCAATTTTCCAGCTGACTTAGTGTGTTTTATTGCATTCTTCCTTCTATCACAAGACCTACCCCAGGGCAAGGTAACACACTAATTAATCTGCCTCTGATTTCCTTTAATCTAGAACATTCCCACAGCCCTCCTACACTATTTATTCTGGTGATCTTTTGTCAGGAAGACAGATCAGGTTTCTCATTTTACGTTTATCAGTTTCCTTGTGACAGCTGGGTTCCAGGTCCAGTGTCAGCACCGGAACAGTGACGCTGTGGCCTCTGCCCTCTGTCCTTACAGGCACATAAACTTCACCAGCCCTTCTGCAGTACCAAGGAGTGGTGACTAAGCCAGGCCTTGCCCAGCTCCTCCACTAAATTGTTACTAACTATTCCCTCGCGACTCAAAGCAAGCAGTCTTCAAGCACTTTCCTACTGAGTGACGTTCCCAGCGAGGTGCTCCAGGCCAGGCATGGTAGGGTACAGCTACAACCCTAGTTCTTAGGAGGATGAGATAGGAGGACTGCAAATTTGAGGCTACACTGGGCTACATAGTAAGTCTGAAGTCAGCCTGGATTTCGTATTAAGTTCCTGTCTCGAACAAAAGCAAAAAGATCTTCCAGGTTTGTGCTGTGTCTTTCTTGAGTCCCAAGGCTGTTCTGTAGGGCGAAGGCTTGACAGGAGAGCTTGAGGAGCTGGGAAGAAAAGGGCCCAGCAGCAGCTGTCATGGCCTGCAGTTTCAGGTGCTCAGGGCAGGCACATACCACTGTCCCAGTTGAGGGTGGGGCACTAGAGACCATGGAGACTCAGTCGATGACTCTTCTGCTGTGTTCTGCCTGCCTGAGAACACATGGGTTAGAAACTACCATTCAAGCCGGGCGTTGGTGGCGCACACTTTTAATCCCAGCACTCGGGAGACAGAGGCAGGTGAATCTCTGTGTGTTCGAGACCAGCGTGGTCTACAGAGTGAGTTCCAGGACAGCCTCCAAAACAATACAGAGAAACCCTGTCTTGAAAACAAAACAAAAAAAGAAATTACCATTCAGGGAGAATGGGGTATCACAGGACAGACACACCCATACACAACACCCAGAATACATCCTGAAAGGGGCGCTAAGTGCCGTAAGTGAGGCACATAGGTGCTTAGGGAGTTGGGGAGTAAAGATGTCATGACTGGGAGGGTTGCAGAAGGCTTCATTGAGCTGACTTGTAGTTTTGACCTTGAAAGTGTCTGGAGAAGGGCGCCTGGAGAAACTTGGGATCATGACTTAGAAATACTGGATCAAGTATGACTTTTCCACTTCATGTTGGTAGATCTAGGCTCTTCCAAGGTGCTGTGAGCAATATAAGAGCAACAAGGAGTGGATGGTGGATTTCTGTGAGTTTGAAACCAGCCTGGTCTACAAGAGCTAGTTTCAGGACAGGCTCCAAAGCCACAGAGAAACCCTGTCTCACCCCCCCACAAAAAAAAAAAAGAGTGGATGGCAGCATTTTTTTCTGCTTGATGCCCTGCCCTGCTTGGGAGGCACTGTGTGATGCCATCTAATTCTTATTTCCAGATACAGATGGAACATGCCCTTCCTTCACCAGACTGAGCTTCCACAGTGCAGTGGTTGGCACAGGACTAAACGTAAGACTGATACTCTACACACAGAGAAACCAGACCTGTGCACAACTCATCAACTCCACAACTCTGGGGAGCTTAAATGTGACCAAGAAAACTACCTTCATTATCCATGGCTTCCGACCGACAGGCTCCCCTCCGGTGTGGATGGAGGAGCTGGTACAGAGTTTGCTCAATGTACATGAGATGAACGTGGTGGTTGTTGATTGGAATAGAGGAGCGACGACCGTGATATACACCCACGCCGCCGGCAAGACCAAAAAAGTAGCTCTTATTTTGAAGGAATTCATCGATCAGATGTTGGTAAGATAGACTCCTCGTTTATCACTCTGGCTGCCTGTTTGGAAGCCTAAAGTCACGAAGCATCAACTGGTTGGATGGTGGAGGGCCTTTTTTTTTTTTTAACATTGTGCAAATCTAAAGTAACCCAGGGAAGGGAGTGTGGCTGCCCAGATGGTCTACCTCACAAGGTACGGGTTTGGGGCAAGATCATTGTAAATGTTGTAGATTTCAAGCCCGCACAAACTTCCAGAGATGATGGCAAAAAGTTTGTGAAAGGAGCTTCATCCTGCAGCTACCATGAAGGTGTCTCAGAGTAGGAGAGGCTCTGCCCAGAATTCTTGGTTTAAATACCTGGACCTCCATAGCCAAGAGACTAATGTCCGGATTATTCCAAACCACAATGCAAACATGTGGTCCAGTGACAGTCAACGTTAGAAGGCCTCCCAAGGCAGGGTCTTAGCTTTTATTCAACGAGTAATCTCATGAGCTGCTCCCCCTCACCTTTTTCTTTCTTTCTTTTTTTTTTTTTTTGATTTTTTGATACAGAACTTCTCTATGTAGCCCTGCCTGTCCTAGAACTCACTCTGTAGACTAGGTTGGCCTCAAACTCAGAGATCTGCCTGCCTCTGCCTCCCCTCCTTGACTCTTTCCCTGAGATGGTGATTCCATAAGGAGTTCATCAAAATGCAATATCATTCACTCTCTGATTTGGAATCCCTAAAGATGTCCCTGCTTGATGACCAGCAGAGCCAGGAATGGATGGGGATATGAAAGAGACATATTTGGGGCTAGGCTGGTTTGAATACTGCTCTGCAATCTACCTCCCCCCCAAAAAAACCAATGCTTTACTTGGGCCAGATGACTTCAACTCTGAACTTAAAATTTCTTCATTGGTGCATTGAAGCAGCAGAATCGACAATGCAGGATGCTCTAATTGTCCCTCTTTTTCTGCCATGCTGGGGATTGAACCTAATAACGTATGAAGCAAGCGTTCTACCACTGAATCACTTCTCCAGCCCTCTTGTGACATTCAGATGAGACTATGGGGGGCCAAGGAGTTGGCTTAGTTGATAAATACTTGCTGTACAAATATGAAGACCTGAGTTCAACCCCCAGAACCTGTATGAAAAATCTGGTCACAGCGCATGCCTGTAATCCTGGACTCTGGGGAGGGGAGAGGAGAGACCCTAAGGCTTGATGGCTACTCTAACAAAGTCAGATAACTCCAGGTGCAGTGAGAGCTCCTGCCTCAAAAAGTAAGGTGGGGAGCAATTGAGGGAGACATCTAACTTAAAAGGGAAGATTTATTTATTCTTTTTAGAAAGAATAAATGTGTGCATGTATGTATGTATGTTTGTTAGTATGTATGTGTACCATGTGTATGTATGTCTGGTCAGAGAAGTCAGAAGGAGGCATCAGATCCCCGGAACTGAGTCACATGCAGTTGTGAGCTGCTGTTTGGGTGCTGAGAATCTAACTTGGCTCCTCTGCAAGAGCAACACATGTTCTCAACCCCTGAGCCATCTCTCTAGCCCAACACATGACTTTATGACTTCTGGACTCCACACATAAGTGTATAGATGTACATGCATGTCTACCCACAAAAACACCCAGTAGCACAATAGATACAAGACTTAAGACTATTCCTCCAAAGTAAACAGCTAGGAAATCTCTGCAAGTGGGGTCAACTCCTTGAACTCTCTCAATTTGTTCATGGAATTCTAGGCTGAAGGAGCATCTCTGCATGACATTTATATGATTGGAGTGAGTCTAGGAGCACACATAGCTGGATTTGTTGGAGAAATGTATGCTGGGAAGCTGGGGAGAATCACAGGTAAGATTCGCATCAGTGACCAGGGTCTTGCCTGGGCAGCTGCTCTCCAGAGAACAGACAACCTACTCCTTGAGTCTGCAGCAAGCTCTCCCTCCCTGGTAGTGAACCTCCAAGTGTGGATCTGGATAATACTAACCTCAGCCTATGACTTAATAACATATATGTAGCACATTTTGCAAATTGTGTATGTCACAGAAAAGCTGGTTTTCACTTTATTTCTCTTATGGTAACACCTCCCCCACCCCAATATCCCATGGGGATTTGATCTCTGTCCAGAGAGCCGCCTCCCCTTGAGTTAATTCTGGTGGTCTCAACTACACGGCTAGAACTCGCCAGGTGTGGCAGAGACTCACAGAAGGGAACGGAGACGGGAATTTCGGCAGCTGGGCCTGACTGTCTAAAAATCAGCTTTCTAGGGAATTTGGGACGAAAATACCCTGAACTGCAGCAGACCAAACCCTAAAGGACAAAGACTCCCTTTCTGGACCTCTTGCCTGGAGCTTAGGAATTTTCCACAGCTACTCACGGGGCTGATGGCTGCCCCAGATTCAGGAACTTACCATTCACCTTTTCCAGGAAACATCCTCACGCCGGGTTTTTAATGTAGAGGTTCTATGAGACAGCAGTATGGAGGAGAGGAAATGTAAACAACTCAAAACATGCATTTGGGGGGTAACCTCACCTCTCCTACCCCATTGAGTGGCATTGCCTCCCAAAGTTTGTCCTGAATATTTTTTTCCTCATTTTTTTTCCAAGACCAAGGCTGTCTCGATTACCTAATTTACACACTTTTCTAGAGAAACAAAGTAGTTTTAAAAGTTCAGAACGTATTGCCACTATAGTTTGAAAAGCAATGTGTCTTTATGAAAAAGAGAGGGAGTGAGAGTCCTAAGAGAGACAGAAAAGGTAGAGAGAGAGAGAGAGAGAGAGAGAGAGTCCTCACACTTTGAAAGGCCAGCTGGCTTGGGTTTTCTTCACCATAGGAGTCCCTTTTCTGGTAGATGGGACTGTTTCTTTCCAACGCTGTGTAGACGTGGGGTGCAGTGTAGGGGAGGGGTGTTGGCTTATAGCAATTGCTGGTTTCTGTGCTGACTTCTTTGGTAGTGACTAATCTCAAACAGCCTAGGTCACTGATCACAGACCTGGGAAGAAATGGGTCAAATCTACCCTTTGGCCAAATGCTTTGTTCTTTCTGTGCCTCTTGACACATCTGTCCTCCCGACTACCGAGAACTTCAGTGTACCTAGTTTCCAACTATGGAAATTCCCCAAGCCACGCTTTCTGCTACTCTTGGCCCATGTGACCTGCCCTGTGACCTGGACTCAACTTCTGGCCCACAAGTCAATTTTCTACCTCCATGGTATCTCCAGTTCTCATCACCTCTGGGCCTCAGGTTTAGTCCCAGCTTCTCAGAATTCTCTGTCCCAGTGTCCTTGCTTGGGAGTGCTCACTGGGTCACAGGGTGGGAATGTGATTTGTCACCCAAGGACACAAGTCACCATTATTTATTGAGACAAGGATAGGTCGGCCTGGACCCTGCCTGGCCCTTCACCCTGCTGTCTTTGCCATTTTCCTCTCTTATGTACATCTTTTCCAGGCATATTTCTCTGTTTGACTTCTCACTAGGTTCGTTCATTCATTCATTCATTCATTCATTCATACATTTGGTGCTGGGATGAATTCCAGGTCTTATGTACACTAGGTCCAGGCTCTGCTGTGAGTTCTCTCTAAGATCAGAAGTCTGTATTTTTAACTAGCAGATGCAGGTGGTCTGACCACCACCCTTCGAGAAACAATATGGTAGCCATTAGTTACCTGCAGTCACTGGACACTTGAAATGCAGCCAGTGCAAACTGAGGTGGCTTATAGGTAGAGAATATGCACTGGCTTTTGAAGACTAAGGTTCTGACAAAACAAAAAGTAAACCTCACACTTCATATTGATTGCATTGACAGGATACTTTTTAGATATACTGGTTAAGCAAGATGCATTGATTTTGCTTGTTTGTTTTGTTCTGTTGAGACAGGGTCTCTCTCTGCATCCCAGGTTGGCCTAGAAGCTCACACTAAGCTCAGGCTGGCCTTAAGTTCATGGCAGTCCTCCTGCCTCAGTCTCCTAAGTGCTGGGGTTACAAGTGTGATCTACCATACCTGGCTGATTTTGTTTTGTCTATGATTTTTAATTTTTAAATAATAGTTTCTATTTTGTAGTTAAAAGAATTCAATATTTAACTTATTGTTATATTTAACTAAAATATTAACTGGCTTTAATTATAAACATAAAATATTGATTTATGTTCTATATATTTTATCCGTGTGTGTGTGTGACACAGCATGCATGTAAAAGACAGAGAACAGCTTACAGCGTCAGGTCTCCTTACATTGCACAGGTCCTGGGATTGGACTCCGGCCCTCAGGCTTGGTGGCACACACCTTCACCCACTGAGCCATCGATGCCCATTTTTGCCTTCTTGAAAGAAGATGTGCCTCTGTAGCCCAGGCTAGTTTTGAACTCACTTGTGTCCCAAACTAGACTTGAATCTGACATATTCTTGTCTTAGCCCCTTACGTTCTCCCATGTCTGGTTTAAAATTTCTTTTTCTTTCTTTCTTTTTTATTTTTTGGTTTTTCAAGACAGGGTTTCTGTTTAGCCTTGGCTATCCTGGAATTCACTCTGTAGAGCAATCTAGCCTCAGAGAGATCCACCCGTCTCTACCCCACAAATTTGGGCTAAAGTTTTAAATTTAATATTTTTCATGCTGGGAATTGAACCCAGGACATCGCTGCATGTAACGTAAGCACTCTATGATCTGAGCGATATCCCCAGCCTTATATTCTTTTGTAAAAAAAAGATTTAGTGTTACATTGTGTGTGTGCACCAGTGTCATGTGTGTGCAGGTACCTGCAGAGGGAAGAAGAGGGCATCAGATCCCCTGGTTGTGTGCTGGGAACTGAACCTGGGCCCTCTAGAAGATCAGCATTCTGCTGAGGTGTCTCTTTAGCCCTCCTATAGTCCTCATATTCTCTCTCTCTCTCTCTCTCTCTCTCTCTCTCTCTCTCTCTCTCTCTCTCAATGCATGAGTACTCTGCATTTATATCTGCATCAGATTCTGTTATAGATGGCTGCGAACCACCCGATTCTGTTATAGATGGCTGTGAACCACCCTGTAGTTGTTGGGAATTGAACTCAGGACCTCTGGAAGAGCAGGCAGTGTTCTTAACCTCTGAGCCATCTCTCCGGCCCCCTCATATTCTTAAAATCAAGTCCCCATTTGTTTTCAAAACAGGTTAGTCTGGGCGATGGCTCAGCAGATAAAAGCACTTGCCAAGGAAGTATGAAGGTCAGAGTTTGGATACCCAGCATTGACATAAATGCCAGGGGTGGTGCCTACCCTGAAATCCCAGCATTGGGCTGGCAGAGAAAGGATCCTTTGAGCAATCTGGGCTAGATCGGGTTCAAGTGAGAGATGCTACGTTAATACATAAGGTGGAGGGGGATGGAGGAAGAAACCAGTGTCAGCTCCTAGATTCCATGTGCACACAGACAGACAGACAGAGAGACAGACAGACACACACACACAGTGACTAATATACATAAACACATGTATGTAACACACATTTTAGATGACTTCTAGAAACTTTTCATTACAAATATGGATTCAGGTTCTGGACCATGATCTTCCCTCCATTTTATAAGTCCCTGTATGTGTGACTAGCACCCCTGCCCCTCTCAATACCCCGAGCTAAATGTTTTATCTTCGGGAGGCTCCAAGCCAGGGTGCTCACTCTATGTTTCGGGCTGTAAGTGGTTGGTAATGACTGATGGGGGCAGGGAGGAGATCCGGGTAAATTCTTTCCTAGGCTGTGGAGTTTTTTTCCTTCTGTGTTAAGAGCTGTTGTGTTGAGGCCACCTGTTGGCCTTGAGTGACGGGGTGTTACCTCATACCCTCCCACACCAGTTTCAGTTGGAGAGAACAGAAGAAGAAGGCTGGGGGTGGAGGAGTAAGAAAGGAGGGAGGTAGATGAAGAAATGTTCCAAGGGACCCCAAGGACATCGGGAGAGAGGAAAACAAGAAACAGAAGCGAAGGTGCTGTCTCTTAGATTGTGTGTGGACCACGGGAAGGGGAGATGTTCCCAAAGTGACACCCACAGGGACTGGCAGTGTAGCAGATCACATGCTTAGCGTGCGTGAGGTCCTGGCTTCCCTCTCCAGCACCCGAAACAAGAGTAAAGTGAATTTAAACATAAAACGATACTAATGGGTTAAACTTCCAAGGAAGAGGACTTTGAAACCCTCTTGGGCACAGGTTCTAGTAAGTGGGACCTTTGTCACACTCTGCTCTTTAATTTCTCATTTTGAGGTTCTAGAATCCCATGTGTGATTCCCCGGACTTTCCAGGTGTTTCGTTGCTGTGGTAATGAAGCCCAGGTAACACTGACCAAGACCAAGAAATCCGTTCAGGCATTATGGGATGCATTTGACCTGCCTCATCTGTAGTGTGACATGCTCTTCTCAGCTTGGTGCTGAGAGACCATGAGCACGGCAGATGGAGGGGGCTGTATCGTGGAGCCAGTCTCTAGTCAGGATGCTTAAATGGGATCACACGGAACACCTGCTGCCTCCTGGTTTTGTGATGTGGTTCAAATGAGTCAGTAAATGAATAAAGGTGGAGATGAGTAGGGTTCTGAAATCCCTAAAATGGGGAAGCCCAGAGGTGATGAATGCTTTTAATCCAGGCACACAGGAGACAGAGAGGCAGACAGATATCCAGTTTGGGCTACATAGCTAATTCAAGATGGTCTGGGGTATATGATGGGACTTTGTCTTAAAACTAAGGGCTGGGGATGTAGGTGGGTGTAGGTAGCTTCGTGCATGAGGGTTTAATTCCCAGAGCTACCGTTTTCTCATTCTCTGACCGTTTTTGCCAAGGAGCCTTCCTACCCTCCTGACCTCACCTGTGGGGCTCTCGCCAGCTGGTCCTCCTCATGCAGCCTGCATGCTGTTCTCAGAGCCACTGCGAGGGCAACCATCCACACTGAGAAAGAGCTACAGGCTGTGGACTGCAGGGATGTTAGCGATTACTCACCCAAGCAGCCCTGAAGCATGTGAGCCATCCTCTCCGAGAGGGATCAAAGACAGCCTCCGTGATTCATGGCGTGGGGTTGCCAAGCTGCTTTGCTTTTCTTTTAGGTCTTGATCCTGCGGGCCCTTTGTTCAACGGGAAACCCCCTGAGGACAGATTAGATCCCAACGATGCACAGTTCGTGGACGTCATCCACTCGGACATTGATGGTAACACTCCTTTGTGGATTAGTGGCCCCAAGACCCACAGTCTCCCCTGCGGACCCCCTGATGCTGCCTTCCCCCAGTGTGGGTAGGGGGGTCCAGCAGCACTAGGTCCAGGACCTGCAATGGAGCAGTCATGATTTCCCTTTGTTTCCAAAGTGATAAAGTCCAATCAAGAAAGGGCTGGCTACACACAGACAGCTGGCTTCAGACACACAGTTTCCAAGGTGGCCTGACTCTTTTATTTCCCTGTGCTGAGAGCGCAGTGTCTTCCCACCCAGGGCACCCCCGCCCCACTCCTGGCCCTTTGTAGATCTTCCAGGTCATTTCTGTCTCTCAACATGCCAGTTTCCCATCTGCTGTTTGGTACATGGTGGTGTGGTTGATGTTCATGGTTGGGTGCCCAGGCTACATAGCAAGACTGTGGCTGAAAAGAATAAAATAGGTAGCTATTGCTGTGTCCAAATGCCTTGGGGAGGAGCCAACTGGGAACTTAGGGAGGAGGGATGGAACAAAGCAGAGTGCTCATTTAATTGTACTTTTATGATACAACTAGCTAACAAACCAGGGACCTGGGACCGAGGACAAGCTCAGTGGCAGTGTTTGTGTAGCATGCCCCAGCCCCAAAAAACAAAGGCCAACAGACCAGCATGGGGCCTGTGAGACTAAGGGTACTCGCTGTCACTGAGCCTGACAGCTTGAGTCTCATCCCTGGAACCCGTGTGAGGCAAGGGAGAGACCTCATTCCCGGAGGATGTCCTCTCACCTCCAAATGCATGCTGCACATGCGCACCAAACTCACACAGGCACTACGAAACAAAGTTTTTGTTTATCTTTAAAAATCACCCTGTATCATGGGCACTCCTGTGTGACAATCAGTAACTTTCTTTTGGGGAAAATGTCTTTTTGTGGACAGCTGCATTACCATCGTGGCATTTACAAAGAAGTTTCTTGCTTAGGTGGAGCCCTTCAGTGCCATTTTGAGATTGACAGAAGAAAACAATTTGCTTTTTATTTATTTATTTATTTTTGGGTTTTCTGAGACAGGGTTTCTCGGTGTAGCTCTGGCTGTTTTAGACCAGGCTGGCCTTGAACTGAGTACTGGGAGTAAAGGCGTGCACCACCACCACCACCACCACCACCACCACTGCCCAGCTTGCTTTTCATTCTTGAGAACTGAGTTTTGTGTTACAGTGAGGCAGGCCCTAAGTTTTGCTCTTTCTGGTGGTGTTGAGCCGACCCCAAAGCCTACCAGCCTCTGCCCTTCATCTGAGTTGCTTCCTCTGACTTCCCCAAAGCTGAGCTGCAGACCTTATGAAAATGGGAACAGTGTGTGGGATGCCCAACGGACACACAGAGTCTAAACATGTGAAAACTATTATCACGATTAAGGCAATATGCTGCATATAACACCTGCATATAGACACGGATATGTAAACATTTACTTCTTTTTTTTCTGAGACTCCTGCTGTGTACCCCAGGTTGGCCCGCCACTGTGCAGCACAGGCTGACTATAAACTGTCAACCGTTTTGTCTCAGCCCGTGGTTGCTGGATTATAAGTGTGCACCACCACACCTGGTTCTGTGTTAAAGCTTTAATAAAACCTTTTCTAATTATTTTGGGTTTACAAGACTGGAGAAAATGAAGTTATTACGTTTCCAGGTTCCCATTTTTAAAAGGATTTCCATTCGTTTTATCATCTTAGACAACAGTCTGCTCGTCTGAAGTAGGATCTCACTGTTTACCCCAAGCTGGCTTCAAGCTCATAGCAATCCCCCTGCCTAAGCCTCCTAAGTGCGGGTATTACAAGTGTGAGCCACCCCACACCTGGTTTAGATCCAAAATGTAAAGTTTTCTTTTTATGCATGCGGTGTTTTGACTGCATGTGTGTCTGTGCGCCATGTGTGTGCCTGGTGCCCACAGAGGCCAGAAGAGGGCATCGGATCCCCTGAGACTGGAGTTACAGTGCCCACTGAGGGAGTGGGGGTGGGGAACCCAGCCCAGCTGCTTTGCAAGAGCAGTCAGTGCTCCTAACCACCGAGCCATCCTCTAAGATTTTTAATTTACTAAGTAAAAATCGTTTCATATTTCATTTTGTGAAGATTTATACAATGCAAAAAGAAGTTAAGGATTCTCCTGGCAATTAGAGGCTCTGACGAAATGTAAAGAAGGAGGCCATCCTGCCAGCCCTGCAGTGGCCAAGTGCCCAGATCTGTCTTTAGAAACAGTGGGACTCCGTTCCTCCACCACATGGTCTCACAAAGCACTGATGGACATGCTAACGCAATCTGCTTGCTGCTTTCTAGTGAACTAGCCAACAGCTTTGGGCAAGACCTTTAAATAGGTATAAGGGCCATAATAACAACCAAAAACCCAGTCCCTGCCTAACCCTGCGCTCAGGTGAACTTCAGGATGTGCAAGTTCCCTGTGCAAGCCTTGTGCAAGCCTGGTGTGCTCTCTTTTAGCGCTGGGCTACAGGGAGCCACTAGGAAACATGGACTTCTACCCGAATGGAGGGCTGGATCAACCGGGTTGCCCAAAGACAATATTTGGAGGTAAGTGTCATACGTTATCCTTTGCGAGACCATAATTTGGAAAGGCATATTAAAATATCTGATGCTAGCAGGTGTAACAATACATACTGTAACATAGCACCAGGGATGGAGGCAGGAGGATCGGAGTGTTCAAACATAACCACAAGGCCTTGTCTCAAAAACAACTCAAAACAAAAACCAACCAATAAATTACCTGCTATCAACGGCATTGTAAATAGAAAACAGACTGCCTGAAGAAAATAGAGGTGGTGGAAATATATGTCACAAAACACAGATAGGAAGTTGGAGGACAGCCTCTAGGGTGCGATGAAGGGCACAGTTAGAATCGGTCCTCCCTAAGTGCTCTGACTTATTCCTCATCCACAGGAAGATCGTCTTGGAAAGGGACGCTCTGGGGGCTGGAGAACTGGCTTGGGAGAAGCATGCTTCCTGCCCAAGCACAAGGGCCTGAGCTCAGATGCCAACACCCGCAGGAGAGCTGTGTGAGGCGGAGGCAGGAGGATCACTGAGGCTTTCTGGACACCAGCCTAGGGCCACAGTCAGCAAGAGACCCTGTCTCCTCAGAGAATAGGGAGGAGTGATAGAGCAGCCTGCAGGAGCCTGCACACACTGGAACGTGTGCATCCCCATGTGCACATGTACTAACACACTACAGTCACACGTTTGAAAAAAGCTGGAGATGATTTGTACAAAATGGCATCGGTAAAGGGCCACATTGGAATGGCAAAGTGTTTGAAAATGATGCAGCTGAAGTGATGTAAGTGGGCTTAAGCATACGACCCAACATCCAAATCCTGTCCTGTGCGAGTGACAGCGTGATCACATGTATCCCCTGCATTGTTCCCAACACCACAGCATCTGCTAGAGGGAGTCCTCAGGAGCAGTAAGGCCTGCTGGCCTGCCAGGTTTTACCTCAGTCCCGTTTGGCCCTGGTACTTCATGGCTCTTGGTCCCAGTTTGTTCTCCACTGTCTCCTGTGTGGACTGGACTGAGCACTGGAAACAGAAACGTGGATGTAGTTAGTTGCAGCACTCTGTGCCCCAAGCCCCAAGCCGTCACTCACAACCACAGTGCTTTTTCCCTTGGTTTACTGCTTCCTATTTAGACCCGATCTTACTTATCACCCACCTTGGGGCTCAGTTCTTTTTGGAACCACACCAGCAGCTCCTATCACCTCCAGTTCTTCTGATACCCAACTCTGCCCATCACCAGCCTCCAGGTGCACCCATTAGAAAGAGTACTGCCTCTGACTGCTCCTGCCGATTTATGACTCTCCCTGCCATGACCGGTCGTTATTTAGTCCTTCTCAATTCACTCTGGTGGCAGAAACGGAACCCAGCCACCTGGAGATGTCCCAAGACCTATTGAATTGAGTCCAGGAAAGCTTGGTAGCTTCTCGCTGGCCCTCTTGTTACCTTTGTTGACTCTATAGGGCCATCCCTCCTATAGCTCCGCATCTCCCTACTTACTGTTACAGATGAGCTAGTCTTAACTCCCCAACCTCCTGTCTCAGTCACTGCTCTATTGCTGTGAAGAGACACCATGACCAAGGCGAGTCTTACAAAGAAAGCATTCACTGAGGGTTTGCTCACAGCTTCAGAGGTATCTCCATTAGCTCCATATCTTCATGGCAGGGGCATAACGGCAGATAGGCATGGTGCCGGAGAAGTAGCTGAGGGCTACATCCTGATCCAGAGAGAGAGAGAGAGAGAGAGAGAGAGAGAGAGAGAGAGAGAGAGAGAGAGACAGACAGACAGACAGACAGACAGACAGACAGACAGACAGACAGAGAGCTTGTTATGGGCTTTTGAAACTTTGAGGTCCACGCCCAGTGATGCACTCCAATACAACACACCTCTTTTTTTTTTTTAAACTGTACCATTCTGTTCTCCATCCTTAGTCCCTACCATAGTGGCAGAGAATAAGTGCTCAGAGTATTTGTTGAGGGAGTGAATGAGTGGGTGAATAAATGGACAATGAATAAGACGACAGCCAAACTCACACCAGTATTATTTATTGTCATTGCTATTTTTCTTTTTACGTGTGTGTGTGTGTGTGTGATGTGTGTGTGTGTGTGTGTGGTGTGTGTATGTGTGTGTTTGGTATGGTGTGTGGATATGATATGTGGGTGTATATGTGTGTGGTGTGGGAGGTGTGTGTGTATGTGTGTGGTCTGTATGTGTGTAGTGTGTGTGATGTGTGTAGTGTGTGTGTGTAATGTGTGTAGTCTGTATGTGTGTATGTGTGTATGTGTGTAGTCTGTATGTGTGGTGTGTATGTGTGTATGTGTGTAGTCTGTATGTGTGGTGTGTGTGGTGTGTATGTGTGTGTGTGGTGTGTGTATGTGTGTAGTGTGTGTATGTGTGTGTGTTGTGTGTGTTGTGTGTGTAGTGTGTGGTGTGTGTATATGTGTATGTGTGTACTCTGTATGTGTGTATGTGTGAGTATGTGTGTGTGTGTGTGTGTGTGTGTGGTGTGTGTGTGGACTTGTGTGCAGTGAGTCTCCTCTTGTCTCTGCTGTGCCTGTGTACCCCTGGCCAGCTGGTCTGTGAGCTCCTAGGTAATCTTCAGTGACATCAACTGACTTTGCTTTCTGACAATAACCGTAGGACTCTGATTACCCATGAAGCTTTGCACATCTCCTTTTACTGACAGACTCGTGCAGTAAAGGGCTGCTTTCCTGCTTCACACTCCCTCAGCGTCTGTACACACCGTTTGCATGGACTTTTCCCAGCTCGGGCTTCCCCAGGGGCCCCCACCCTCCACCCCCACTCCCCTCACCCCCACTCCCACCCCCACCCCCACTCCTCTCACCCCCACCCCCACTCCCCTCACCCCCTCACCCCCACCCCTCACCTCCCCACTCCCCTCACCCCCCCACTCCCACCCCCACCCCCCACCCCCACTCCTCTCACCCCCCACCCCTCACCCCCACTTCCCTCACCTCCCCACTCCCACCCCCACCCCCACTCCCACCCCCACCCCCCACCCCCACTCCTCTCACCCCCTACTCCCACCCCCACCCCCCACCCCCACTCCTCTCACCCCCCACTCCCACCCCCACCTCTCACCCCCACTTCCCTTACCGCCACTCCTCTCACCCCCACTCCCACCCCCACCCCTCACCCCCACTCCCCTCACCCCCACCCCTCACCCCCACTTCCCTCACCTCCCCACTCCCACCCCCACCCCCCACTCCCACCCCCACCCCCACTCCCACCCCCACCCCCCACCCCCACTCCTCTCACCCCCCTACTCCCACCCCCACCCCCACTCCTCTCACCCCCCACTCCCACCCCCACCTCTCACCCCCACCCCCCACCCCCACTCCTCTCACCCCCCACTCCCACCCCCACCCCCACTCCCACTCCCACCCCTCACCCCCACTCCCCCTACCCACATTTCCCCCTCACCTCCACTCCCACCACCCCTCCCCCACCCAGGTCTCACTAAGCCTGGCCTCTTCCTGTGACATCAGCTGAGACTAACCTTTCAATGGTCCCCTCCGGGACACTCTGTCCAGGCTGAGCCACACACAGGTCACTAGCTTTCTGGCTTCTAATTTCGCTTTGAAAATGAGAAGAGTTGCTGTTAAACCAATTCAGCACACCTGCCCTGGACTCCACCTGCTTCATTCTTGGAGTGACCCTCGGGCAGCAGCTGCCTATTGGCCCACATGAGGTCAGGGGTCAGAGGTCAGTTCCAGAGAGACCATGCTCACAGGATTTACAGCCCAGGCCCATCCTTTTTGTAAAAAAACAAAAAAACCAAACACAATAATTATCTTAATTAACTGTGTGTGTGTGTGTGTGTGTGTGTACAGGAGTGTGTGCATAGGAGCAGGTGCCCGAGGAGACCAGAGGTGTCAGATCCTCCGGAGCTGGAGTTACAGGCAGTTGTGAGCTGCCTGATATGGGAGCTGGGAACTGAACTTGGGTCCTCTGGAAGAGCAACAGATTTTTTTCCTTTCACAGAGTCAATGCTCCAGCCACCCCTCCCCCCACTCCTTTCTTTAGTTTCTTCCTTAGATAGGGACTTGGCTCTGTGCCCTGCTTGCCCAGATAGCCCTGGTACTTACCTGGCTGGCCTCCTTGTCAATGCAATAAGTAAGCACTCACTCAAAGAGAGTAAGAAATAGTTTATTCTGAAGCCAAATACAATGACCATGGCCTAGAAACATAGCTATAGTCACCTCAAATCCAACACAGTAATAATTTCATTAAATTTACTTCTAATCTTCTAAAATTGACAGCTTCATTCAGTTATATGATTAAAATTTTCACTTTCACCCTGATTCCTCTTTCTCATCCCCTTCCCATTCCTGCAAGAATTGTTCTTAACAATTCCTGCTTTCCTGTCTCCCTTGTGTGTGTCACCACTGAGTTCATTTCTTATCTGGAGTGTGGGTGGGAAGTTATTTACAGGAGCAAGGACAGTTCCGCAGAAGAAAATGGCAACTGCCCCAATTACCCCCGCTGCCACCAGTCCCCCAGGGAAGGATGGAGTCTCAGAGGCCTTTCTCTCCTCTCATGAAACTTTAACAGTGACCAACAAAGGAGATCATAAATCCAGAAACTTTAAACGGAGTGGTGGAGAGGCCGAGAGACCCCAGGTGTAATCCTAGCACCCACGTGGCAGATCACAGCCATCTGTAACTCAGGTTCCAGGAGATCTGATGCTTGCTTCTGTCTCCACCGACAACAGGCACACATGTGTCTCACAGACATACATGCAGGAGACACCCCTACACATGAAATAAAGGAAAACATTCAAACACTGTCATACACATGAAATAAAGGTAAAGGAAAACATTCAAACACTGTTCTAAACATCAGGTAGGGAGGTTACAGCGGGTCATCTTTTGTCCACATTTGTCTTCTGAGTTTCTGATTCTCTCTTTGAAAGAGTCTATTTGTCCTCTTTTTTTTTTTTTGAGACAGAATCTCTTGTAGCCCAAGTTGGCCTTGAACTCTCCTGATCCTCCTGCCTCGATCCCCGACAGTCACCATCACAGGTGTATGCCACCACTGCCCAGCTGGGGGCTGGTTTTCTTCTTCCCCTTCACGGTGCCACACAGAGGCCGCTCTAGTCGGCTGTTTTACCCCGAAGGCCTTTTTACTTTTGACAATGAATGAATGAACACTGTGGCCGTGATAGGACCTACTCTTTGGCCCTTGGTCTTTGGAGTTGCAGGAGGTGTCAGTGCTGGCCAGTGACCCACCAGAAGCTCCTCTCGCTTCTAATTTAGCTCTTAGTAGGAAGAGGTCCCAGCCCTTGCAGAGTCTGTGTAACTTGTGCTCTGTTACCGCCCACCAGGTCCTAATTGCCAATCTGATGTGTGCCTGGCACTGTTCTAGGATCTACAGCAGTGGATGAAATGGGCCCAGTCCTCCTTTTCAAAGGAGCCACAATTATTCTATGAAAGAGGGAAAGTAATTTAAACAAAAAGATTAAAAATGGCTGGGTGGTGGCACATGCCTTTAATCCCAGCACTTGAGCCAGAGGAAGGCTGATCTCTGTGAGTTCTAGGACAGCCAAGAATGTTACACAGAGAAACCCTGTCTCAAAAAACAGAAAAGAGAAAAAAACATTAAAGTGTGTGTGTGTGTGTGTGTGTGTGTAACCCTTAGAGGCCAGAGGAGGAGCTGGAGTTATAGGAAGTTGTGACTCACCTGCCATGAGTGTCGGGAACCTAGCTCAGGTCCTTCGCAAAAGCAGCGGGAACAGCTAAGTGCCCCTAACCACTGAGCCACCTCTCCAGACCCAGGAAGCAGTTCTTGGTTAGACCAAATGTTGAAATTTAAGGGTGAATGGTTAGTTTTTTGGAAGCTCAGAAGTCTACCACATGGTGCATCCCTGTGGTTCCATCACTGAGGAGGTGGAGGCAGGAGGATTGTGAGCTTGGGGCTAGTTTAGACACTGAGATCCTGTTTCTAACAACAGAACAACCAGAGAAGCTGTACTGAGGGGCTAGGTGACAGAAAAGGACTATTGAAGTGGGATTTGTTCATGATGGTTCCCTACACTGATGGTTCAAATTTTGTGTCTGTTAAGAAAAACCCAAATAATAAGGCAGATTCATCAGGCCAATTTGTTTCAAGCTATATTTAAATAGTAGATAAGGAAAAATAATTAATGACTAATTTACTTCTTCTATTTATTTATTTTTGATTTTTTGAGACAGGGTTTCTTTGTGTAGCTTTGGAGGCTGTCCTGACACTTACTTTGTAGACCAGGCTGGCCTCAAACTCACAGAGATCCACCTGCCTCTGCCTCCCTAGTGCTGGGATTGAATTAGTGGGCCACCAATGCCCAGCTCCTAGTTTACATTTTTTATTGAATTCTTTTCACTTATTTTACATAACCGACCAGTTTTCCCTGCCTCCTCTCCCCCTTTCCCTCCCCTACCTCCCTTCTAACCCCCAATTGACATTTTTATTACAGTTTTTATGTATGGTCACATGCATGCCAGATGTTAGAAGATAGCTTGAGGAACTCTGTTCTCTCCTTTAACTCCGTGGCTCCCAGGGTTGGAACTCAAGCCATCGGGGTCGATGGCAGGTGTCTTTGCCTGTTCAGCCATCTTGCCAGGCAGAGCTGCTCTTTGGATGATGGTTTTGGCTGACTTTCTGGTGCCCTTTTGCTAGCTGTCAGTAAATATGGATGTCAACCTGACCAGCAGCTACCTACTCTGTGAATCGACTTTACAAAATTAAACCTGGGCTTTGGAGTGCTTCAGATTCACAGGTGTGTTGTGGCAAGGAGTGACCCCAACTCCCGAGCCTCCTCTAAGTCGTCAGTATTTGGGAGTAGTCCTGAGCTCTGCATTCCATCAAGCATAAATATGACGAGAGTGATCTGTTGCTCCAACACTGAATGGTAGCATATGTCTGTGTGTGTACAGGGGTGATTTAGCACTGGGTGTGTGTGCCCATGCATGCATGTGTAGAGGCCAGAGGATGGTCTCATTGGCTGCTCTCCATCTTGTTTTTTGAGACAGAGTCTCTCACTAAACGTGAGGCTCCCTCTGTAAGCTAGCCTGACTGGCCAGCAAACCCCCGGAAGTCACTTGTCTCCACATATCCAGTGCTAGGGTTACAGACCCGTGCTGCTCTACCTGGCTTTTACATTGGGTGCCAGGGATCCAAGCTCAGGTCTTCATTCTGTGCTGAGCTGTGTCTACAGCCCTCCCCTTTAGTGATTCTGGAGATTGGATATAGAGCCTTGTACATACTAAGCAAGCACTGTACCAGTCAGTGTTACCCCTCTCCCACCTGAAAGTGTGTGTGTGTGTGTGTGTGTGTGTGTGTGCACGCGCGCGCACGCATGCCTATGTGTTGTGCATGACAGCATGCTTGCCTGTGGAGGCCAGAAAAGGGTGTTGGATCCCCTGGAGCTGAGTTACAGGCAGCTGTGAGCTGCCATCGTGGGTGCTGACGCTGAGCTGGGGTCCTCTGGAAGAGCCCTGAGCATCCTTTCCAGCCCCCACCTGCTCCGCCCCAGGTTTGCCTTTGTTCTCACAACAACCCTCGCATCTTTTACTCTCCACCTTGCCACCAGCCACCGAGAATCCCTACCCATGGCTCTCATAAGGATTAAGTGGAATTGAGCACATGGAATCTTTCTGGGCAGTGCCTTGCATTCGCAGCTGGGATCAAGTGTGGTGGTATCATGTAAAATGAGAGCTATGTTTCTGGTAAACTCTGCAATTGCTCTTGGCCCTTTATAATCAAGGTATGAAGTACTTCAAGTGTGACCACCAGATGTCCGTGTTCCTGTACATTGCATCCCTGCAAAACAACTGCTCCATCAGCGCCTACCCCTGCGACTCCTATCGGGATTACAGGAACGGCAAGTGTGTCAGCTGTGGGGTTGGACAGATGGTGTCCTGTCCCCTTCTGGGTAAGTCCAACAAGTTTTATCTCTGATGGACAGTTTGTTTCATACAGATCCTAAAGTCATTTTACTCTCTAAGAATTCATCTCGGTTTGTATTTCTAAAGTTTTAGCAAGTCAGCTTTATTTATTATTTGAGATAAGGCCTTGCTATATAGCTTAGGCCGGTTTAAGCTTACTCTGTAGCCCAGGCTGGCCTTGAACTTGAGACCTTCTTGCTAGAGCCTCCAGAGTGGCAAGTATTACAAGAGTGTACTACCATCCCAAACATTAAAACTAACTTTCCCTGGACAGCTTGTTCTCTGAACTACTCTAGTCTTGAATTATAGAGTGCTAGGGTTAGGCATGACGGCTCTGCAGGGAGGATTGAGAGTTTGAGGCTAGACTGGGCTACATAGAGACCCTCTTTTTCAAAAAGCCAAAGCCAGAACAAGCGGCAGCTGGCATGTGCGCAGTGTTAGAAGACCGATCTACGTTGGACTCCACATGGGGGCTCCTGCAGTTCCTGCTCACCCTCTTCTGTCACAGGAAAGAAGACACTAAGCGTTTGCAAGCCTCCCTAGGCTTTGTGCAGCCGGCCCCTGTTGGGACAGGAACTCTCACTCTGTGTACACACCTCTCTGCTGGACTGGGGGAGGTCCACAGTGAACTAGGGACCCCGCCCAGGCTGAGCCTTGTAGAGTAGAGTGATCCCTCTCAGAAGGTTGTGTCTATAGATGGGTTCCCTCAGGCTCCTGTGTTCACATGCCGGGCTTTGGGGGAAAAGATACTCTAGACACCACTGCGATATTTGTCGGAAGTTAGAGGACGTATTCTAGGTGGTCAGAACTTCATGACTGGTTGGCTAGGAGGAGCTGGTTTTCCCTGACCCATGGAAAGAGGCTCCACTGGCAGCGTTCAAGCTTGTCTTCCGGAGATTCGACTGTGGGGAGACATTCATCTGGCTCAGTGACACAGTTACACACCAAGCTACGTCCTGTACCCTTTAGTGGCCTTATTTTAGTTCCTCAAGAAAGGACTGGGGCCATTTAGGCCTATACTTCCAAGTATTTGGCATGTTGAGGCAGGAGGATCCTGAGTTCAAGGTCCTGTCTTCAAAACAATATATATATATATATATATATATATATATATATATATATATAAACCTCACAGTGGGCTCAAGGCTAGCCTGAGTAACTTAGCAAGACTCTGTATCAAAATAAAGAGCAAAACAAAAGGGCTGGGGATACAGCTTGGTGGAAGAATGCCTGCCTAGCATGCTCAAGGCTCTGAAATGATTTCTAGCACAATGTGTGTGTGCGTGTGTGTGTGTGTGTGTGTGTGTGTGTGTGTGTGTTGCTTGGTGTAAAGAGTGAATAATTTTGCATGCCTGAGGCCTGGGTCCTATCTTCAAAATGAAACAAACAAGACCCCATTGCTTTGCAATAGTAAATAGTGATACTGTTTTAGTTATGGGTCTCAACCTGGCTTAATGCTGAAAACGAATGCATGGCTGAAAACTATCCCTGTGATCATCAGTGTGCGCCACTCCTACTCTTCTGAGCTACTTCGGGCCAGTAAGGGAGAGGTCACAGTGGGGCCTTCTGTAACTCAGTTCTTATGTGGGGATAGCCAGCAAGAAGTAAGAGCATTGACACGGTGTTCCTGGTGACCCTTCTCTTCCTCACAGAGGGGGCTGGGGGAGGAGTGGTAGAGAGTTGTTGCAAACTTACTGTTGTCTCGTCCTCTGTGGCTTTCATGTTTCCGTAACACACATTGGTGTTTCTGACTTGTTTTTAGGCTACTATGCTGACAACTGGAAAGACTACTTGATGGACAAAGATCCTCCGATGATGAAGGCATTCTTTGACACAGCTGAGAAAAAGCCATTCTGCAGTGAGTGGTGAATGTATGTTGGTTGTTCTGTCTGACCCTGGCATTTCTGGGGAGGACAGAGTCGTAGCTTCCTGGATGCTTCCTGATGAGGACAGTGGCAGACAGAGCTTGGTGTTTGAAGCTTAAAGGGTGTAAGGGCAACACAGCTTCTATTCGGAAGAGCTGTGTGACTTTGGTCAAGTTTCTTCTCTCTGAGCGTCACAGGCTGGTTTGGTAAATGGAGCCAAGTATGCAGGTCTTCTAGGTTCTTAGGACTGAAGTGAGCCTGAGTCACAGTACCAGCACCCGGGACAGTCACTGTCACCTGAACTCCTCTAGGAAACTTTTTTAAGAGACATGAAGTTGGGGTCAGGAGCAAACAGATGCCAAACTTGACTCCGTTCTCTTCTACATTAGGACTTCTAGAACCTACTACTCACAGACCCTTGGCCTGTAAACATTTCTTCCTTGTTTTGAAAATAATGTTTTATTTTCATTTATTTTAGCCATCTTTCCCTGTATTCCCTCAACAGCTCCCCTCCCCTCCCCTCCCCCCCACTTGATCCTCCCATTCCAGCCCCCCCTATCCATATCTAGTCTATTTCACTTCCCTAACAAAATCTGTTCCCTTTAGTCCCTTTCTTTATGCCTACCCTCTGTGGTTCTATGGATTATAACTTGGTTATCACCGGCTTAACAGCTAATATCTACATATAAGTGAATACATACCATATTTGTCTTTCTGGGTCTGAAATACCTCACTTAGGATGATTTTTTTATGGTTCCAGCCATTTGCTTGCAAATTTCATGATGTACTTTTGTTTTGACAGCTGAGTAATGCTTCATAGTACAAAATGTACCTCATTTTCTTTATCCATTCTTCTGTTGAGGACCATCTATGTTTCCAGTTCTGGCGATGATGAATAGTGGAACAATGAACACGGTCGAGCAAGTGTTTCTGGGTAGGATGAAGTATCCTTTGGGTCTATGCCCAAGTGCTGGATCTTGAGGTAGATCGATTTCCACAGTGACTGTACAACTTTGCACTCCCACCAACAATGGCTGAGTGTGTTCTTATTCCACACCCTCTCCAGCATGAACCATCAATTGTTTTGTTGATCTTAGCTATTCTTTTTTTTTTTTTTTTTTTTGGTTTTTCGAGACAGGGTTTCTCTGTGGCTTTGGAGGCTGTCCTGGAACTAGCTCTTGTAGACCAGGCTGGTCTTGAACTCACAAAGATCCGCCTGCCTCTGCCTCCCAAGTGCTGGGATTAAAGGCGTGCGCCACCAACACCCAGCGATCTTAGCTATTCTGACAGGTGTAAGAAGGAATCTCAGAGTTATTTTGATTAGCATTTCCCTGACAAGTAAGGATTTTGAATATTTTTAAACTGTTTTTCAGTCGTTTGAGTTTTTTTTTTTTCTATTGAGAGTTCTCTGTTTAGATCAGTACCCCATTTTTTAATTGGGTTATTTTTTCTTAATATCCAGTTTCTTGAGTTATTTATATATTTTGGATATTAGTCTTCTATGGGATATGTAGTTGGTAAAAATGTATTTCCATTCTGTAGGCTGCCACTTTGTTCAAATGCCGTGTTCTTTGCCTTATGGAAGCTTTTCAGTTTCATGAGGTTCCTTTTACTAATTGTTGATTTATTGCCTGCCCTATCAGTGTTCTGTTCAGAAAATCTTCTGTGCAAATAGTTCATGGATACTCTCCTTTTCCTCTTCTATCGGGTTCAGTGTATCTGGTTTTATGTTGGTCTTTGATCCATTTGGAGCTGAGTCTTGTGCAGGGTTATAAGTATTGATCTATTTGAATTCTTGTACATGCAGCTGTCCATTTTGACCAGTACCATTTGTTGAACATGCTGTCATTTTTCCCGTGTGTATTTTTGGCCTCTTTATCAAAAATCAGGTGTCTATAGGTGTGTGGATTTTTGTCTGGGTCTTTAATTTGATTCCATTGGTCATCATGTCTGTTTTTTTGTGCCAGTACCTGCTGTTTTTGTTACTATAGCTTTGTAAATAGGAGTGGTGATACCTCCAGCAGTTATTTATTATTTAGATTTTAGCTACCCTGTTTTTTTGAGACAGGGTTTCCCTGTGTAGCCTTGACTGCCCTAAAACTCTGTGGTCCAGGCAGGCCTTGAACTCAGAAATCCTCCTGTCTCTGCCTCCCAAGTGCTGCTGTGCGGCCTGCATCCGAGAATGTAGCGAGGTGGTCGGGATAGATGACACAGAGATCGGTCGGTTGCTTTAAGAAAACTTTATGCTTCCCAAGTCAGCTTAGGAGGAGACCCCAGTCCGCTTAGGAGAGCTCTCAGGAGAAGTCTCAGGAGAAGTCTGTCCAAGAAAAAGGAGCTTCCCTTTTTAAGGACTTTTGCCATCCATTTACATACCATTCTTTCCACTTCTCACCCTCCTGGCTGGTGGTTTAATCTCCGGCCCCAGAATCGGGGAGACACCACAGGGGGCAGGGACAGGAAGAGGCATCTAGCCGTAGGGGGTGTGACAGTCATGGTATTTCAGTGAGCCAGCCCTTATCTGAGCCCTATCAAGCTTTAAAGCACTGAATTGTTTTCAGTAAACATTACATAGATGCCTGCTCCCAGGCCGAAGGGGAAGTGGGTTTCTGCTCAAGGTCTGGTGTCCCCACATTAGGGGTTTCCATACTAATCTGAAAATTGTCCTTTCAAGGTCTGTAGAGAATTTTGTTGGAATTTGTATGGGGATTTCATTGAATCTGTAGACGATTTTTAGTAGGATAGCCATTTTTTACTATGTTAATCTTATTAATGTATGATCATGGGAGATCTTTCCATCTTCTAATATCTTCCTCAGTTTCTTTCTTCAATGACTTGAGGTTTTTATCATACACATCTTTCACTTGCTTGGTTAGCAGTTGTTCTGCTAGGGAGCTGGGGATGAGACTGGGGGTTTGGACACATAGAAATGGAGGGAGAGGTGAAGATCTGCAGTTAGTCTTCCTGCTTCCTAGGCAGGAGTGGCCTGCTGGCTCCCAGGGGGTCATTCTGTGAACATTTCAAGCATCCCCAGATGGATAGGTGTATAAAACTGATACAGAGGCTAGAGGATGGCTTAGCTGTTAAAGGCTAGGCTCGCAACCAAAAATGTAAAATTTTGGTATAGATTTGGTACAGAAGTTAAATATTCACTGATAATAAATCATAAATAAGTTTGTTTAAAAATAATTCTTTGGTATATAAGTATAATTTATCATTTTTGGGGGGTTTCGAAACAGGGTTTCTCTGTATTGTTTTGGAGGCTGTCCTGGAACTCGCTCTATAGACCAGTCTGGCCTCAAACTCACAGAGATCCACTTGCCCCTGTCTCCCGAGTGCTGGGATTAAAGGGGTGCACTACCAACACCTGGCTAATTTATCATTTATTAAAGACAAAAGAAAAATTATATTCTGGTGAGATAGACAAGACTGCTCTTTCCCCTAAGGAGCTAACTCTTGGCTAAGTCTCTATGACTGCTTCATATAGGGCGTCATTAGTGTTTTACAGAACTCATCAGCATTCTTGTTTTAGAATAGCCATGGACGAGCAGAACAAAATGGCAGAAGGTGTATCAGACATTGGAATTCTGCTCTTTTCCCAAGTCTGAACTCTTTCAGTTGTTTTTTGAAAAGTATTTTATTTATTTATCTATTTTATGTGGATGAGTATTTTGCCTGCATGTGTGTCTGTGTACCGTGTGTCTGGTGCCCACAAATGCCAAAAGAGGTTCTAGAGGTTCAGGGAAACAGGAGTTAGAGACGTTTGTGAGTCACCATAGGGGATGTTAGGAATCGAACCATGGTCCACTTGAAGCATTATGAGATTATTTTGTGGTTTGTTTTTTTATTTCGGCAACTGGATCATAGCATTCTCTAGCATGAACTTTTTGGCTGAGTCAAAGGGTTGAACACACCTGCCAGTCTGTGAGGCAGACATCCATGGTCCCAGCACATGGTCTAGAGAGCACTGAGCTCTGCTGTCACGCATGCCATCTGTACCAAAGGGAAGAGTAAGAAGACGTAGAAAAGCCTGTCATGGGCAGCCTGGTATGGTGACACACACCTGTAGGTCATCCTCAGCTACATAGTGAGTTTGAAGGACCTGGATTCAAAAAAACAAAACAAAGCATTAAATATCAAAGAAAATTCCTTCCTGGGCCTTTGCAGAGAAACTACAGAGTGAGAAAAGGGGATCTTGGCTTTTGAGAGCGGCCCTACGGGGGCACTGGGGCATCTCTCTTACGGGTTCTCTCCCTGTTTTACAGTGTATCATTATTTTGTGGACATTATATCTTGGAATAAGAACATAAGAAGAGGGTTCATTACAATCAAACTGAGAGATAAAGATGGAAATATCGCAGAATCCAGTATTGATCAGTAAGTTGAGCTCCGAGCTTGCTTTTGCTAGTTGAGATGTCCTTGTCACTCAGCAGCCTGTGGCCTTCTTTGACGCTTGTTCACGGGCTTGCCCTGCCTCTTGTTCTCTTTGCTCTCTACAGGGGCAGTGGGCACAGTGGCTTTCTTCACTGTCCCTTCTTCCCATCTCTCCTATGCCCTTCTCTTCCCCTTCTCTGTGTCTCTCTCTCTTGCTTGTCTTCATTTTTCTTCCTTCTTTTTATTTCCAACAATTGGTTAAAAACTAAAAATCATTCATGCCTTCTGTAGAAGTTCAAGCCACGAAGGACTGTGCTGATGGAACACCTCTGTAATCACAGCACTTGGGAGGCAGGGTCAGGAGGACTGTAGCAAGTGTTAGGCTAGCCTGGTCTCTACAAGGAGTATAAGACCAGCCGGGCTCCTGTAGTAAGACCTATCGCAAACCCCCAAATAGGCTGGAGTGAGGCTCTGCAGTTAAAAGCACTAACTGCTATTCCAGAGGACCAGGTAAGTTCCTAGCGCCCATGCGGTGCTCACAACCACACAAAACTCCAGTTCCAGAGCATCTGATGCCCTCTTCTGTCTTCCAAGGGTATCTGGCATGTACAAGTGGCACACAGACAGACATGCAGACAAACACCCCAGACACATAAACTATTATAATAATAGCAGCACTCCCAAAAAAGGGAATGTGCAGACTCATGCATTTTACATTGTGTGCGTGTGCATATTATATATATGTGTGTGTGTGTGAACTTTAATCATATTCCATAAATTCATATAATTATGACTTGTCAATACAAACAATATTAATTTAAAAATACAGAGGAATATACAATATAAAATGCAAGTCTATGCTAAGGAGTTCATTCTCTTTTTCTTTTTTGGGGGGGGGGGGGGATTTCAAGGCAGGGTTTCTCTGTGGCTTTGGAGGCTGTCCTGGAACTAGCTCTTGTAGACCAGGCTGGTCTCAAACTCACAAAGATCCACCTGCCTCTGGTTGTGTGCCATTATGTGGTTGCTGGGAATTGAAGCTGGGTCCTCTGGAAGAGTGGCCAGTGCTCTTAACCGCCAAGCCATATCTCCAGTCTCCCAGATTCTGTTTTTGAAATGTTTTAATTTTTTGAAACAAACAAACGAACAAACAAATCCACATTTTATTAAACAGTTCTTGATCAAGTGGTCCTGGGTTGTGTAAGAAAGCAGGCTGAGCAAGCCATGGAGAACAGGCCAGCGAGCAGAGTTCCTCCATGGCCTCTGTTTCAGCTCCAGCCATGTTAGAGTCCCTCAGAATGAACGGTGATCAGATGTGTAAGTTAAATAAACCCTCTCCTTCCCAATTGTTCTTGGTCATTACTATTACAGCAATAGGAAGCAGACTAAGGCATATTGCATTTGTAATAGGAGTTTTTGGTTAATGAATCAAGTGTGTGGCACACATTGCCTAAGGAGTTTCTAGACCAGACCCTGTGAGATGCTAACACCATGTACTCTACTTAGGAAGAAACCAAGGCTGGAGAGCTGAGTGGTTTGGTCAGTGCCACACACCTAGTCAGTGTGAGTTGGTGGGAGCAGCGTGCCTGTCTACCAAGTACCTGCATCATTCTATGACTGAGTCTGCTCTTCCCACTGAGCTAACGCCCCTCCCTTGCACTTGAAGTCTGTGAATAGTGGTGCTTTTCAGGGTTCCTCACTGATTTGTTACAGATCTGATATCCTCACAGTGGATTAGTGTTTTCTGAAAGGGTAGTGTGGGGAGGGCATCCTGAGGATCCAACCTCAGGTGGTGCGTGGGCTGTGGGTTAAGGTGAGGGAACCAGAAGAGATCTGACCTGGACTTCGTATTTTCAGAACATGCAGCACTTAAGGGTCTGGAGGACACGTCACACACAGGAGGGGCAGGGCAGGACTCTGACTGGATTTGGGTGTTCACCCAGCCACTGTTTTCACGTTTCCTTTATGTACATCTGAGAACTTCCTTTTTTCTGAATAAATCTTTATCAAATGTGAATCCCTAAATTTGAAGTTTAAAATATGTTTGTTCTGAGACAGGACCTCACGTAATACAGGCGGATCTTGATTTCACCAAGTAGTCCAAATTAGCCTTATCCTTTTGCCTTTACTTCTTGGTTAAGATCAAGACCCTGGACCAGTGAGTTGGCTCAGTGGGCAAAACCATTTGCTGCTAAGCCTGATGACCTGTCATGGTGGAATGTGAAAACCACCTTCCCCCACAAGTTGTTTTCTGACCTATATTGCACCATACATGCGTACATCTGTACACAAAGATAGAGATCGTCAGACAGACAGAGAGATGAGCTAGATGAGAGATGATAGAGAGGTAGATAGATGATAGATAAGAAGGTAGATGAGAGACGGAGATGATAGAGAGATAGATGATAAGTAAGTAGATAGATGATAGAGGTAGATAGATGATAGAAAGGTAGATAGATGATAGATAGATAGCCTACAGAGGTAACCGAACAGTTGTCTATTAAGAGCTAAAAAGAAAAAAGGCAAACACAAGAAGGTGACCTTCTCCAGGCCTCATGGTAAGACCTGAAGTACCTGGAAAGTTGGGCTGGAGGATTGCAAACTCAAGGACTACTTAAGCCAGGGAGTGTGTTGAAGGATAGGCCAGGCAACTTAGTAAAGTCCTGTCTCAAAGTCAAAAGCAGATTTGGGAGGCTGCTCAGTGGTAGATGGCTTGCACGAATGGCTCTGTTATCTGCAGTACTGGGAGAGAGGAATTGGAGCCTTAACATCTCTAATGCATGTATTTAGAATTAGCATCTGGAGTCAATCTAGATGATTGCAATGATGTCCAGTGCATCATAATCAGAAACCCCAGTGATCCTCAGGCATCTCTCTCTGGGGAGGCCCAGCATTGTTCTTACTCTTCCGGGAAGCTGGGAAAGGAAGCCATAGGTAACTCACTGACAGGTACCCTGGGTTTGGGGCAATGGGCTGGCACTAGACATAGGTCTCAGATTGGGATTAGGGGGTCACACAGGTGTTTGTTACCCCAGCGGGACTGGAATCCCATCTAAGTCTTCACAGAGTGTGGCCCGGCCAGAAGAACTCTGGGCTGGGTTTCATCTCCACACTGTGGCATATAAGCCCCATCACACGGAGAGCCTGGACTCCACAAGCAGGTGTAGGAATGTGCCGGAGATTCGGACACCATCTTGAACACAAAAGACAGTCACAGTAGTGCTCAGTCCAGTGTATTTTTGGAGGTTAGTAGCTTCATTTAGGCAGTTCTTCAGACTCAGAGGTCTTTGTTCACTAAAGTCAGTCTGTGCAGGCAAAGGGACCAAAGGGTCACCTTCGAGGTAGACTTGGAGGCTCGAAGCAGCTTTCTCTCATTAGCAATCTCCAGTCATTTTAAAATGCCATTTCTTCCAGCGAACCATCGACATTTCAGAAATACCATCAAGTGAGTCTACTCGCAAGATTTAACCAAGATCTGGATAAAGTAGCAGAAATTTCCTTGTTGTTCTCCACAAAGTCTGTAGTCGGTCCAAAGTACAAGCTCAGGGTTCTTCGAATGAAGCTGAGGTCCCTGGCCCATCCAGACAGGTGAGTCACAGGCAGGTTGGACAAGTTCCTGTAATGTCCCCTCCTCTAGTTCGTTCCTTCCTCCCTGCCTGCCTCCCTCCCTCTCTCTTCCCTCTCTCTCTCCCTCCCTCTCTTCCTTCCTTCCTTCCATTCCTTCTGAGACAAGGTCTTATGATGCCTCAAGCCTGTGGCAATTCTCCTGCCTCAGGCTTCAAAATGATGAGTTTCTTTTACTTAAAAATTTAGGGTTCTGGCTGGGCATTGGTGGCCCATGCCTTTAATCCCAGCACTTGGGAGTCATAGGCAGGTGGATTTCTATGAGTTCGAGGCCAGCCTGGTCTACAGAGAGAGTTCCAGGACAGACTCCAAAGCTACACAGAGAAACCCTGTCTCGAAAAAACAAACAAAAAATTTAGTGCTCTGTGACAGGCAATGGTGTGTTCCAGGCACATACTTTTCATCCCAGCACTTGGGAGGCAGAGGCAGGCAGATCTCTGTGAGTTCAAGGTCAGCCTGGTCTACAAAGTGAGCGCCAGAACAGCCAGGACTGTTACACAGAGAAACCCTGTCTTGAAAAACAAACAAAAAAAATTTGGTGTACTGCAAAAATATTTAGCAATAAAAGATTCTTTAAAAGGGTCTTCACTGTATCTCACAACAGGGTCTTTTAATTAATTGATTGATCAAAACATTTTTTTTTCTGGGCCTGGTAGAGCAGATCTGTATTCCTATCTGGTCTGGAGGCTGTGTGCCAGGGTCGTGATCTAAAGTTCAAGGCCTGAAGAGGCTACATGAGTTCAAGGCAAACCCAGGAAACTCACCGTAACCCGTTTCAAAACGAGAAAGAGCCAGGGTGTGGTGGCTTATATCCCAGCACTTGCAAGGTAGAGGCGGAAGAATTGAGAGTGGAATGGAAGACCTGGGTCCATTCCTAGCACCCACTTGGTGCCCCACAACCATCTATAAACTGCAGTTACAGGGAAATCTGATGCCCTCATCTGACTTCCATGGGTCCATAGCATACACGAAGGCATAACACTCATACCTATAAAATAAAATTTCTTTGAGACAGGGTTCCTCTGTGTAACAGCTCTGACTGTCCTGGAACTCCCTCTGTAGCCCATGCTGGCCTCTGCCTCCCAAGTGCTGGGATTAAAGGCATGCGCCACCACTGGGCTATCAAATAAATATTAAAATAAAAAGAGTGTATTGGAGTTGAATGAGCACCAATGCTTTCCTGAGCACGAATGCCTTCCCTAGCCGTTTGCCTGTCACGTTAGAAACAACTGCTCTACCATCCATACTGGAGGCTTGCCTGACTAGACGGGGGTATTGAGAGTTCACTGACAGGATCTTTGGTTTCTCCAGGCCTCACTTGTGTCGGTATGATCTTGTCCTTATGGAAAATGTTGAGACATTCTTCCAACCTATTCTGTGCTCAAAGTAGCGGGCATAGCTCCTGTCAGGACACACGGACGGCAGTGACACCAGGATCTCTAAGGCTACAGGCTCTTGATGCCTCACCCTACTTCGTCCCGAAGACTCCAAAAGCGTGGAAAAAAACCCAAGGTTATTTTCGGCAGTGTCCCATGGATGTCACGTCACGAAATGTCAAACGACCTGTGGTTACGAAACAGCCCTGGGAGGGGAGCCCCTAACTAGGGCAAGACAGAAATAGCTGGGCTCCCGACAGCAGAGCACTTTGTCTGGCCACATCCTGGGGCCTCGCTTGTTCGAACTGTCACCCCTGCTGCCTGTCATGTCACACCCTCAGGGCCATGGGCCAGGCATCTCGGGAATGGAGTGAAGGCTAGAGGCCTCACAGGATTTCTGTGTCCCTTGTGCCCAATCCTCCACCATCTGGCATGAAGAGGAGAAAAAGTCGGACTACCTCATGGGGAAGTGTAGGTTGGGAGGGCCAGTCTGGAAAGGGTTTGTGAAATCCCTTGAGTCACAATGTGAACATGCTTTTATTTTGATATGGCTTAGCTCTCATGTGTGGATAAGAAACCTCTCCTTTTCTTCTCTCCTGGACTATTGGCTTCGGGGTGGCAAGAAGGCTCTGGCTTCCAGACATTTCTGAAGTGATGCTGATGGCCAGAGGCTGGGATGGGTCCAGAGCCTTGAGGTCTGTACTGGGACCAGGCACTAAGTGGAAGGAAGAAGGAGAAGAAACAGGAGCAGCATCACTCATGGACCATGCAGAGCGAGAGGCTGGGGAAAAACAGGCTTGCTTTTACTGATGTTGCAAAAGCGTTAATTACAGAACAGTTTTTCTGCCCTGGGATTGAACCCACTAGGTGCAGTGAGCCCTGTTCTCAGCTCCAGACATTATTGAAAGCCATCCTTAAGAATGGTTTCTTCCCTGGATGTTGGTTAATTCATAACTATGCTGGGAAGTTCTTTAAGATGCAGAGATGCAAAATAGAAATAAATGGTGCACACCCACCAGTGCTAACCTTCTGCCACGATGCTCTAACTCGTGGGGCTCCTGCGAATGCAGAGCATAGCCCAGTTCTTGGTGATGGAACCTTTGGGAAGTCTTCTGAGGCCTCCTTGAGGAAGAAGCGACCTGCAGTCAAGAGGTCCCAGAGGGCCAGCCACAGGGAGGGTAAAAATGACAGGACAGTTAGAGGGTCCAGATGCCTGGCATGAAGGTGGCTACTACCCACCCAACAGCCATGACCACTTCGGGAAGGTATCACAGGCCCATTACACTTCTCTTCATCCTTTTCACAGAACTGCCCCAGCTGTTGTAAAGAAACGATGCCACGAGCAAATGGGTTGAAATCCACATTGTTTTAGTTTCTTTTCCTGTTGCTATGATAAAATACCCTGACAAAAACAACTTGAGGGAGAAAGGGTTTCTTTCAGCCCACAGTCCAAGGCCGCTCATCGTGGCGGGAAGTCAAGGTAGAGGACCTTGGAGGCAACTGGCCATATCTCAGCCAGTCAGGAAAGAGGGTGATGAATGTATGCGTGCTGGTGTTCAGCTCTGTTTCTTGACACATTTAAGAAATTATTGCATTTTATTAGTTTACATTGTGCATTTATGTGTGCACACAGCACATATGTGGAGGCCGGAAGACAGCTTGTGGGAGTGAGTTCTCTCCTTCCAATGTGTGGGCCCCAGGTATCTGGTCACCAGGCTGAGAGGCAAGCATATTTACCAGCTCAGCCATCTTTCTTATTTAAAAAAATTATTTTTCATTTTACATACCAACCCCAGCTCCCCCTCCCTTCCCTTTTCCAACCCCCACCTCCCCTTTTCCTACCCTCCATTCACTCCTCATAGGGGGTAAGGCCTTCCTTGGGGAGTCAGCAAAGTCTGGCATACCAAGTTGAGGTAGGACCAGTCTCCTCCCCGCTGTATCCCACCATAGGGAATGCTTCAAAAAGCAAGTTCATGCACCTGGGATAGGTCACATGGTGTCACCCATATTCAGAGGGTCTAGATCCCCCAGCTGTCAATCCATAGTCCATGAGCTCCCACTAGCTCATGTCGGCTGTCTCTGTGGTTTTCCCAACCATGCTCTTGACCCCCGCCCTTCTTCATATGATCTCCTCCCTCTCTTCTTCTGAGCTCCAGGAGCTCAGCCCAGTGCGTGGCTGTGGGTCACTGCATCTGCTTCCATCAGTTACTGGATGTAGGTTCTACAATGATAATTAGGGCAGTCACTAATCTGATTAAAGGGGAAGCTCCCTTCAAAGACCCTCTCCACTCTTGCTAGGAGTCTTAGCTGGGGTCTTGCAAGTGGATTCCTGAGAATTTCCCTAGCCCCAGATTTCTCCCTAACCCCACAAGGCTCCCTCTATCAAGATTCTCTCTCATTGCTCTTCCCCTCCATCCCTCCCCCAACAGTGTTGTTTGCTGCAGTTTCCGGCGATGAAACACGAACCACAAAACTCAACAAACCCACATGGAGTTTAATGGAAAAGGAGTGAAGGGAGGGGTGGGTGTGGTGAACCGGGAACAGAGATGGGAGGGGGAAGGGAAGAGAAAAGAGGTAAAGAGACACAGAGACAGAGGACAGAAGAGAAGAGGCAGACAGGAAAAGTCCTGTCTGCCCCAGGGGAACGGCAGGAAAGAGAAGAGAGCAGAAAGAGACGAGCAGGCAAAAATACCGTTAAGTGGGCAGGGTCTTTATTTTAAAGGGGTCCTTTGTACCTGCCTTCAGACTCCATGGAGCCCTGGGCTGACCAGGATACTGCCTGAGTGCATTCTGCCAGGTGACAGGGGCAGACCAGCATAATGCCTGAGTCCTTGTAAACATAGTCTTCTTGATCCCTCATGTCCTCATCCCCCACCCCTCCCTTTTACTCCCATCCCCTTCCTTTTACCCCCCTAACATTTTACCCAGTGCTAAAGTGGAAGCTTTGCCCCAGCCCCTGGCATCCGTATACCCAAAGAGTCTGGGATGTTCTGGTGGAAATTCCACCCACGCCCACTCCCTGTCTCCCTCCAAACCCTGCTGCATCTCAGAAAGGCCACCAACTGATGACCCCTCCCCCAGAGATGCTCAAGACCACTCCCACAGGGCATTTAAATTGCCCCAGCAGAAAACAGAAAAACTGGTTTTTTTAGTCTCGCTTTCCCATCTCCTCTCTGTGGGGTGGGGGCTGGAAGGACATCCGGGAGAGTTGTATCCATTAAATGTGACAAGCATGGGCTTTTTCTAATTCAGTTTGATTTGGTCTGAGTTGGATTGCTGCATCGGCGGAGAGGCTTATTGGGGTGTAGAAACTTTTCACCCAGGAGATCTTAACTATTTTCCCTTCCTAGGGCCCTTCATGAGTGTTCCTTTTAGGGTCCAGCCTCAGAGTCCTCCAAGGGTCCAGGCTAGGCTAGGGGCTTTCAGCAGACTGGTAGGGCTGACTAAAAAGGTCTGAAGGTGAACAAGTCAGTTCGTACACTATCATTCTCGAGGCTCTTAAAATTCTCCTCAAAAGTTCTTTTCAAAAGTTGTCCTTAGGGGGACTTTAAAAGTTCTCCTTAGGGGGGCTGGAGAGGTTGCTCAGAGGTTAAGAGTACTGGCTGTGCTCTCCAGAGGTCCTGAGTTCAATTCCCAGCAGCTACATGGTGGCTCACAACCATCTGTAATGAGATCTGGCACCCTCTTCTGATCTGCAAGCATACATGCTTGAAGAATACTGTATACACAATAAATAAATCTTTATAAAAAGAAGTTCTCTTTAGAAGTTCTTTTGGAAAATTCCCCTAGATCCCACAAGATTCCCAGTTTATATGCCCACAGACACAATTAGCAATTCTCTGGCAATAGCAAGGATACCAGACATGCGTATCTCTCAGGGTTCCCTACAGGAAGAGGAGAACAGGATGTGTGTGTGTGTGTGTGTGTGTGTGTGTGTGTGTGTGTGTGTGTGTGTAAATAAAATACGTTATATATATGAAGGGGATTTATTAGAATGGCTTATTGGCTGTGGTCCAGTTATTCCAACAATGGCCGTCTACCAACAGAAAGTCTTAGAATTCAGCAGTTGTTCAGTCCATAAGGCTGGATGCCTCAGCTGATCTTCTGTATACGACAGAAGGTCAAAGAAGTAGACAGAAATGCCAGGGAAGGAAATGGACCTGTGTGGGTGGAGTTTTCCTGTCCCCATCACCTGCTCCCAAATAACTGGCAGCCACTTCCCAAGTAACTGACTTAACATAAATTATAAATGATCAGCCAATAGTTCAGGCTTGTTACTAGCTAGTTCTCACAATTTAACCCATTTCTATTAGTCTCTTTGCTGCCCCGAGGCTTGTGGCTTTTACCCCTACCCCGTTTTGTGTGTCAGACTCATTCTCCGTCCGACAGGCAGGTCTTCCGACTCCGCCCTTCCTCACCCCATCATTCTCACTTTGGCTCTCCCGCCGAACTGCATCCTGCTCAGCTATTGGCCTGTCAGCTTGTTTATTAAACCACTCATAGTGACATCTAGTCACAGACGGGTTATCCCACAGCAGACTTGCCATTGAGAGCAAGCAAGTAAAGAAAGCAAGATTCCTCCTTTCACATTCTTAGCATAGGAGAAGATGTGGATCTTCCCATTTCAAAGAGCCAGGTTAAAAGTGGGTCTTCTCAATCTAAATGACTTACTGAGAAAGAAATCAGTCACAGGTGTGCCCGACCATTTGAGTTTTAGTTAATTCCAGATGTTGTCGAGTTGACAGTCAAGGACAGCTACCACAGTACTACACATCTTCTAGGCCTTCCTACTTGGCAAGAGTCTGCTTTGTTTAAGGGAGGGATGGCTGAACTCTGGGCGGAGGAGACCCTGTGGCGCTCCTCAGATTTCTTCTGAGCACAGTGCATGTGGCAAAGGGCTTTGATTTCAGAGGTCTTTATTGGTCCTAATTAGTATAGCCACTAGTCATCTTTCCCTTGACTCCAGAGGGCCAAAATAAGCGTGCAAATGTCAGAAATGGGCATTTCTAGCAAATTGTGAACTATTGGGACCCCCTGGTTTTAGCACAGCACTGAGCTGAGGCCCTGAGTAGCTGCTATGGGATGAATGGGTGAATTGATGAATGAATGGGGAAATGAAGGAAAGGAAGTCTGTTGTGGAGTGGAAATATGTTTCAGTGACTTTCAGGTAATGGCGATGGACAGGCGAAGGGAGCTGAAGGGGTGGCAACTCACTTCCCCAAACCTTTCTCCTCTCTGGAAACATTTGTTTTCCTGAGTCAGGGTGTTGCTATGATGCTTAGTCTGGCCTTGAACTTGGAATCTTCTTACCTCAGCCTCCCTGGTGCTGGGATTATGCAGGCGTGAGCCACCATGCCTAGCGCCAAGGAGCGCTGGGATCCATTGCTGTCTTAGCCTTTCCTCCTTTGTGTATCTGTTGACTCCCAAATCAGTGACACAATTAAATCTGAGTGTACTCTCAGCTCCTTAGTTCTCTGGCACCCACCATTCAGTCTTTGCTCTTATGTCCCCACATTAGGGAGTCCACCCAGACCCCATTTCCAGGCCCAGCACACACTGCCTCTTCCATGCTCTTGGAACACTCCCTTCTTCCACGGATGCACGCAGACTCTTGGGAGGTAGCAAGCAGAGCCCTTAGCAAGTGAAAACTGCAGAGAGCGTCCCACGTCATTGTGGGACGCCAGTCTCTTTGTCTCTTTGCGTCTTGGCTCATGGCATGAGCATCATGTTCCTCATATGCTCCCATCATCATGGGTCACCTTGCTGGAGGCACAAGGCAATGGTCTATCTGACATAGGATTGGGCCCTTTGCCCTACTTGGGTGCCGAGAGCGTGTGCCAAGAATATCTGTGGATTCAGTTCTTGCATGGCTAGTTGCTAGAGTTTTGTACTCTCACATGATTTTGACTCATGTTCCCCATTTGACACCAAGAAACACTCTGAGGTGCTTTATGTCTTTGGGCCCTTTGAAGTCCTCCCCAACATGTCAGTCATATGTGCTGTCCCTTCATGCCTCCACCGCACAGCCTGTCCCTCTTGTTCTGTCTCCACTGCTGTGGCCCTTCCTTGTTTTGTTTTGTTTTCCCACCAGGGCATTACTGTTAACTTAGAGCACTTCCACTTGCTCTGACATGTAGACACTCTCAGATGAGAATGGAATCTTTCCCCTCCCCCTCCCTGTTTTCCAAGACAGCTTCTCATTGTAAACCCAGGCCGCCTGCACAGTGTCCGGCCTGCCTCAGCTTCCCAAGGGCTGGCCTTACAGACATACACCACCATGTCTGGCTAGTGGGATCATTCCTATTAAATGCTTCCAGGCCTCTCCTGCCACCTATAATTTATCGAAGCGCTAATGCCGCAACCTGTCTTCCAGCACTCTCCAAGATGTCTATTCTCATTCATTTCTCACAAGCTCCGGGGCTCCCTGAAGGCTGTCTTATCTAGGGACAGCTCACTGGCTCTTCTGTCTACTTGCTCATCCTGGAGAGCAAACCCACACCTCACCTCTTTCAGAACCCACACAATTGAGAGCCACACTAGTTTTGGGTATCTGAATCAGGGGTTTCTTTTGGGGGATGTCATTCTCGATACCCTCCTATGCTGCCCCTTTCTGGATTTTTCTGTAGTATTTAAGGATGACTGAGCTCTGGGTCCTCCCCAAGGGTGGGAATCAATCACGTGACCACCACATCCAGCAACACAGACTCTTTCTAAGAATCAGATATGCTCACTCCTGACCAAGGACCATAACACTGAGTTTTTTTCATCCATTAAGACACATACTGAGCTGGGCGTTGGTGGCATATGCCTTTAATCCCAGCACTCCCGAGACAGAGGCAGGCGGATCTCTGTGAGTTTGAGGCCAGCCTGGTTTACAGAACGAGTTCCAGGACAGCCTCCAAAATAATACAGAGAAACTTCGTCTCGGGGGAAAAAAAAGACACATACTGAGCTGGGCTGTGGTGACTCATGTCTTTAATCCCAGCATTCGGGAGGCAGAGGCAGGCAGATCTCTGTGAGTTCGAGACTAGCCTGGTCTACAAGAGCTAGTTCCAGGACAGGCTCTAAAGCTACACAGGGAAACACTGTCTCGAAAAACCAAGAAAGAAAAAAAAAAAAGGATACATACTCAAGTGTGTTTATGAGGATTGGGGGTAGTGAGTACCCATTAGGTGCCAGTTCCACCTTTGCTGGCTACATTTGCTTTGTGTGACAGACTATGGACCAGACTGTCTGACCACCATGTTGCAAGCTGGCTGTGGCAGGCTCACAACTCACCCCTAGATCTCCCAGCTCTGAAGCAGCAGCGGCAGAGCTGAAGAAGCTCAGTGCAGAGATGGTACAGGAGCACACAGACTAGCAGGCAGCACAGTCCCTGGAGGGGGCGGGGTCTTCAGCGCAGCGGGGCGGTGCTTTGAGCAGACCACGCCCTCGTCAGTCGACGAACGCGCTCCGCCCGCCCAGTCGGCGCACCGGGAAGGGCTCAGCGCCGGCACGCGGGGAGCGCGCTCTCCGTCCCGGCCGCGGCATGCGCGCGCTGCTCGGCCTGCTCCTGGTATTCGGCGGCTGCACCTTCGCGCTGTACTTGCTGTCCACGCGGCTGCCCGTGGGGCCGAGGCTGGCATCGGCCGAGGAGCCCCAAGGCCGGTGAGTGCGAGGGCGTGGGGCGGCGGCTGGGGCGGAGGTCGGAGAGTTGGCGGTGATGCGCTGGGGCTTCTCTGCTTGCGCGGTCGCCTTCCAGTCGCAGCCATCTCGGCCGCCGTGGCTCTCCTTCCTCAACCAACCCACTTTACCACACCAGCGCATCTTGAGAGGTGCAGCCCGGACTTCGGGTTACGAGGCTATGATCCGGTCTGTCCTCTTCCTGCCTGCCTGTCCCCCATGATACTCGAGCGAGTCAGGAGGTGGCAGTAGATTTGCCGGGCGGACGCGTTTCCCGGTTGCTGCGTGAAGTGTGCCTGGCGCGTAGTCGCATTATCAAGAGGCGAGTGGCAGGACAGCTGTTTTCTGTAACCATTGTCTTTTACCGGATGTCAGAGGTACTCGGGAGAACTAGAAGGGGTTGCTCATAGTTTATCTCTGCTGGAGTAAAGAGCTGTTGAGATGGCAGAGGCAGGGTAGTCTTTGTACTGTGACCCTTGGACGGGATTCACACTGCTCCAGGTCTAGAGCAGGGTGAAAGGGGAGGGTTGGCTTCAAGCCTGCTATTATCAAGAAAGCTGTATTTATGATGCGAGATATACTTCTTCGGGGAATCATTTTAAATGCTGAAACTGTTGTTTTGCCTAGTACATCTGGGGTAACACGGTGTCTAAATAGTTCTGGGCTTGCTGGGGAGGGGTCTCCTTGAAAGGAAGGTAATTTTGGATGTTCAACACTTGCCTGGAAATGAATATAGTTACTTCTTTGGAGTAGGTAAAAAAGAGTCTGGGGATTCCGACCAGTGCTGGAGGTCATGCTCAGCGTGAAGGAGGTTGTGGGCTTCCATCTTACACCCCCTGAATAAGTGAAGAGGGAATTCAGTGGCCATCCAGCACCAGACCCATTTAGGCCAGGAAAACGAGGTTCATGAACACTCCAAGGTCACACAACTGGAGCGTTGCAGAGTAGGGATGCCAGCCCAGGTGTCTTGCTCCCAAGCCAGGGCTCTCCTGTCTGCCTCTGTTGTCTTATACTGGGTCCTGTCATCTGGAGTTCATCCCAGATGGCCAGATTACATGTTTATAGACTTGCTCTAGAAAGACGACACATCGAGAGTGACTTTCTTAGGCACCAGGCTTCTCCGGCATCCATGTTTCCGTCTGATTTTCCAATCCCTAGGTCACTGTGGTTCCCCTCAGATCTGGCCGAGCTGCGGGAGCTCTCCGAGGTCCTTCGAGAGTACCGGAAGGAGCACCAGGGTTATGTGTTCCTGCTCTTCTGCAGTGCCTACCTCTACAAACAGGGCTTTGCCATCCCTGGCTCCAGTTTCCTGGTCAGTGTCCTGCCCTCTTTCCAGCTGGCTTCCTTTCTGTAAAGTGTGGCCACCCCCTCGGACGCCCCTTTAGTTGTGTGGTAGGATGAAATGAAACATGAATGCAGGGAGGCTGGCCCGAGTGGGCATTCAGTACTTAGTGATTCTCCAGGCTTCCTATTGTCCTGATTCCTTCATTCCTTCTCCTCCCCAGCACCGTTTCCTACTCCAGGTTCAGCTTAAATCTACCCAGGCAGACCGGGGGGGGGGGGGTCTGGAAACGGGGAGAAGAACAAGCATTTCTGTGAGAGGGAGTTGGATGCTGGCAGTCAGGGCCGAGTCCTTTGGTTGATCCTGGACTGACTTCCCCCTTGAATTGATCCTGCTTCAGGGCAGGACCAGTTGCTCCTGGGTGCTCTATAGCCTAGGTTGGTAAGGGCTGCACACCCAGAATCAGGGAGCATTTTAATCCTGCTTGGTGGGATCTTGGTTGTGAGACTGTCTCCCTCACGGGATGGGGTAGCACAAGACAGAGGGTGTGGGGAGGGCCACTTAGGACTCACGGCCAAGCATGTGTCACATGTATCACGTGTGTCAAGCCACAGCCTCACTGCCAGGGCCCCTCTCGCTCTTTGCTTGCCTTTGATCCCTCGTTTGTGTGTTCACTTGTCCATGCTTTCTAGAAGGTTTATTCATGTGTACATGTGTGTCTGGGGGTAGGTGTACAGGTGGTGGTCAGGGCTGGAGTCCCAGGCACTTGTCAGCCACCTAGTGTGGGTGCTGGGACCCGAACACTGGTCCCTCCAGGACAGCAGGAAGCACTCTTAGGGGCCGAGCCATCTGTTCAGTTCATGGTTGAGATGAGGTCTCACTCTTGGCACAGACTGGTCTGGAACTCACATGCTAGGCCAGGCTGGCCTTGAATTCAATCCTCCTGCCTCAGCCTCCCAAGTGCTGGGATAATGGGTGTGTTGTGTCCATCTGTCGTCCCCCCCCATCTCTCCCCTCCCCATCGTGTCCCCTCCCCCCTCCCATGCTCTGAGGCAGGATGCTATTCACCAGCCAAACTGCACTTGTGAAGTTTTAATTAACTTTTCCATCTGTGTGAAGCCAGACTTTAAAGGTCAATTGGGACTGTGGCCAACACGGAAGCCCAGTGTGAGCTTGCTAATCAGATGGAAAACAAAGAAGGTATCTTACATGGATTACTGGAGGTACATTCATGCTCTGCACAATAGTGAAAATGCTTCACCTCCCCTCTTTGGTGCCCCTCGCCACAGGCAGGTCACGTGGGCACCTAATCTCCTGTTCCACCTGTCAGTGCCCACTGAGCCTAGGCCTTGTCTTTGTATGGGTGAGGAGCCCAAGGCTCTGTTTCTAGTTCCGTGTTTTCATTTTCCTCTTTAAAGTGGGCCTTGGGTTTTGGCCATGGAAACCACTGGAAGTGAGGGAGGCAGTGCACAGACTCCAGGCAGCGGCTACATGTTCTCATGGCTGAGGGCTGGCTTTCTTTGCAGAATGTCCTGGCTGGGGCCTTGTTTGGGCCATGGCTGGGACTTTTGCTGTGCTGTGTGCTGACGTCAGTGGGCGCCACATGCTGCTACCTGCTTTCCAGTGTTTTCGGCAAACAGCTGCTGGTCTCCTACTTCCCTGACAAAGTGGCCCTGCTGCAGAGGAAGGTAAGGTGGAGGGTGGGGCGCGCCCGAGCTCCAGGTCCCTGAGCATCAGCTGACGATCTGAGAGGAGCGAGGAGCAGGGCTTTCCCACCATGCTCCTTCACCCTACCTGGGAGCTGGGAATGTTCATTGGATGTCTTTCAGAAGCACAGACCTGTGATCAAATCCCAGTCCCAGCTCTTGTCATTACTTGCTCTGTGGCTTTGAGTTAGGCTTCTGACCCCTCAGATTTTCAGCTGTTTAGTGATTTTGTGCATATATGTGTGTTGGGGTGTGTGTGTGTGTGTGTGTGAGCACTGTGGAAGGCAGACTCTTCCTCTGAGTGTGGGGCTCACTGATTTGGCTAGACTGGTTGGCCAGCAAGCCTTGTCCCTGCTCCCAGCTCCCAGCATTGGCATCCCAGGCCTGTGCCACGGTCCCAGGCTGCTTTTTGTTTTTTTGGCATGGGTACTGTCGATCAAATGCAGATCGTTATGCTGACAGGGAAGGCATTTTACTGTCTGAGCAATCTTCCCCAGCCCAGTTTTTGTTTTTATTGGGACTAGCCTCAAACTCGTGGAAGTCCTCCTGTCTCAGCCTCCTGAGTTCCTGAGTGCTAGGATTATAAGTGTGAGCCACCATGTCCAGCTGGCACTTGTATTTTCAAAATGGGGGAAATCTTCCCCAGTGTCAGGGAGGAGTTGGGAAGGAGCTGTCTGCCCAGCTTCGGAGTGAGCTGGAGAGCCGTTCTGCTCCTGACGGTGGGCTCTCTCTGCAGGTGGAGGAGAACAGAAGCAGCCTGTTCTTTTTCCTGCTGTTTCTCAGACTCTTCCCCATGACACCAAACTGGTTCTTGAACCTCTCGGCCCCGATTCTGAACATCCCCATCGTGCAGTTTTTCTTCTCAGTGCTGATCGGTAAGATGGGGGAGGGGCTGGTGGAGGCTGCCCTCCCTCCGTCACTTGCCACTGGCATGTGGGTGCCTGCCGGCAGCATCTTCAGGCCTGCCCCTTGAAGCAGTCTACGCTGATGCTTGAACATGAAACCCATACAGTACTTTTGGGACAACTAAGGATTGTTCATGCTATGTCCACATTTAGGCTTCCTGTGTGCCCAGCAGGTGCTGAGCACTGGGATTGAAAAGAATCATCTCTGTAGACCACATGACTTGGCTCCAAGAAGTCTTAGCAGGCTTGCTGGCGTAGAGCAAAGACTTCCTTTCTGGCACCTTTCACCAAGGTGCCTTAGGCAGGACTGGCATCAGGGAGCTCCCATCTTCTGAGAATGGCATGGCCATGCTTTGCCTCAGGAAATTGCATAACTAGGTTAGACCTGTGGTTAGGAGCGAGTTAAGGCGATCACATCCCACCCATCTGTAGTGTTACCTTCTCTCTGCAGTAAGCCACCTCCCCCACCTTAAACCAGGGGGGGATGCTCAGGCCTTTCTTAGGTGTGTGGGGATGACACTCAGGGGCTTACGTGAGTTAACGGATGTGCAGTGGGCAGGTGCTATTAATAGGAATGTCTGAGAGAAATGGGAGGAGGCTGGCCACAGCCGTTTTTACAGCAACTTGCTGAGGGCCCCAGTGCCTCAGCTAACGGAGGTTAAAAGCACGTCATTACCAGGTGACAGCAGTGCAGACAGACTCTGGAGACAGAGTTCCTTCCTGAGGACCAACTGTGTGACCTTGAAAGGTCTGATCATTATCTCCCGTGTTCTTCACTGAAGTGAGGTTTATCAGGGTCCCAGCCCATCAGAAACCCAGGAGGGGGTTTTGTCTTATTTGTTTGTGATATGGCTGTGTTCAAGGCTGGCTTCAAACTTTCAGTTTTTTTCCTCAGCCTTCCAAGTGCTAGGATTATAGGCATCCACTACACTTGGCTTATGATTTCTTTTTGAGAGCGGGTCTTGCTGTTGAGCTCTGGTGGCTCTCAATTTGCTATGTAAACCAAGAAGTCTTGAAACTCACAGAGATCCATCTGTTTCTGCCTCCTGAGTGCTGGTACTAAAGGTGTGCACCATTATGTCTGACTTAGCTGTTTTGTTTTTTCCTTAAACATTACAGGGTTCTTGGTTGTTGTTGTTTTTGAGACCAAGCTCAGCATATAGTCCAGGCTCACCTTGAATTTGTTGCTATTTTCCTGCCTCAGCCTCCTGATTACTGAAATTATAAGCATGTGCCACCAAGCCTGACTCTAAGGAGTTGTTTTTTTTATGCCATCTGCTGTCTAGCTACCAGACAGACTCAGGAGTCCAGAGCCTTGCTGACTTCTTAGAGTGCAGACCATTACAAAGTTGTACTTTGAAGAAACTTGTTCGTTGGGTTTTGAAACACTTTAACACACACTGAAAATTTCATGTCACCTTTCCTATCTCTGGTTTGGCTCTTGGGTCCCACCTTCAGCAGGTGCACGGACTCCAGCATTTCTCAGTGCACTCAGAGTAGTTATCTTTTTCTGCGTGAGTAGTAAATTTTCCTCATTGTAATGTATATATATTTGTGTGGCCCATCTTAAGGCCTTTTGTTGGATAAGGCCCGTGTGTATAGGAAGTGCAGGGAGAAAAGGAAGGGATAGAACATTAGGGGTTAAGAGTTGGACAGACAGCTGGAGTCACTGTTTGGTTCCCTGGCCATCATCTACTGCTGTTTCTACCCCCTCTCCCCATTAATGGACCATCTCCACTTTCCTTTTTCCAGGTTTGATCCCATACAATTTCATCTGTGTGCAGACAGGCTCCATCCTCTCCACACTCACTTCTCTGGATGCTCTCTTCTCCTGGGAGACTGTCTTGAAGCTGCTGGCCATTGCCCTGGTTGCTTTGGTTCCTGGAGCCCTCATCAAGAAATTTAGCAGGAAGCACCTGGCGCTGAGTGACACAAGCAACACTAGTCGTCTAGATGGCAGGAAGGATGCGTGATACAGGTTCCATGTTTACACAGCCCTGGACTCTGCTGCTGATCTGTGTGACAGGCCTTTTACTGTCCTCACTGTGTTTTAACTCCCTCAAAGAGTGATCTGAGCGGCAGTTTAGTGTGCTCAGAGGCCGATTAGAAGGCACTGTTTGAGGGTCCAGTCCTGTTCAGGGTTCTGTGAAATGGACTGCTTTCTAGAAAATATTGTTCTGGTTCTATCCAACGGCAGAGGGCTCAATCTGTCCGGCTTGCCCCTTGCCACTCCCTGAGATGTCCTGGGAGAAGATGCTGGTGGCCTTTTAGACAGGCTGTGTGACAGGTACTCTGGTTAAGTCCCTGTGGCTATCACACCAGACAGGATTCTAGTCCCTGCTAGTCTCTTGAAGAGTGTCTTCTCTACCTTTTTGCTGATGATCTACCTCTCTGTAAGCCAAGGGACACAAGGGACACAAGACTTACACACACAGCTTGAGTGCAATGTTTCCTGTAATACCCCTGTTCACACGCTGATATTTCTATGTCTAAGCTCCTCGTGTTGTATGTCTTGAGAGTTAAGTTGAATGAAACATAATTAAACATGAATGTTTAATTGCATGTTTTGAATGTGTTCTGAGGAAATCATACCCCCACTCCACTCCTTGTCCCAAGGCTCTGCCATGAATCCAGTGGCCATCTGTATATTTTCTGCCTGGGAATTCCTTCTACCGCCTCCTGCTGTGAGAGTGACGTCAGTGCAGGAGGCTGTCAGCCAGGACACCCTGTATGTTGTATTTGTCTTTGCTAAGGACAGCTGAGGGATTTGTGCTCTTTAATTGAAAGAGGACAAAGTGGTGTGCTTGCCTGGCTGTCTTGTCCTCCACAGCTGTCACTGCATCTTCCAGCTGTGGCACTGGGCTGTGGACCTTGGCACCTGAGCAGATAGCTCTGTGGGCTTGGACCTCATGGGAACAACTCATGACAAGGACTCACCAGAACTGCTGCTCTAAGGCATCACAGGCTGGGCTGGTGTGTTTGTCCAAGCGTGGGCTCAGCCAAGAGTCTTGCCAAGGCCTTGTCTAGGCCTGCTGTGCATACTCGGGCTCCACAGTAATAGTGGATTTCCATGTCATGGCTTTAAGGCTTTTATATAAAAAATGTGCAGTAGAGGCCTTCCTAACGAGGGGGTGATGAGGAGACGACACTTGAAGCCAGTGGTTCCGGAGCATTTTGGAATAGAGGAGGAAAGAGAGAAGATGGGTTCTCTCCCCCTTTGTATGTGTGTCCTTTTCCCCTGGCAGGGTCCAAGCAGGACTGTGCACAGGTGAAGCTCACAGGTGAAGGGACTTCCGAAAGCCAGGGACATACATGTTCTGCAGTGAAGACAACACAGAGCTTGTCTGTATACATTGCTGACTCAAAACTACCCTTACCTAAGGGACCAGGATTGGCTGAAAGATATAATCCTAAAGACTGGTTTAGTTTTCCATTCTCAGCAGACCTCTGACCAAATTATGCCGGCTTCTCATTTGCCTCTTTTGGCTTCTTTAAGCGTGATGTCATTGGTAACAGGACAGCTGCAGGAGTGGCAGCAGATGGTTCAGGGAGATGCAGAGTGTCTGTCTAAGCCTTTATGGGAAAACTCAAGACAATGGAAACCGCAACTTTAGCAGCTGTCCCTGAAATGTAAGAGTCCTGGCTGCAGAACCCAGCTTGCCTCTCCCTGAAAACCCTGGCGGGGCAGCCTGTAGGACACAAACAGCACCTTTAGGAAAAGACAGGACCAGAAAAACATAAGGTATACTTTTTAATTTCATGCATTGGTTTGTTTCCATAATCATTCTTGTTCCCACTGCTGTTTGGTACAAAGCCAGAGCCAGTATCTGAACACGACAAAGAGCCTGCGACCCGGGAGTTTCCAGGAGACAAGGGAGTTCACTTTGAGACTTAGGTACAAGAAAGAAATTCATTTGCTCTAAATCAGCAGGAACTCAAGTTATTATAATAAATAATCAGAGAGAAAGAGAAGGAGGGATGGGGCAGACATACATACATTTAAAAAAGACTCATCCTCTGGGAAGTGGAATTCTAGAGGTGGAGAGCCACTGGGGTGGTGTGGTCAAGATAACCTTTTCCTAAGAGCTTGCTCATGTGGCTGGGCCCTCTAGCTTGTAGCCACGGAGGACCATGGCCATTGGCCAGACACTAGTGACCTCCAGTGCTGTATAGGGGCCCTGGCAGGCAGGGCTGTGATTGTGCTGGAAGCTTCCTGACAGTGACCTTGCCATATGCTGAGGACGTGGCCCCTGAATTCCTGCTGACACGCCTTCGCCATGTGGCATTTGCCAAAGCCTTTCCCTGTTTCTGACAGCGATCCTCCTCAGCCACCTGTCCCTGAGAAATGTTCTGGGTCCCACCAGATCCTTCACTCAGCAGCCTAGTTCATTCTTGTTTGAACAGCCATCTGCAGTGCCAACCTAAGCCACGCAGATAAGCGAACACACACATCCAGTGGGCCAGGCTAGAGGGAGGTAAGCACGTTGGGACATTTGTTCTATGGCATCAGCAAAGAAAAACCTTGCTGCCTGGAAAGGCACTGAATCCATACTGACAGTTGAAGAGAAATCTTGACAAAAAAGTTCACATTATTCTCCCAGCATTTTGGGCAGAAGCAAGTAACGGACTGCACACCCTAACCTCCAGTTCATAGACATGGAGGAACGTGCTCGTCTGGCTCAGTTCAGTGTGGGTGAAGAGATGCCACTGGTGCTTAGTCAACTGGACTGCAGTCCCAAGGGAGAGAATAAAGGCTAGTGGCCTTGGTCATGGCATGCCCCTGTCAGCCTTGGGGACTATAAGGAGATGTCTGGCATGGTCCTGTGCTTGCCCATCGGGGAACTCAAGGTCTAGAATCATCTTTAGGAAACAGTTGTGAGCTCAGAGCTGTGTTAATAAACAATCCGCACACCAACTGCACCAAGTCATGAATGGCGCTCCAGATGCTGCCATGAGTGGCCCTGAGCTGTAGCAAGGCTCATCAGGGAGCAATACGGTGCTCAGTAAATGATACTACCCGAGGTGTGTAGTGCGGAGTCAGTCCATGGTGTCATATGATAGAGTTTTGGTTTCTGGAGAAATAAGCACGGTATATGTGGAGTAGGGCAGGAATTCCTTGGATTTGACTTTTTGTTTTTGAGACAGGGTCTCACCAACTCACTCTAGCTGGCTTGGATGTAGGCTAGGCTAGCCTTGAAATCACAGAGCTGTCTGTCTCTGCCTCTCCCAGAGCTAGGATTAAAGGAATATGCCACCATACCCAGCTAGAAAGTTTTCTTTTTTTTTTTAAGAGAATTTGATGTGGGAAGGTGATTCCTATTGAGGAGCTATGGCAGTTGACAGCTACTGGGGAAGAGAATCACTCTTTTGAGGAAGAGGTTCACTGTTAGTTTCCCATGCTCCCCCAGTGGGTGTCCCTGTACACACACACACACACACACACACACACACACACACACACACACACACACACACTACCAAAACAACAACCCGAACAAAAACATGAAGTTGGGAGGAGGATGTTCCGGGTGGGATATGCAGGGGGAATGAGTGAATATGATCATATTTCACTGTATAATGTATGAAGTTCTCCAAGAATAAAAAATTACAATGAAAAACTTTGGGATATCAGGGCATGAGAGAAAACAGTAAACCACTAATCAATGGGAACACTCCCACTGAGAAGATGTCAATGCTACCTCGTGGGGAACACTGACAACCCTGAGATAGTGACAGGAACTCCAAAGCCATCACCTCCATCACCTAGAGGAGGTTAGGGGGATGGCTTGACACAAAGGGGCCCTGAATAAGTACTAGACAGTACTTACTCAAAATGACTAATTCCAGGGTTAAGTTGGTGAAACTAAAAAGGCTTAAGGTACTCAGTCTTCAAGCAGGCCACCAAGTCACCTTACAATGTCACGTCATTGTCCTGGGCAGATCTTCCACAGTCCTGCAGCTAGCTCAGAGGTCAGGCATGTTTCAAAGTGGACATATGCATCTCCATCCCTGTGCTAAGCAATTTGAAGAGGGACTCTTACTCAGACATGATCTAGAAAACGAAAGAAAATCCAGTGCTTGGGGGCAGTACACAAATGAAACCCCTCTTGGTAGTCAGTCAAAAGCAGATGGCCAAAGAGCATAGACACTCATCCTGTAGTCAGCCACGAAGCTTGAAGTTGGTCTGGCAAGTTCTTCGAAGCACCAAGGCGTGGTAGTGGCTAGCAGCACTTGGCTCTCATGTCCCTGAGCTCTCCACTTCTGAGGACTATGATGTTGTCACAGAAACAGTCAGTCTCAGTGTCCTGGCCCCTACAAAGCAGGCTGTGGAGGAAAGCCAGGGGAGAGACTGCTTTTCCCTTCCAACCCTGCTTAGAACCATAATTCTACTCAAAAGTGTGGGTTTTATTCATGTCTTGACAATACAGTGATTGACTGGAGTCAACACCATCCCCCTAGCATGCCTATACTAGTTGGTCTAGATAAAGGTGGCCTTACTGTGACAGACAGGGATGGGGATTCAGGATGCTGATGAAGACTGAGGTATCGGGTGGGCTCCCTGGGAGGACCGACACTGAAGGACACCAGACAGAAGTTGGCCTTCTTACTTCTCTGCTGCCACTGAAGGTGGGCACGGAACAGCACAAACAGCTGGCCCTGCTTTGTGTTGGACAGAAAGAATCTCAGTTCCGAGGAGTAAGGGACCTGAGGCTGAGGGATGAGAGAATGCTGCCTCTGATGCCTTTCCCCAGCCCTGTGACTCCCCAGTGCCTCCAGCTCCTAGAACTCACATCTGCTGCAGAAGCACCTCACGGCTGCCATTACACACTTCCAGTCTTTCTGTCTTTCCCAGCGTGTGGGGCTAGCGGGCAGGAGATGACTTGCTTTGCTGTCCACGCTGGAAACTACTTCATGAGCCCCCACAGAAACTCACTGTCTGAGCATTACATCTCTTTGTCTCTACTAGAGTGCCATGGTTTTATTTTTAAGACAGCTGAGAAAGTCTATAACTTTAGAGACTTTGGAACTACTTGGTCATCTACTTGGTCATCTGCCCATTCAGGGTTTACAATCAAGTAAAAAACAAAAATCACAGTGTACCCATTGGACATCAGGGCAGAGCCCATCTCCTCAGACCATTGCTGCTGTATTCAGGAATTCAGGGAATATACCGAGGAATGCCAGGCATCCCAGAGGGCAGTTCCAGACCTTCACTAGGCCCACAAAAGTCCATAATAATTCACGGTTATCAAGAAACAGTCATTGTGCTACATCATAAGCCACACCTTCTGGTCAACAGAAAATTATGACAACATAAAATGAAACAACAAGGATAATAATGCCATAACTTAAGCTCTCCTGTGTAGTCCTGCTACAGTTCATATAAAATGGAATAATTTAACAAAACAATACTGCTTTCTAAGTTAAACATGTTCCTTTATCCTTTCTACAAGCTATAAATTATGGACACTAAATTTTAAAATCAACGACTCAACATAAAGTGTAAACAAGGGAGGGCTCAAACAGAAGACTGGCTCTACATCCCCTCCTGCTTTTCATTTTTAGATGATGCAGTCAGTGACCCCCAGTAGGGGCACCATTTCCATTGGGGTTTTGGAATGTCTTAATACCAAACATCCTTATAGGATGTGGTGTCAGAATCCAGCCAGTGTGGATTTGGCAGAAGCCTGCATTGGAGACACAGAGACCAGGCAAATGGGTGTGTACACAAATTCTAGATTAGACACCTTTAAGCCAGGAATGCTGGTGCCCACCTATAATCTAGGCCTCTTCCTGCTTCAAGCCAACACTCCACAAAGTACCTTGGGGTACTTTTTATAGCCTAGGACTCTGGATACAGGAAGAATCACGTGTTTTTGAGATACTAAAGTAATCCTAATTCCTGCTTAGCATCAGCTGTTCTACAAATTTCCTAACCCAAGTAAAGAAAACTGTGGTGATTCAGAATAAACAAAACAAAACAAAAAAACAAAACACCTGCATTTTTACAAACAGTTCTCGGTTTGCCTTTCTGCAAACTGCTTCCTTTGCCTTTTATGCTACAGTAATAGACAGCCCTCAAAGCTAGAATAAGATCATGAACAAAAATAAAGATGGTTTGGGACTGGACACTGGACACACACATGCTAGCTGCCTTCTGTGTGAATCAATATGATTCCAGTAGATAGATCACCTGGGTCCAGGGAGGAGTTGTGCCCTCTGCTTGTATAGCCGAACAGCCGCCCTGAAAAGGAAGTTTACAGGCCTGTTTTCCTAATGTCATAGATGCTCTTTTTTCTACCCCTTTATCCCACTCAGGACCCCTTCCTCTTCCTGACAGAAGTGGCCAACAGGGGGACAGAAAGGGAGCTAGTTGAGAGGATGGCACACAAGTCTGAAAGACCACACTGGTCAAGGTTGTGACAGTGGCAGCCTCTGAAAGGAAGCATTTGCTAAGAGCAAGGCTTGATGATACTGTAGACTTTCCTGCCAGATTCTGCTTAGTGGGTAAGAGCTGAAACTGCTTGCAGACATGCAGTCACAGTTCGGTTTGCTTTTCCCTCTTAGAGGAAGCACATGCCCTCCGACACTTTGGAGCCATGAGATCACTCAACTTCCAGGTCATTTCTGTCCCTAACATGGACAAGCAGTTGAATGTAATGTGGCTGCATTTCCTTTGGATTGTGTTTTAAATGCTCAGTTTGTCTCATTACAACTCTTCAAGCATGGACGAAAGACCTGGTCCTATGTTCAAGCTACAGGGACACCTCTTAGCCCCATAAATTCTAAGTGTTGCTTCTAAAGACTCTTTCCTTTTTTTTTTTGTAAAGAAATTATTGTGTCTGTGTATCATATATAGTTCACTCTTTACAATACAAAGTGTTAAAATGTCCAACAAAAATAAATATCAATGTTATAGTAGCTGGAGGATCCGGTACAGTAGATCCCTGCCATCCCTGATTGAACGCTCAGTGAGACGTAGTATCATTTGGGTATTTCCCCAGAGATTTAACAAATCTCGTGTTCCTGTCAGTGTGGCTTGTTTCTGGGATTGGGTCACTCCTTCCAGACGAATGCAGGAGGGAGGAGTCTAGAGCTGGAGAGGATTCAAGATGCCAGCGTCTTGAGAGATCTGATGGAGAGCACTTGTCACCAAGTGGCAGAGCTGTAGTTCTTGCTGGTCCTAACAGTGGCGTCAGAACATTCTCCCTCTGAAGAGTCACAGTCCGAGTCTCCAAACTGCACAGCGTTCTGCAAAGTTCAGACAAGAGGTCTTAATTCTCTTCTTCACACCTCAGTGTGGGCATGTTGACAGCCCTTAACTCCCTTCCACAGCCCTCGCTGAAGGTGAGCGGAACACTCTGTGTTATAGGAGCTGACAAAGACAAATGAGTCTGGGCCCTGTTCTTGGGGGAGCTTATGGAGAAAAGAGCTATATAAAGTTTGTAATGCTGGTGGTGGCTGTGGCAAGCAATTGTACCAGCTCCCTCACATCCCATTTCCATAGCATTCCGTGTCCCGGGTACCACGTTCTCTAAGTCCTTTACATCTGTTAGTCCAGTCTCCTCACCTACTGAAACAGATCACTTCTCACAGATTTGACAGCTATCACAAACATTTTATAGGGAAGGAAACTGACCTTTGCTGAGGTTAAGCAACTTGCCCAAGGTAGGTAGAGTAGCTGGGTCTGCATCTAGGCAGTCTGAGTCCAGGGTTTACACCTATAAGCACCACACTCTCCTGGCTCTCCACAGGCCATACCGTTCTATATAAGAAGCACTGTATCTTCTGTGCTATGGCAATGTCTCCCAGAGGAGAGCCAGGGCACGGAGGGATGGGCGGTCAGCCCATTAACAGGATTGGCAGATGGGATGAGTGGGGGTGGGGGTAAGGGGTCTCGGAACATTTCATGTCTCTGCCTCATTTGTGAGACACCGTTCTTACTCAGAGAGCCCCATGGCTACATCTCTGTATTTACATCGTGGAGGTAGTGTATATCTCATCTACTGATTGAAAATTATAAAGACCTGGAGGCTAGAACCTACTTGTGCTGTTTTTTTTTTTGTCAATTTGACAAGCTAGAGTCCTCCGAGAAGAGGAAAGCTCAACTGAGACAATGCTTTCCTCAGACTGGCCTGAAGGCTGCTCTTGTAGGGAAAAGGGGCAGTCAAAGAAACACACTCTGAGCAGAGCCAAAGAAACACACTTTGGCCCTGCAACCAGAACTAAAGAAATGTACCCTGACCCTGAAACCAGTGCCAAAAGAACATACTTTGTCCCTGGAATCAGAATCAGTGAAAGAAATGCACCCTGGCCCTAAAATTGGAGCCAAAATGCTAAAAAGGATCAGAGAAAGAAACACACTTTGGCTCTGAAACCAGAGCCAAATCTGACCCTAATCCTGTGCAAAAAACTAACCAATCCCTGAGCAGAGCTCTAGCCAATCTGAGCTCAACATTGAAATCTGACCAATCCCTACCCTGGAAGTCCTATATAAACCCTGGGTCTGTTCAGCTTGTGTCTGTTCACGCTACCAGGCTGTCCTCTGCCCTCCAGCCTGTCCTCTGCCCTCCAGCCACTCTCCTGGGTTCTTCCCTCCCAATAAACCCCTTCAATGAGCTTTGGGTGAAGATCTTCTTTTGTAGCGGTGACGGAGCAGAGGTGACCCTGGGCAGAGTAGAGCAGAGCGAGCAGGGCTGTAACACTTGCCCAGGGAACCTTCCCTTGGCAGAGTGGAGTTGTTACACTCCACTCTGCTCCCTGCTCTCTGCTCTCGGCTCTCTGCTCTCCAGGAGCAGAGCTGAACTGTAGCAACTTCGCCTGAGAAACCTCCTGCCGAGCAAAACTGCTACACTAGGCAAACATCCCCAGCTGAAAGACCCTGTCCTGCCGGAGCACAGCGGATACACTGGAGAAGCCTTTCCCTGAGGCTGGGCTGTAAGCAGCTAAGCTTACTGCAACCTGTGGTGGTCCTTGGCTGCGGAGCTCCAGGATACCTTCCTACCTGAGCTGTGTAACATTCAGTATCCTGTGACTCCCAAGTGCCAGAGGACCCCTCCATCTGAGCTGTGTAACACTCAGTATCCTTGGCTCCCGAGTGCCAGAATACCTGACCCACTCCTGTTCCATCCTGATCTGCCCGAAACGCTTACATTTGGTGCCGAAATCCGACCCAAAATGCCTACATTTGGTGCGGAAACCCGGGATGCCAACAGCTCTAGGTAAGGTTTCCCTGATTAAGTTGGTTTGGGAGAGCCCAGCCCACGGTGGGTAGCACCACTCCCTGGGCAGGTGGGCTAGGGTTGTACAAAAGAAAAAAAAAAAAAAAACCAAGCCGGGCCAGCCGTGGGAGCAGGGCAGTAAGCCGCCATCTTGAGAGGCCGCTGCTGCAGTGTCTGCCTCCAGGTCTGTGTTAGCTCCTGCCTTGGCTTCTCTCACCGATGGATGGTGAGTTAGGGGATGGAATAAACCCTTTCTTCCCCAACTGGCTTTTGGTCACAATATTTATCACAGCAATAGAAAGCAAACTAGCATAATACTCTACACTCCAAAGAACCAGGAAGCGCGTAGTGCAGTGAGGAGGAGAGGGAAACGCCCACCTCGTAGCCACGCTCCTCTGCGCACAGCTTGCCCAGGGACATCTGTGTCTTCACACGCCGGACAGCACACTCCTTGTCAGAGAGCCCGTCTGAGTGGGAGGAGATCTCAATGGGGGCCTCAGGTGTCTGGGACAGCAGGTCATCTAGTTTCTCTGCCAGGCCGTCTTCCCGTCTGTCAGCTGACTCATCGGGACTGTTCGAGTGGTCACTAGTGTTCCCTTCCTCTCCATCAGACACAGAGAAGTTCTCGGAGCTAAAGGTTGAGTATGACTGGCAGCTGCTAATACAACGGTGAGGTCTGGGAAGGGAAAATACAGACTTAAGCTGAGGAGGAGTGGCTCCCCGCCTTATCTGTCAGCCGGAGTGTTATCTCCTGCCCAAGAGGAAGACTAAGAGTCAACATTTACAGACGTAGAGAGGAGCATGGACTGAACTGTGCCCTCCCCAAATTCTCTATTATTTACCCATCTCTCACATAGGAGGTCACAGGAAGAAGGTGGCTATCTGCAAGCTAGGAACAAAGCCTGGATTAGGAACGCAATCACTTTCACTGCCATCTTGGCCTGACTGCCCAGCTTCCACACCTGGGAGAATCATGTGTTGTCCCATAAATTCCCTCGTCTGTGGTATTTGACTACAGCAACATGGACAGACATACACAAGGAGGCCCACTAGAAACCAGCAGTCACCACAAATACATGCCACCCCTCCCAAACCGGACACTGTTCCGGAGTGTGGCAGGGATCTATATTCATGCTCCTCGTGAACTTCTCTGGAAACGAATCTGATGACCTGTGACCTGCTGTGCAGGGCGACCATCAGACACGGCGTGGGAAGACGTCAGAGTTCGTTCCATGTCCCTTAGGCCTGTGGCTGAGCCAGGTGCGGCACACTTGGAGCTGCCCTGCCTCTGAACGCGGTCAGGCTGCGCGGGCTTACCTCTGTCTTCGAGGAAACTCCACTTCACTGTCCACTTCTCCTTCTTCCTCCGAGGAGTCGTCTCCACTCTGAGCGGGGGAGGAGACAGGCACTTTATCGGCTTTAGAGGCTTCCCTCTTCCCCACCTCCCATCACCTCGGACAGATTTGACTTTTCATCTGAAGGGTTTAGTGATAGCCTGCTGAGGGTCACTTCAAACCCACCCACCCACATCCCAGTAGGGTAGCCCACAACTGGAATCCTTCCACTCCAGAGGGCGAGGCAGCCCAGGCACATAGTGAGTTTGAGTTCCAGGCCATCCTGGGCTATTTAGTCAAACACTGTCTTAAAGCCAAACAAACAAACAAAACAACTGCCCAATACCAAAGCTAAGCAGTCTAAACCAACACATCCATTCAGCAGCAGGATGCCCTGTTTCCATGACAACAGGCCCTTTACCAGGGGCTAGAAAACATGCCACTTTCCCTTTGCCTGCAGGAGGTAGAGGCCCCCATGCAAGTGCCCAGAGAGGACTGACGGAGAGGAAGCTGATGAGGTCTTGGATTCAGAACACTATCCTGTAATTAGGAGTGGTCCTAGGACCTTTTTCTTTTCTGTATCAATCACTTTGCCACTAATACTACAGCCATGGGAAGACATGTAGTGTTTAAATGTCAGTGTTAAATGTGAAAACAACCTGTTCATACTCAACTCCAGAACAGGGTCACTGAAGGTATAATTACATAAGTACATACAGTCATCACTTTCAATTAAAAAAGATTCTTCATGCATTTTCCCTGTGTCCGCATGTTGGTGGGGACAAGGGGGCTCTGGCTGGGACCACGGAGATGGTTGCTGGGCTCCATGGCTGATGTGAGAGGCTGCATATGTGAACGGCTGACAGCTAATCTTCCCCATAGGGAGGACCTCACCTGGCACTAAGGGCAGGAAATAAGCCACAGGCAAGATCAACTATCATTCCCCCATCACCACAGTCCCTGCATTACAGTCTTCTAGGAGCTTAGACGGACCCACTGGGCGGTGGGAAGGATCCAGAGGTTGATGGTAATTTACATTTTTAAAAGCCAGTTCTAAAATATCACAATCTTATTCATGGTATTTTGACATGCATTTTAAAATTTATTTTTATTTTATTTATTTTCATTTTTATTTTTTTTACAATAGTTTCCAGTGAGACAGGGCTGGAGTTTGTAATCCTGATCGCCAAGATGAGCAGTTGCATTAGACCCACCCTCCACAGAAATGCATCTTGGAAAGAGAAGCTGAGTTGCTATGGGGTGTGCAGTTCCAATGAAGCAGAATGTGCTATGTGTTCTAGGGCTTGCAGAGCGATAGATGGCATCAAAATGGCAGTAGGGTGGTTCAAAGGTACATGTGACACGGAGTGACTAAGATGAAAATGCTTTAAAACTGGTCACTGAGGTGGCTACAGAACCCTGTGGGTAAGAGGCAGTGAGCCAGGCTGGCAAGATGGCTGGGGGCACAGGAATCTGCTTCCCATCAAACCAAGTTGCCGATGGTGGTGTATGTCTACAATTCTAGCATGCAGGAGCTAAGACTGGAGAATTCTGAGTTTGAGACCAGTCTGAGCTACACAGCAAGACTCTGTACCCGCAAACAAACCAAACCAGACCAAATCAACCAGCTGTCCCATGAAGTATCTAGTTGACCAAACAAGCTCATCTTACTCCCTCTTCTTCCCTCAACAGGGATGAGGAGCTGAAGCAACATTTAGGATTAAAGGTTTACCATGTTCCAAAGGCTTCTCACAATAACCTCTGTAGAGACCTTAGCAAGGCAAGCAAGCATTAAGCAGGCTGCATTCCAGACACCATTTTAGACGCTCTCTACTTACTCATCCCTGTAGCCTTCAAGTCCACCAGCATGGCAGGGTCCACTAATGGGCCCTTTGCACTGACAGTGGTAGATTCACAGGTGCTAAGTGGACGACCCTGGCTTTGAACTGCTGACTTCCAAGCTTAGATCTCCAACACCACAGAGGACTGCAAGGCAGCCAATGGGGAAGACAAACAGGTTTCATGGTTTTAAACTAGCTGGGTCAAGATGGCTGTTAATGCTATGTTGTAGAGATTATTGGTGCCCAGGGAATTAAGAAGCATGGGTTTTAAATGACTACGTAGCCAAACAGATGCAGGAATGTTGGGGTGACAGTTCACTCTGTGACTTCTACAAGACCATGTTTGCCATTGTGCTCACTCCATTTCCTAAACTTCCTTGGGACGTCCCTCAAGACTGGAGTTCTAGGACAATAGTTTGCAAACATTTTGACTATGTCTTTCATATATGGTTGTCCCAGTCTCCCAGGTCAGTAATCCCCCAAATATCCTCCCTGGCCAGCCTCTGGAGCACTGTGGAGGGAGAAGTCTTTAAAGCAACAGAAACATCTGAAACATCTGATTTTGGTGGCTCATCCTTTTCCAAAGACACACCAGTTTTTTTTTTAATGTTTTTGTTTGTTTGTTTGCTTTATCTTGTTTTGTTTTATTTTTCGAGACAGGTTTCTTTGTAGCTTAAAGCCTGTCCTGGAACTCATTCTGTAGACCAGGCTGGCCTGCGAACTCACAGATCTGCCTGCCTCTGCCTCCTGAGTGCTGGGATTAAAAGTGTGCACCACCACCGCCTGGCTGGCACACCAGTTTTATAATGTGTACCACATGATTGACTCTGATGTTATTTGATGGCAGTGACACAGTCTACTCTTGTCATACCTTACCTTTTGAAGGGGTCTTGTCTTTTGAGGTAGCACTGGGGGTGTGAATTGATGAGAAATACCAGACTGACAGCCATTGAATCCATTTGCCTCCATTCTCGTGGAGCCCTGGGCGTTTCCTGAAAGAGGATTGTGTGCTGGTGAACTTGAATAGTCTGGGCTGTTTCCCACTGGCTCAGTGGTGGGAATAGCTAAAGACCCAGAATGCTCTGGCCTGCACTGGAGACAGGGATCATAGGCTTCTGTCTGACAGCATCCCCAGGGTCCGGTTTGCTCAAGATCAGAACCCCTCCAGCAATCGGCCGCCATGGCTGTGGAGATGAGGTCAGGGCTGGAGCCAGGCATCTGTCTTTGAGCATGGTTGCTGAGTGGACTCCGCAGGGCTGCTGCTGGGCCGAAATACCTCAGGTTATTGGCACAGGTTGCGATGTCCTGCCCATGTATATTGAGTCTGGGATGGCGGCTCTGAGGCAGGGCAGAAGCGGGTGGCTGGTATTGCTGCTGGAGGGGATTATGCTGATGCAGAGGCTGGCACGGAGCCTGAGTGTGAGGCAGGTAAGGGGGGTGTGGTGAGTCTTCCTGGGTTGGCTGGCTTTTCAAGATTGCTGCAAAGTCACTATGGCTGCCTCTACTATTCCCTCGGCGGTGACGAGGTTTGCTTCGATATCGGCTCTTGCTGCTTGAGGTGGACATTCTGGGACTTCCAGACAGAGGGGATGCAGTGGGAACCACTTCTGCACTGGGGATACCTTCAGATCGTAACAGGTCTGGCCTGGGAAGAAGAACAGACTTGTTTCAAACACATCAAAACATGTTTAGCATTCATATTCATCAGTGGCCCTTATGTTATTTTCAGGTGACAACAAATTCTGTGAGGTTGCTATTATTAAAAAAACAAAATCAAAACAAGGGCTGCACAAGCTGCCACAGCAGACAGTTGCTTGGCTCTTATGGTGGTCATGGCAATATGTAAGCAGAGGCTGGGAATTAGCTCATGATGTGGTCGCTAGTGGTTAGGATTGTAGTAGTTGTGCTATGTTAGAATGCTCACTATCCACACAACCTTCTAAAGCATTCTTGGCACGCAGGAAATAAGAAAACAACTGACAAGTGGGACCTCATGAAAATAAAAAGTTTCCATGACAAAGGAAACAAGTTAATGTAATGAGGGGACAGCCTTTAGAATAGGATTAAAATTTCTGTCACCTAGAAATCTGACAGAGGATCAATATGAAGATACACAAAGAGCCCCCAAAACAAACAAGAAAATAAATGACCAAAAAAAAAAAAAGGCTAAGGAACTGAAAGAGCATCTTCCAAAGATGCTCAGTCAGCAAGGCACTTGACACAGAAGCTCACGGTAATGAGTTTGATCCCCAGAACTCATGTTTAAAACAAGAAGCCAGGTGTGGTAGCATGGTCTTATAACCCCAGCTTGGGGGTGGGGCTGGTGGAAGTTAGGGAAAAGGGGAGGCAGAGACAGGTAGATTCTGGGGACCCACTAGCCAGACAGCCTAGTCTACTTAATGAACTCCAGGCCAGTGTGAGATGGCCAGTCTCAAAAGAATAATATGGATGCCATCAGAGGAACACCAGTCAAAAATGACCTTTCCACTCCAAATGTACACACATACAATGCACCTATACACATGTGCACACCTGTGTACACACACACACACACACACACACACGCACACACACACACACACACACACACACACACACACACACACTGAAGAAACATTGGTTCACACTTTTAGCCACCAGGGAAATGTAAACTAAAACTACTTAGAAGTTCTTTCTCACCTCATTTAGTGACTATCATCAAGAAAACAAATGACACCAAATGCTGGCAAGGATGTGGAGAAAGGAACTTATTTACACTTGATGGGAGTGTAAACTCGTGCACCACTGTGGAGGCTCCTCCAAAAGCCAACACTAGAATTACCATATGACCTAGTTTTACCACTCCTGTGCATATATCCGAAGCACTGCGTGCCACATCATAGAGATACATGCACACACATTTCCCGAAGCTCTACTCAACAGACAAGAAATGGAGGCAGCCTACACAGACATCAACAGAAGAGTGCATAATGGAAATGAGTTACACATGCACAATGGGATTTTATTCAGCTGCAAAGAAAAATGAGATTATGAAAAATTCAGGGAAATGGATAGATCTGAAAAACATATTAAGTGAGGTAACCCAGGCTCAGGAAGATAAACTCCCCGTGTTCCCTGTCATATGTGGATCCCAGCTTCAAATGTAGATAAATGTGTTTGAATGAACATGTGTGGAGGTCAGGAAATTAGAAAGATGCCCCTGAGAGTCAGGGGGAGGCTTTCGGGGAGAGGAGTGGAGGGTTATAGAATACATCTAATACGAGTCTGGAGGGGAGAACATTAGGGGTAGAAGGGTGTAAGCAGGGGTGGGGAGCACAGAGACGTGTGGTGATATATTATTTATGATTTATTAAAGCTTGCCTGAGGATTCTGAAAGCAAAGTCAGTCACAAACTATAGAAGCCAGGCACACACCTTTAATCCCAGCATCCAGAAGCTAGGAGGTGGTGGTACACACCTTTAATCCTAGGACTCGGGATTAAGAAGTAGACAGAGCTCTGTGAGCCAAGGCCACTCAGATTTACACAATAGTGAATCAGTCTAAAAGAGAATTATAGCTCACACCTTTAATCCCAGCATTAGGGAAGTACATAAGACAGAAGCAAGGTCTCAGAGAGGCATTCATTCTCCAGCCACGCTGAGGAGAGGTTACAGTCTGAGGCTTGGTGAGAGCTCATGGAGACAGGATTGGCCCATTCAGCCTGAGGCAGAGGTAAGAAGCTAGTGGCCAGCTGTTTTGCTATTCTGATATTCAGCTTGAAGCCTGAACCCCAATATCAGTCTCTGGGTCATTTTATTAATTCCTGTTACAGAGACGGGAGGTAGGGAAGAGGAGACAGAGGACAGTTGTAGGGAGGGTCAACCAAATCTCAGCATGTATGAAAATGCCATAAAAAACCTGCTACTTTCTAAGTTAATACAAATTTAAAAGATAAAACTACATTTTAGGTTAGCTGGATGGTGGTGGGGCAACCCTTTAATCCCAGCCCTTGTGGGGCAGAGGTGGTGGATCTCTGAGTTTCAGGACAACCAAGGCTACACAGGGAAACCCTGTCTCAAAAAACCAAACCAAACAAACAAATAAACAAACAAACAAACCCCAAACTCTTGGCTTGTGTTTCTCCCTCCTATTTTCTTATTGCACTTGGTCCAAGTCTTGCAAACCGAGGCTCAGGACACTCTCTCTTTACAGTAACCGGTCTGGGATGCAGCCACTTCCCTGGCATTTGAAAATTATAAGACTCCACAGCAATTGGAAATTGTAAAAAGGAGTGAAAAGGTACACTAAGATGTTTTTGAAGGTGCGAGGCATTGAACTTGGGGCTCCATACAGCTAAACATATATTCTACAGAGATGTAGCTTCATTTTCTATATGAGATTAAACCAACATAAAGCAAATGTTATAAAAGGGTAAAGAAGCCAGGCATGGTGGCACACACCTTTAGTCCCAGGACTCGAGGCAGAGGCAGGTGGATCTCTATGAGTTCGAGGCCAGCCTGGTCTACAGAGGGAGTTCCAGGACAGCTAGGCCTACACAGAGAAACCCTGCCTGGAAAAACCAAAACATAAAAATAAATAAATAAAAGGGGAGAGGATGATCTCCTAAAAATTAACCCCGGCTTTTGAACACCATTGCCCTAAATGTGATTTTGCACTATTTTAACTTCACAGTAGGGGAGTGATGGCATGTGCTTTTTGGTTACCCTAGCTACTTAAAATAGTGAGGCAGGAGGACATTGAGTTTGAGGCCAGTCTGGGCGACTGCCTAACAAACAAACCAACAAAACGAGTCATACAAATCCCATGCCCACTCTACCCATGAGGATACCACAGTTGAAAGAGACCAAGTGACATGGCCCAAGTCACATACTTACAAAGCAGACTGGAGTTTCAGCCCGGTCTGACTGTCCCTGGTGCATACTTCCCTGTTCTGCATTTGGTGCTAAAACAGAATGCCTCAGGTGGTAAAAATGAGACTTGTGGGGTCTGTGCCATGCTCTCTTTCCTCTTCCTACTTGGTTTTTATGTACACCCCATGCACTGCTGGCGAACTACAAAAGGCCACGCCCACCAAATCTGAGCCTGCCCTTTTCCAGGTGTCCCCATTTATCTGAATGCAGATGGATGGGTACAGTTGTCTCACCGCTTAGTCTGCACTCCAGCCTTGTGAGACACACCCTTCCTTTTCATGAGTTTCTCCATGGCATTTGGGTGGATTATTGGACGGACGGGGTGTCGTTTGTAGGTCCCAGGATACTTCTTTTCCACTGCTTGCTCTCGTCTGTGGGACAAAGGAAAAAAAACTCTTTGGTTTTGGTAGACGGAAAGACAGGACAGAGATGATCTAAGACGGTGACCGTGTGCTGGGAGGCCCTGCTGGTCTGAGGTTTCAGTCTACCATGGCCTGGCTGCTCTGTCTAAGCATAGCAACAAGGACGATTCCTCTGCCCCAAGGCACCCTGTTCTCTACCTGACCTCATTTGGTGACTGTCTGTCTCTATGTCCAGATGCCTGACTTATCTCCAGTGTGACCCTTGCTGCAGTTGACTGTAGAAGCTTTCCTCCTGCTGCCCATATGGTAATTAGACATTGTTCTAGGAGTAATATGATAGGACCATGCTTCATTAAGACTTGTACTAGGAGCTTTATGATAGGAACTTGCTGTTTAATGCAAATTAGGGTATGCCCCCACCACTGTCCCAGCCTTTGTATCTCCCCTCACTCTGGAATAGAGTTGAGCTGAGTCACTGAAGTCATATCCTGGAGAGCTATCTCTGTTGTGCTCACAGGCTCGTACAAAGCTCTCTGTTGTGGCCTCTCCCCCTTGTTCTCATGAACTGGGGGCCAACAGGCCATGAGGAAAAAAGGGACCCCTACAACTGTGGGACCAGAAAATGCCCTCCTAATCCCCTACCTACTGAAGAGGAAAAGCAGACTCTAATCAGGAGGTTGCTAACCAGAGCACTGTATTAAGCATCCTCTACAGAACAAGTGGACACTGGGGATGTGGCTCAGTGGTTAAGAGCACTTTGCTGCTTTTCCAGAGGACCTGAGTCCTAGCACACATGTCAGGTAATTTATAACTGTCTGTAACTCCAGACCCAATGTGGCGTAGAACTAAACAGAGTTCTCAAAAGATGAAACACAGATGGATGAGAAACATTTTACAGAACTGTTCAACATCCTTAGACATCAAGGAAATGCAAATAAAACCACTTTGAAATTTCATCTTATTCTAATTAGAACATCTAAGATTAAAAAAAGAAAAAAGAAACCAAACCAAAATCCTCCCAAAGGTAAAGGGGAGCACTCATTCCCTGCCGCTGGGAGTGAAAACTGGTATAACCACTGTGGAGATCAGTGTGAAGCTTCCTCAAAGAGCTAGAGCCAGATCTGCCACATGACTCTTGCTCCACACCCTACTTGAGAGACACCCACTCATCCATGCTCGGTGCTGCACTACTCAAAATAACTAGGAGATGGAAAAGCCCAGATATCCACCAACTGATAAATGGTAATGAAACGGTGTTACATTTACACAATGGAATACTATTCAGCTATTGCGAACAAATGAAATGGGACTCGGGAGATGGCTGAGCAGTTAAGGGCACTGGCTGCTCTTCTAGAGGTCCTGGGTTTGATTCCAACACCCACATGGCAGCTCACACCATCTATAACTCCAGTCTAGTGGTTCTGATACCCTCTTCTGCCCTCTGTGGTTACTCTATGCACATGGTGCACAGACATAGACTGGCAAAATAACCATAATATACATACATTTTTTAAAAGAAAATAAAATAGAGGAAAAATTAAAATGAAGAAAAACAATATGAAATTGGCAAGGAAATAGATGGAGCAGGAAATAATTGTTTTGAATGAGATAACTAACCTTTCTCTCGTTTGTGGATATTAGTTTTGAATTTTCAGATAGGCATGTTAATTTAGAATACCCATAGAGGTCAGGGAAACACTAAGGGGCACAGTGGGGGGGGGCTTTAAAAGGAGAGGAGATACAGAGCAGTGCTGTAAAATCTTAAAGAGGATGAGAATAAGAGAACAGGTTAAAGTGGCATGGGGAACGGGAGGACAGGGTAAAGGAGGGCTATGGGAAGGAATAGATGACTCTAGAAAGTCTTCAATAAAACAGTTAAATGGAAATCAACCTATTACTGTACAAGTTTACACACACATACACACACACACACACACACACGAGAGAGAGAGAGAGACAGAGAGAGAGACAGACAGACAGAGAGAGAGAGAGAGAGAGAGAGAGAGAGAGAGAGAGAGAGAGAGAGAGAGACAGAATAGTTACCCTTTGTTCAACAATGTCCTTACTAGATACGACAGGCTAACAAAGAAAAAGCTTAGTGCCAGGAATGGGTTACTTCTTTTGTAGTTTGGGGCTCCACTGAGGTTCCTTAGATCCAAAACATTACAGGCTATTGCCAATCTCTTGGTTACCCTCCAGAACTTGACAGTAAGACCCTATTGCTGAAGACCTTGTACTTGAATCGTAGAGCATGGAGATACTAAACTGGAACTGACGTGGAAGCCTCCTCTCTATTGGCTAGCTTCCATAGTGCTGGAAGGCCCTACATATGCTACCAGAAGAGGAAAGCAGTTATCAGTCTTACCTGCTGTGAACCGAGGCCTACAACAATGCCCAGCCTGGTAAGGCACGCTCACTGGTGCAGTAGTAGCACAAACAGCATAGGAGAGACAACCACTTTCTTACTTGATCTATGTCCCCCTCTGTTACCTGAAGCCCACACTGGCATCATTGTCAGTCCAAGCATCTCTGGCTACACAGGCCACAGGCCTAGGGGAGAACCTCCTACTACTATTCTGCTAAATGGACATAGTATTAAAGGAACTCGTATTGAGTTCTCCTTATACCTATAGATTTATGCATCCTTTCTGAGAAACTTCTAGTTGAAGTAGCTGTGATTAGCACAGAGACCTGCAGCTGGCTGTTGTGGAATGTTCAAGCCTAATGGGACATAAATACTGTACCCTCTCTCAAGGCTCAGAGGTCATGATGGAAGAAGGGGCAGGAAGACTGTAGGAGCCAGAGGTAGTGAGAACATACAAGGAAAGTGTTATCTGGAGGTATGTGGACAGTTGCACCTATGCATTTAAATTGGTTTTGACAATATGCACAATATGCAAGCTCAAGCCAGACCAAGTCCCAGCAAGGAGACAGGAGTCTGACATGAAGTCCCATCCCAAGGCCAAGGAGCTGCTGGCAAATGATAGCTGCTTGGAGAGAGAGAGTTGGTTTTCTTGAAGAGTGCCATAGGGGACATGAAGTTGGTTGGGTAGGGAAGTGGCTGGTGGATCTGGGAGCAGATGGGCGAGGGCTGCATATCGTCAAAAGTCAGCTCATTGTACGAAATTCTCAAATAACTAACTTGAAATATCTTTTAGATATATGGATAGAGAGAGAGAAGTCAGTGCAGAATTTTTTAATTTGTCTACAAGTTCTACCACACTTTGTATAAAAAGGCTACTATCAAGTTTAAGCAAACAACCTGGAGGTACTGAATTTAAATTAACTCAACCCTATTTTGTTCTCAGCTCAAACTCATGGATTATCTTTCTCTTCCCCAACGCAATAAAGGGCAGAAGCTTTGCTTATTTGGGTCCAGACCCCATGGCCATTTTGGCAGCCATTAGGGATCCCCAGCACAGTTTTCAGCAGTATTGTATTTCCCATAGGTCAATGAGCCTCTGTTTATCCACATGAAGTTCTGGAAATGACACCCCTGTCTGAAACATGCATTTGGCAGAATGATGTACACACGATGAACCGTGCATTCAGAAGAATGACCTACACATGCTAAACCGTGCTTTCGGCAGAGTGATGTACACTTGCTGAACCGTGCTGCAGAGTGACGTGCACATGCTGAACCATGCATTCAGCAGAATGCATGCTAGTCCAGTAAGCAGTCCCATATCATCCCTGCAGCAACTCTGCTAACTTGTATGCCTCACCCTGACAGGGACCTGTGGACAGTAAGTCCCTAAGGACTGTTGACTGAATGACTAAGATAACTGCGCCTCCACTGTAGCTGCACCATGACAAGGGCAGTGTGTCCTGTTGACTGACAGACTCAGAGCAGCGAGGGCTGTCACGGGCAGCATACGTACTTTAGGAGCTCCTTCTCCCGCATTTCCAGCTGCAGCATGATGGCGCTCAGCTCCATGTACAGATTGTTAGCACGCTCAAGCTTTCGCTCATAGTGCTCTCGAATGTCCAGAGCATGTCTGTCAATGAAAACACAGGCTGAGCATGGCTGAGGAGCACGCGCAGTGCCTTACTGCAAGGCACCAAGCACAGGGGGTTCAATTTTTACAGTTTTCTTAACACAACGATTCAATCAAGGAGTGGGGGATGGGAAATCTGAGCTGAGTGTTTTACCCTAAGGGCTCCTCCAACCACACAGAAAGCCAGGTGGACCACAGGCAAAGTAAGAATACGGCTGTGTACACTTTATAGTCTTCTTTTGTGCCCATGGGCACAATCTTAATTCAATAGTATATTTACATATTAGTGAACGTAATTTAAAGTTGACACCACGATCATATGCTTATCCATGGCACAGATCTTATCTGGGCTAGTGTGGTCTCAGTGTTTCCCGTCACATTAAAATGCAACCCTTCACTCATAAGGTGGCGGGATGGCAGGTGGCGGGAGGGAGGTATTAGAGGGAACCTTTTGTTTCTCAACCGTGTGAAGACACATGTGGGTACCATGATATGATGAACGGGCCTTCACCAGATGCTGAATTCGCTGGGGCTTTGATGTTAAATAGCTCTGCCCCCAGAACCATAAGCGGTGCATTTCTTCTGTTTATAAATTGCTAAATCTAAGGCATTGTTACAGAGGCCAAATTGCCTAATACTGTGGTTATGTTGAAATGTCTTAATAGGTCTTGAGGCTGGGAACTGCTTATCAATTCCTGGTGTCCAATGGCAGCAAGAGCAGTGGAAGTGCTCTAAGAGACCAAGTTCAGAGGACCGTAAAGGAGGGGACAGAGGTGACAGGAGCAGGCAAAAGGACAGGTGAAGGGGGCTGTGTGTGTGTGTGTGAGTGTGTGAGTGTGCACATGGTGAAGGGAGCTCTGTGTGTGTGAGTGTGCACATGGTGAAGGAGCTGTGTGTGTGAGTGTGTGAGTGTGCACATGGTGAAGGGGGCTCTGTGTGTGTGTGAGTGTGTGGGCATGCACATGTTAAAGGGAGCTCTGTGTGTGAGTGTGCACATGGTGAAGGAGATGTGTGTGTGAGTGTGCACATGGTGAAGGAGATGTGTGTGTGAGTGTGTACATGGTGAAGGGGCTGTGTGTGTGAGTGTGTGAGTGTGTGTGTGCACATGTTGAAGGGACTGTGTGTATATGTGTGTGTACGCACATGTTGGAGGGGCTGTGTGTATGTGTGTGCTTGCACATGTTGAAGGGGCTGTGTGTGTGAGTGTGTGAGTGTGTGTGTGCACATGTTGAAGGGGCTGTGTGTATATGTGTGTGTACGCACATGTTGGAGGGGCTGTGTGTATGTGTGTACGCACATGTTGGAGGGGCTGTGTGTGTATGTGTGTGCTTGCACATGTTGAAGGGGTTGTGTGTGGGTGTGCATATGCCATGGTGTGTGTGTGGAGGTCCCTCATCTAACTGAGCTGGAGGCCCTCTGTTGACTTCTGCACTGCACAGCTCAGGCTGGCTGGCCACAAGCTTCTAGAGAGACTCCTGGCATTGTCTCCCATCATGCCCCAGGATTTCTTGGATCATAGCTGCCATGCCCTGATTTCTGTGGGCTCTGAACCCAAAATTGGGTTCTCACACTCCTGTGGCAAGACTGTTACTCACCGAACAGTCTCTCTAACCACATGGTAACCTTTTATTGTTCAAATGTTCATTATTTTTAACTGATACAAAAATTGTACATCTTTGCAGGGTACCAAGTAATACTTCCATACATGTATTTGTTGTACAGTGTTCAAATCAGGATAACCAGGGTTGGAGAGATGGTTCAGTAGTTAAGTGCACATACTGCTCTTCCAGTGGCCAGGAGTTCAATTCCCGGCACCCATATCAGGTGGCTCACAGCCATCTGCAACTTCATTTATGTGGGGATCTGATGCCCTGGCCCCATGGCATCTACACACATGTGCTCATACCACACACAGACATGTACATAGAAATAAGAAATTAATGAAAAATCAGGGTAATTATGACAACCTCCTTCAACAATGATCATTTCTTTATGTTGGCAACACTCCAAATCCTGTCTTCTAGCTTCTTTAGTAAAAAAGAAAAGGATTCCCAAAGTTAGGTGTGGTGGCACAGGCCTACAGCTTCTTTTTGTCTAATTATAACAGTATCCATTAGCCAGCTTCCTAACCCCGCCCTCTGCACACTCTCCCAGCCTATAGTGACACCACACTGTTCCTGCTTCTTTGAGGCCAGCCTTCCCCAGGAGGACTGGGAGACGGAAGTAGGATCCACGGGGTGAGAAGAGGTGGGGTGGGCTGACCTGAGCTCCTCCCTGCGCCGGCGAATCAGTTCTTCATCTAAGCGGTGTATACAGGCCCCTTCACTTTTGATCTTCTCAAAGTGTTTTTTCACCTCTTCTCTCCATTCAGCCTGAGTAAGGAAAGTTTAACTTCGTAAATACTGTAGTTTCCTTTCCTGATGCATCCACGAGACCACACTAAAGACATTTCTTCCCGTGCCTCTCCACGCTTTCCCCAAACTTCCTACACAGGGTAAGTGAGCAAGAAGCGCTCACGAATCAATGACAAAACACCTCCCGCTTCTGTAACTGCAAGCCCCACGCTCTGTCCTGAACACAGTGCTGTCTCTTTTCCAGTTTCCCCAGAGCAGCGGCCACCAGAAACAGCACAGGGCACAACAATTAACCACTTCTAGGACAAACGTGCTCAACTGAAGTCAAGGTAGTGTACGTAGTATGGAGGCAGAAGAGAGAGCCTGACAACTGTGGGTCACACGTCGGCGAGGCTCTGAGTTTCTTCACATCTGCTACTGCATGGGCTTTGCTTCAGGAAAAAGAATATATGGAACAGACTATGCCAGGGAAAGTGTATGAAAAATAGTACACTGCACAGGAATATGGACTGAAGGGCAGAGGGGAGGGAGGGAGAGGGAGGGGAGCAGGAGGCGTCTCAAGATCAACGAGTCAAGGGACAGATGTCTAGTACACAGTGCAGGTCAACCGAAGCTCCTTCCACTTCACAAACACTCAGTGAACTCTCCTAACGTAACTTTGGCTTTCGATGAGGTAAGGAAATCACTTAAAAAATCAAGGGAGGGAATGAATTTCACATTTGGGTCAGCAACAGGACAACCACACAGTGGCAGAAGTTGGGGGTAAAGAATTTCAGGGAAGGAGGTCCAGAGTGGCTATGAGGTTACACATCTGCTGTAAGCTCACCAAGTGAGAAAGGACACTGCCCTCCATGGGACACAATTCCCAAGTCAACCTCAGATGCTGACCAAGCCCTGCTCAGTCAGTAGGTCAGTTCAATAAAATCTCCATTTAGCTGTTTCCTGGAAACAGATGTGTGATTATCATGGCCAGAGCCTAACAAGGCAACTTCCCCGTGGGCTGGAACAAAGTGCACTCTCCGGGGACTGACTGCTTCTTCACCCTAGACACATGCTAATAGTCGCACCTCTGGATCATGTGCACTGTGCAGTTCAGCTTTTACATTCTGAGGAGGCGCCATGCTGCCTTCTGAAGCACCGTCCCATTTGCACTCCCACCAACAGTTCTGATCTCCCACATCACCACCGACACTAGTCTTTAACAGTCCTGATAATGGCAATCCCCTTTCTCAGCAACCATCTGAAAGAACTGAAATCAAGATCTTGAAAAGAGATTAGTATCCCAGCTCAAGACACTATCTGTGTCAGACAGTCGATGCTGAGGACATCTTGTCAGCGGTGAGAGGAAGCAAGGTCACAGAAGACTGCTACAGTAAGAGCAAAACCATGTGTGTGTGAAACACCCAGTTATTCCTCAGGGAGCAGAATAGTGACAAAAATACAATCAGCCTCCATCTTATTAATCTTAAGAGTTTATCAGAGGAAGCATTGAGAAGGCAATGGTCCAATTCAGGCTGAGAGTTTTAGCTTCCAGGCAAGTAAATAATAGCATATTACAAAGTCAACAGTGCACAGGGCACCTGTGTTCCCAGTCCTCACTAGGCCTTCAGGGACTGCTTAAGCAGGGGAAGAATGACTTTCCCCATTATTTAGATGAGCAGGTAGGGGTCACATAGAATAAAGTCCTGTGTATATGTCAATAAAGCACTGTTGGCCAATAGGGAAGCAAGATAGGTGGGACTAGGAGTCCAAGAGGACTCTGGGTAGGAGAAACACAGGAAGTCAAGATGTAACTGCCATAGGGATAAGAAGCCTGGAAACCTCTCCGGTAAGAGAAATACTTAGATTAGCAATTATGGGATAAATAATTAAGTCAGAGCTAGTCAGTAAGAAACAAGCAAGGCCAACAGCTTCATAATTAATACAGCGTCTTGTATGTTATTTGGGGACTACAATGCGGCAGAACCTAGGCGACTGGTGGGGCGGGGGAGGGGGGCACTAAAGCCACTGGCAAGGAAAAGGCTTCTCTTTACAGCAGGGTATAGAGTCAAGGCCCTCAGCTTCCTAGTGCTTCACTCGGCAGCTCACAATACTTCATTATCATTGGCTGGAGATGGTCTCAATTTCAGAGCCGGAAACATCAATTTATAAATAGTTGAAAAATGATTGCAACTAGCAAAAATTATTGCAACAAGCAGACTAGGGACTATTGAGGGAGAAACGATGTTTCGTGTTGGGAGGAAACCATGGAGGAATTAATGAACAGAACAGACACTACTGTACTCTGAACTCTGTTCTCACTCCTGAGAGTCCCAATGTAAGGGGATGAGATGGAGTCTTGGGGAGGCCAGGAGGTGTCTGTGTTTGGTGTGGGTAAGTATCCTTGGACTTGCCAGCTCTTTACCATGAAGAACACTGAAATAGAGTGTCACCTGTGAAGCAGGACTCATGGTCTTATTATATCCGATGGGGGCTTGGACTTTCACACACATCCTAAGTTTGTGCTGCTGACAAACCCCCATGGATAGTAATCTAACCTGGCAGCCCATGTTACAGAAGTTGCCTGGAGTACTGTTCTCTCCTCTCCTGGCCCCAAAAGAACCTTTAGTGAGGTCAGCACTTACTTTGTTTTGATAATTGACCCCCTAATGAAAGTGAGTTGGCCCGTTGGGGGAGTGACTGGAGGTACTTAGTTTCCCTGTACAGTGCTTTGCATATGGGAGGTTTTCAGAAAAGTTAACACTGGCTTGAGAGCATTGAAATAAAACCTTTTCTAAAATTTATTTATTTTTATATGCATCGGTGTTTTGTATACATGTATGTCTGTGTGAGGGTGTTATGTGGGTGCTGGGAACTGAACTTCTGGAAGAGCGACCAGTGCTCGTAACTGCTGAGTCATCTCTCCAGCCCCTTGAAGTAAAATCCAAGAATTTGAAATTTTCCAAATATACGTATTGTTAAATTGCTGCCTCAATGGCTTTTGACTTAGTGCTTCCACCAAAAATTGATTTTCAAAGTTGTGATATTAGGCAGTTTGCCAGCAAAGGGAGCAAAGCTATTTGCAACCATATCCTACATTTGACAGATTTCCCAGATGCACTTGCTGCTCGTTTCACTAACACACACACACACACACACACACACACACACACACACACACACATCACATCTGGTTTCTGACACTGTGTCCCACGTATGTGTTGAAGACTCTGCTTCAACTGGAGTCCATCTGAGTGCATCACAAGAAACACACAGGAGTGCCATGAATACGCCTCCTTTGTTTTCAAGGCCCATGGCAGTTAGAAGTAGACATCAGAATCTGGAGCTGGAGTTACAGGTGGTTGTGGGCACTTGATATAGGTGCTGGGATCTGAACTCAGGTCCTTTGGAAAAGCAGCATGTTAGCTGCTGAGCCATTGCTCTAGCCTCAACATTTCAAATTTAAAATTAAAGTCTTCAATCCATTTTGAGTTGATTTTTGTGTAGGGCAAGGGTGTGGATCTGACTTCATCCTTCTGAAGATGGGCATCCAGCTTTGCCAGCACCGTCTGTAGACTAGATTTTCCTCTTGGCCCCCAGTGTATGTATGTATTTGTAAAGATGAAGCTGCCGTGTATTTCTGACCCCAGTCCACTGGTCTACACGCCAGCAGGCGCTCCTTGCTATGTGGTTCTGAGGTGTATTCTGAGGTAGGGTGCCACAGTGCCTCCAGCAGCATTCTTTCTGCTTAGGACAGCTTTGCTTCCTTATGATTCCGCATGAAGTTTAAGAAGTTTTCCTCTGTGAAAACATCACTAGAATTTTGCTGGCAATTGCACTGAATCTGCAGATTGCTTTTGTTAATAGGTCCATGTTCACTTTACTAACTCTGCCAATTCAGAATTATGGGAGGCTCTCCATCCGCAATTCCCTTTTTCATTGTCTTAGAGCTTTCATTGTAGACGTCTATTCATATGCTTGGCAAAGTTTATTCCTAGGTACTAAATTTGGGGGAGCTATTGCTAATGGGATGTTCTTCCTGATTTATTTTCAACAAATTAATTATTATTTATATTTATAAAAGCTGCTAATTTTTGTGTATTGGCAAATTTTTCAACTTTATTGAATGTGTTCATTAAGTCTAGGAATTTTCTGGCAGTCTACAGGGTCTTTTAAGCATAGAATCATGTCTGCAAATAGGAATAATCTCAGTTCATATTTAATATTTAGACTTTACACATTTCTCTTATTGTTTTAACTAATCATTTGAATAAGTAATAATAACAACATTGACTTTGAGAAGAGACAATGAACACTATTGTCATGTTTCAGATTTTAGAGGAAATGTTTTCTGCTTTTTCCCATTTAGTATAATGTTGGCTCCAGGTTTGTCATATATAATCTTTATTGTTTTGAGGTATGTTTTGTCTAATCCTAACTTCCTTCTCCAGGATTTAAAATGCAGATTTGTTTATTCATTCATTGTGTGTGTGTGTGTGTGTGTGTGTGTGTGTGTGTCAGAGGACAACTTGTAGGAATCAGTTCTTTCCTTCCATTGCATTGTGCAGGTCCCAGGGATAAAACTCAGTCATCAGGCTTGGCAACAAGTACTCAACTCACTGAGCCATCTCAGCAGCCTCCTCTAGAACTTCTGTCATGAAGGCATGCTGAACCTTGTCAGTGTCTTTTATGCATCTAGAGAGATGATCGCGTGCTCTCTGCTCTAAGCTTACTTTTCAGGTCTATTTATATGGTCCTGAGGTGAAGGAGCTTGTTCTGGAACCATGAGACCTGAGTTCGGATCCAGTGTCTGTGTAACAAGGCAGATGTTTCATAAACGCCAGTTCTGAGCCCCACTTTCTGATTTTCATTGTCCTCTCACTGACAGCCATTCTGACTGACTTGGGTGAGATGCAATCTCAAAGCAGTTTGTTTGTGTTTCCCTGATGGCAGAGGATGCCGAGCACAGTTTCCAAGTACTTATTTGCCATTTCCAGTTCATTGTCACCTCATTACTGACTATCTTGATATTACTTTTCTGGTCCCTTGTTTTTCTGGGTATTAATCTCCATCTACTATGGAGTTGGTAATGTCTCTTCAGTCTGGCGACTGTTTCCTTAGCTGCACAGAAGCTTTTGAATTTCCCAAAAATCTCTCATGTGGCAGTCTTAGAGTTACTTCCTGTGCATTTGGAATCTTTTCCAGAAAGCCCTTGCCTGTTCTTGCATCTTTAAGTATTTTCCTTACGTTTTCCTCTAGTGCTTCAAGGTTTCAGGTTTAGCATGAAGGCTTTTGGTCCATTTCTGTGCAGGGTGTGTGTATGAGAAATGCAGCTTTACTGTGCACATGTGGACACAGCTTCCCAGCATGGTTTCTGGAAGAGGCTATGTTTTTGGCCACCGGTGACCATCAGTGGCTGGGCTGTCTGTCCAGTTCTGTTGTCCACTTGTCTGCTCTGATGCAGCACTGTGATCTTTTGTTCTAGGGTTCTGCGGAATGCAGATCAGGTGTTGTGATGATATTCCAGCACTGCTCTCCAGGGCTCAGAGCGCTTCTGGTAAATTCCTGCACTGCTCTCCAGGGCTTAGAGCGCTTCTGGTAAATTCCTGCACTGCTCTCCAGGGCTCAGAGCGCTTCTGGTAAATTCCTGCACTGCTCTCCAGGGCTCAGGAGCACTTCAAACTTTCTGGTTTTTGTGTTTCCTTATGATTTTTAGGATTGTTTTTTTCTAGTTTTGTAGAATATGTAATTGGTATTTTGATGGGGAATGACTTGAATTTGTGGATCACTTTCAGGAATCTGGCCATCTTAGATTCTGCTAGATTGCTTCGATGAAATACTATGGCCAAAGCAATTGGGGAGGAAAGGGTTTATTTGGCTTACACTTCCATATCTGTAATCCATCACTGAAGGAAGTCAAGGCAGGAACTCAAGCAGGATAGGAACCTGGATGCAGAAACTGATGCAGAGGCCATGGAGGAGTGCTGCTTACAGGCTTGCTCTTCATGGCTTGCTCAGCCTGCTTTCTTATAGAATCCAGGACTACCCACATTGGGCTGGGCCCTCTCTCATCAATCACTAATTAAGAAAATGCCCTACAGCTGGATCATATGGAGATATTTTCTTAATTGATGTTCCCTCACTTCATGTCAAGTTGACATAAAACTAGCCAGCACACCAGCTAATTTCACAATAGTGCTTTTGCCAATTCTTGAGTGTAGAGATCTTTCCCACAATCTGCTGTCTCGGTCTCTTCCTTCTGTGCCTTCACTGCAGTGTCTTTCTTCTTCATTGTGAAGGAGATCTTTCTCTCTGGACTCTTTCTCAGCAAGTCAATCTCGGATGACCAGAATGGCTGCTGACTACTACGTGTGGGATTCCTACCCTATGACATGCTGAGAGTGTGTTAGATCTGAGAGTACTCTGCTGGAGTCCTTTAAGGATAGGGTCCTGTTGTCTTCAGGCAGATATTGTGATTTCTTCCTTTCCTATTTGTAAGCTCTCTGTTTCTTCCTTGGGCCCAGTCCTCTTTTCAGAAGATGCTTTTCCTGTAAGATCTTCACCCACTGGGACAGGGTCTTTGGTGTAGGGTAAATGCCTAACATTGGCTCTCAAATTCTTTTGTATCAGAACCTCATTATTGTCTTATAAATTATTGAGGATTCCACATAACATTTGTTTATGTGGGCAATACCTACCGACATTAGGTTAGACATTAAAACTGTGAGTTATATACGTGAGCATATAAGAAAACATTCTGCTTGTCATTAGAGTTATATCCCCCATCATATAGTTTCTAGAACACTCTTCATATACTCCTGAGAGAAAAAGATTGAAAATAGTAACAACTTAAGTTATTACAAAAATAGTTTCCTTCTTATAGTTGCCTTGAAAAAGTTTCAGGCTCCCCTGGAAGTCTCTAGACTGCATTCCAAGGGATGAAGAAGCTTCTCCAAGTCTCACTTGGGGAAGAAAATTACATTTTCCATGAGTCTTATCTGTAAAGTATGTAGACATCAATTTTCCTTAAAGGTTAGCATAACTTTTTTGCACTTAATTTAGTCTATTTCTAATCAATAAATGTATGTAATAAAATGTCTCTTCTGATAATATATCTTCGAAATGATATTGGAAGCCACTGCAGAGATGGAGTTCACTTCACAAAACTCACCTCAGACACCTAATAACATTTATAACAAATGAGAAAAAAATCATATGTCTAATATGAAATTTAGTATTAACAGTTCAATTCTAAGCTGGGTATGTGGCGCAGGCCTGGAATCCCAGCTAGTTAGAATGCTAAGACAGGAGGAATCCCACGTTCAAAACTCTATCTGTGCTAGATCCCCCCAAGGAGGGCCCCACCCTCCCTGGGGAGTGATGTGGGGATTGGGTGGGGGATCTGGGGGGAGCCGGAGGAGGGACAAGGGAGGAGGGGTGGGAGAGGAAGCTGGGATTGACATGTGAAGCATTCATGTTTCTAATTTAAATAAAAACATTTATTGAGGAAAAAACCTATCTGTGCTATAAAATGAGTTCAAGGTTAGCTTGGGCAACTTAGCAAGATATACGTATGTATGTATGTATGTATGTATGTATGTATGTATGTATAACAATAATCTGAAGTAGAGCTCAGTGGTAGAGTGATTGCCTAGCATTTAAGAGGCCCTAGGTTCCATCCCTACTATTGCCAAAATAATGAGGATGATGATGTAATTTTGTTCACACAAAGGTATAATTTAGGACCATCATGTTTCTTTAGAAAGCTGCATTATTTTGCCTTGTGATCTGGTTAGGGAAAGGGAACTCACTTCCAACCCCTACACATTCACAGTAATAGTAGTCAGGCACCATCCTTAGGACGCCTGCAGTCTTTTCACCCAGTAACCATAACCCTTCCCTTCTCCGGCTCCACGCCCTTACGACCCACTCTTGCAGATGCGCTGGTTAAGAAGTGACTGCTGTCATCAATCTCTTGAGCACAGTCTGTGACCTGTGACTTCTTCAATGTGGCACTATGGCAGGCATGACACAATGCAGCATGACAATCACCTGCACTGGGTCTTGCTTTCTTGATCCACTTGTCACCATGGAAACAAATGGGATGTGAGGAAGCTGAAGCTAGTCTGTGAAAGAATTAGCAGCCACATGGAGGACAGAGGAGCTCTAGCTCCTAGCCAGATGTTCAGCACACCTGCTAAGGTGACCACCTGGAGCCACCTTCCTGGTAACCTGGCAACTGCTTACAGACCTCTAGGTAAACTTGAGCATTGAAAGAATTGCCTAGCTCCAACTGCCTATAGAATGGTGAGCTAAATAAATGCTTAATTTGTTTTTTTTTTAGGTGTAAGTTGTGGAAAAGTTCTGTTTCTTGTTTTCAGCGCTTGTGCCTCAGCCTGAGCAAGGTCTTCAGGAAGAACCACAGTAGTGCCGTCTTGAAGACAGGCGCAGGGCAGTCTTCATGTCCTCTCTCTCCTTCTTAAGCAATGCCACCAGAATTCACCGTCACATTGTCAACTGTCATAATTACTGTTTCACAGCAAAAGGGTCATATCACTGCTGCACGGCTAGCAAAGCTCCTTGGCTGTCTATAGGAGTGTGCTGGCTTACCTGAGACTTGAAGTAAGTTTCCTGTGGGGTGGCAAGCACATCGGCAGATGCGATGTCCAGATGCATGAGTGTCTGCCGAAAGGAAGGCCGGTTGCGAGGCTTACTCTGCCTAAGGGAAAGACAGTGTGTGCATCTTAGAGGGTGTGTCGGGGTGGGGGCTGAGGCTGTACCTGCTTTACGAAATACACATTTTATTCCAAAAATTGCTATATCTCAGACAATTTAGGTGTGCTGACGTGCAAAGGGAAAATAAGACTAGCAGAAGCATCTGCTGATGAAATGGAAAGTCAGGTTCGTGCAGCTAGGAACAGTGAATGGTCCTGGCTCTTGGTTGTCAGGACTGAGAACTGTTCCAAGACACCACTCTAAGCCTTCACTTACTCCCTGAGCAGGGGCTGGCTCTACTTTACAGGGAGACACAGCCCTGATTTCACAGGTAGCAAAATGTCAGGGCCAGGGTTTGAATCCAGCTCTAAGATTCCAGGGCTCCTGTTGCTCCACCACGATGTGATTCCTTCCAAACACTCAGTAGACACGCCCCTGCTCTTTCAGGGACATTTTTACAACTTTTTAGTCAGAAAGTAAGAGAGATTAGCAGGAGAAAGCATCTCTTACCATGTCTGTTTCATAAGGATTTTGAATCCATCTGGGCAAGTCGAGGGAACTGGGAGGTGCAAGCTGTTGCTGCCAACACCCCAGATGATGGCTGAAGAGTCCACATCCTTGTAGGGGATCTCCCCTGTCAGCAGCTCCCAAAGCACCACTCCAAAAGACCTGCAGCAGGCCAGACACGGAAGGCAGTTCAGAGGGATGGACTCACATGTCCGCTCTTTAACTAAAGGCCGGGTAGGTGGTATGTGCTTGTAATCTCAGCACTCAGAGGCTGAGCTGGGAGGATCCTGAGTTTGAGGACAGTCAGGTACACAGCAGGTTTCAGGCCACCCTGAGAGACATGGTGGGACCTACATCACTAAGAACAAGTAAATTTTGTTTAATATATTTTACTAAAAAAAAGTGAGACTTATGTAATGCATCTCATAACGCCTTCTACACTGAACTGTTATTCAAAATAAATCTCCAGTTTACTGGATGTTCACCCCGTTCCTTTCCTAATTCTTCTTGGCATATCTCATATTGGGCACACCTTAGAGACCCTGAAACCAGAATCAACCAGAATGGAAAGCACGGAAGAATATTTCAGGAAGGAGAAACATGGAGGGCAGAAACCAGGAGAAGGTGGGCAGGGGCCTCTGAGATGGTGAGGGAGCACCACTCACCATATGTCAACCTTCTCAGAGACAGGCTCATTCCGGATCACCTCAGGTGCCATCCACGCAACTGTACCAGCAAAGGACATCTTGGTGCTTTTATCACTGAGTTCCTTGGATGTACCAAAATCTGAAATTTTGACTGCATCTGTGTGAGTCACTAAAACACTTTAAAAACAAATCAAGGCAAGAAAAGGATCATTAGTGCTGTCGAGTGACGACTCTTCGTCTTCTACACCACAGAGTTCAGTTTACAGCTCTCATTGCTCTTGGCCCTCACACCAGAAACAGCATCACCTGCACCTGCCAGGCAGCTCAGCTCCCACCACCTGCTAACTTGTGACTTCCGCCAGGTCTCCCCTCTTCTAGGCCCCCCCCCTCTCTCTCTCTCACACACACACACACACACACACACACACACACACACACACACACATCTCATTACAAGGCCACCACAGTATGTGTGTATCACATTCAAGGGCTAAGAGGAGAACCGAGACTTCCCCATGCCAAGGATGAGCACTAACAGCCGAAGTTCAAGCAGGTTCCATCCAAGACGAGCTCTTCTTCCCACAAGAGCCACTTGCAATGTGCCCTGCAACAAGACATGCTCTCCTTCCCATGAGAGCCACTTAGAATGTGCCCAGCAGCAAGCTACTTTTGCTAGTCCAGGTGGTGTGTAAAGTTAGAAAATTGATAGCCTCCAGGACACTGGCTCTACTTATTCAGTGTGTTAGAGTTAATGAGCTAAGGTGCTGCGGCCTAAACAATATAGAGACTCAACAACATGAGTCAGGTGTGATGGCGTGCACTTTAATCCCAGCCCTCCAAAAGTAGAGACAGGTAGGTCTCTGAGTTTGAGGCCATCCTAGTTTATATAGTGAGTTTCAGGCTCTCCAGGGTTATAGTGAGACCCTGACAAACAAAAACTGGACAAACAATTCACCCACCCCCCAACACCCCACAAAAAACAAACAAAAAAATCAACCTACAAGAGTCATAACACTCAGATAGTATCTGATGTAGGAGAGAAGAAGATAGGGAAATTTGAACTCCATCCTCTCCATTCTGTTTGCCTTACCCACACCCCAGCTATCAAATGCTCTCTGTGTACTCAGTAACTTGGCATTGGATTACTTTGGGATACCTTCATCCGCATCTACCTGGAATATAAGACTAGCATCATTTAGGACTTTCTGACTTTAGTCTTGGTGAAAATGCATGACAATTAGATTTTATGGGACAGCTGAGGCAGCTAAACCCATGTGCCAGGTACCATGGTCAGAACACATGATGTTCACTAGACAGAGAGACACTGGAGGAGCCTCTTCTGTAGCAGCGACATGATGTTCAGGAATGAACATAGGTAGAGAACAAAGATAATCCAATACTGTAAGTGGGGCTGGGTCAAGTGCTTGCTGCACAGCATGAGGACCTTAGTGCAGATCCAGCATCCACATAAACCCAGGCTCAGGGACACTCAGGTGGGCCAGACAGATCTTGGGGGCTTGCTGGGCAGCTAGACTACTGAACTAGTAGGATTCAAGGTTCAGTAAGAGATTCTGTCTCAACAAATAAGGTGGAGAGCAATAGGAAAACACACTCAGTGAAACCTCTGGCCTCCACACATACACACACATGCTAGCATACCTGTACACACATTTGTACACAAAGAATCAACACACACACACACACACACACACACACAAAATGAAGTTTTCCTAAGATGAAGGTGGAGTCATACAGGCTATAAATTTAAGCATGCAGCGAAACCTCCTGATTTAGCAAGCCAGATGTATCGTTGTCTAGAACTCACTTTGGTGACTTGAGGTCACGATGTATGATTTTATGAAGATGGAGATAATTCATCCCACTAGCAATTCCTGTGGACCAGTCCACAAGCAACCGTGGTGTGATCTTCCTGCCAGCTCGCAAGACCTCATAAAGTTGTCCATGGGCACAGTACTCCATGATGATGCAATAGCATGGAGCCTGAGTGCAAACACCCCTTTGAAGAAAACAGAAGTACATGAATACAGACAAACATACATGTGTACATATTTGTATCTCGAGAGTGTTTAATAAGGGGCCACTCTTTACCCAAATGATATCAAAACTCATATAGATTACAGTTCTTGATTCTTAAATAGGCACAGTATCTTTTCGGTTTACCAGTTTCTCTGGTATGCACATAGGCAGTTTCTGTTTTATTATTCTTAAGTTTAGATAGCAGCAGCCTGTGCTAATCTGGTGGTCTCGTGTGACACCATTCCATTCTGGGACAGAGCACTCTTTTCTGAGGCTCGGATAGGCTGGGTGCTCTGCTGTTTTTAGTCATTAAGGTACTTTTCCTCTTAAACAAAAACAGATTTTATATGTAATATGCAGACAATCAAAATTAAGTTTTTCTATTTTATGGTTGCGTGTTAAATTTTAAATTACTCCAATTTAAGATAAGTAGACTGAGCACAAAAATAAAGAAAAAGTAAGCAAATGAGTCAAATGTTTATCTTAAATATAGTTCTGTGAAAAATATTTAGAATAAGGATAACATTATGTCATATTATACATCTATGCAGGGGATAGTTCCATTAATCCCTGTAGCTTCCATCAAACTTTCCCTGATTACTCATGTCCAACTGTCCTTTCTCTTCTCTAAGCAGCCATGAGTTCAGGGTCTCTTTTCAAGCAGGCCTGGAGGTTTCCAGTCAGTCCTTGACATGTTTAACTTCACCTCGGCTTTCACAGCTGACAGGCCTCTAAGTACACTGAAGGAGACACGGGCAGGGGGAACGTACTATCCGGAAAGGAGCTGTTGTTTTTCAGGCACGTTTCTGTGTTCTCTTTCATCTATCTGCAATCCTCATAGTGATAGACTTGACCTCTTCCATGTGTATAGGAAAGACTTGGAGTGAAAGGGACTGATTTTACCATAATGAATCCGCACAATCAGGGACAGCGCCCAGACCCAAAGCTAGTCTAGCTTCAAAGCCCAGGCCCCTGCTCTCACCATATTATACTCTGTTTTAAGTTTTTGCATAAACAGTTAGATTGGGGATTCTTATGTTAACACAATCAGTTCACTAAACTGGGAGTAATATTAACTTTGCTCCATAGTTCTGTTTTCAAGATGAATCTATCTTGTAAGTATACTCAGACCTCCCTCCAGGGAAGGTACTAGAGCACTAGGAACAAGACAGACAGTCTTCAGCTGGCTTCCCATTCATGCCCTGTCTCTCAGGCTGTAGGAAGTGGTGGAGAGATTTGGGGTGCACCACGAGATGCTGATAGTCTTCACTCTGCCTGCCCTGAGACTCTCATCAAACCTAGCATTCATATAGTTAGAAAAGCCACTCTGGAGCTGTGGAACTCCATACTGAATCCTATAATTCACCCATGAGTATATCTTTATGTACCCATGAATACCCAGCCTAAATAAGTCCTAGAAAATGATACTTGTTGTCCCAGAATGGAGACACGTCACACATTTCATTTCCACCTAAAATGAAAGGTCCCTGACAGAGTTAGAACTAGAGAAGCAATTAGCTTCACATCTTCTTTCACAATCCCAGCTCCCATCACCAGCATCCAGTCCTTCATCACCCAATATAACCTCTCTTGTTCTCCTGTTTACAGATGACACGGGACCCACATACACATTTGTTCACATACATGGGTATGTACTATAGGCTAGGATTTGTGTATGATGGAAAACTATAGACTTTTTTCCTTATCAAATTCCACAAAGACATTTCAATTACTTTTGTTTCTATTTTATTTTCTCCTTTCTTTCAATCATATTTATTTATTCATTTTCTGGTTTTTAATTTTTAGTCAGAGTCTGATGTATCTCAGGTTGGCTTTAAACTTGCTATGTAGAGGAGAATGACCTTGAACTTCTCCTGCCTCCACTTCCAACATGCTAATATTACAGTCATATATTTCCATGCCCAGATTATGTAGTGCCAGGGATCAAACCCAGGGCTTTGTGTATGTCAGACAAGCACTTACCAATTAAGCCAAATCACCAGCCTTTCAATTACTCTTTTATCTAGGATGCCTAGAATTCTTGATTTTTAATGGAAATGCTTTTTAAAATTTTTTTGGAAAGCTCAGTGAACAATAACTACAAATAGATAATTTATTATTACATAGAAACCATGTGGGGGAATAAGGAAATACATGTAAGAATGCAAGAATGAATATGCCTGGTGGACTCAGCACCCACTCAATGTCATGTAGACACGGTCTACAGACGTCTTGTGAACTTTTCTTCTCACTGCGACAAACGAGGAGCAGTCATCCCACCAGTGACAAGGCTCCTAGGCAGCTAGAAATAACAGCTTTATCATCACCTCTAATTGCTACCTTCTCTTCACATAGGATTGGATTTTATTAGAAACAGTCAGGTTGAGTTTTCTTAAAAAATAAGAAGGAAAACTGACTTGTATTCTTTTACTTTCCTTTTCTGTGGGTTCTTACTACCTTCAAAGGAAACCTATAAACACAGAAAAAAATGTATCAAAATCCAACCATGCCTTCCAGAGAGTCTTGAATGTGATTCAGTGACCAAAGCTACAAATGGCACAAAGACTGTAAACATGACACTGCCCAATGACTCTACAGTGGGTGTCATCAACTCACTACTGTTAGATGTGTAGTGGGAGAAATGAACCCGATGCATTCAGCTTTGTGAGTTGGGCTCCAGAACAGGTACTCAAACCCAATAATGCTGGAAGACGTGGAGCAGGTGTAAGGTTGGATGGGCAAGGTGGGGAAACAGTAGGAAGGAAAAGACAGCAACTCCCTGTCTCCCCTCAGTATAGCTTCTGCCTCCTGTTTCTCAGGCACACTCCAGGGAAGCTCTCTGATCAGTGGCACACAGCTCACTGAATTCCAGAAAGCCCAAAGCCACACCACAGTCGATCTTAGGAGTCTGAGTTCAAAGCTCTTGTCACAGTCTTCCATGAAGGGAAGAAGAATGTGTAGAGAGCACCATCATTTCAGTGAAGGGCAGTGGTCTCCATCTGTCTGTCTGCTGAAAATGGTACCATCATTTCAGTGAAGGGCAGTGGTCTCCATCTGTCTGTCTGCTGAAAATGGCACCATTATTTCAGTGAAGGGCAGTGGTCTCCATCTGTCTGTCTGCTGAAAATGGTACCATCATTTCAGTGAAGGGCAGTGGTCTCCATCTGTCTGTCTGCTGAAAATGGCACCGTTATTTCAGTGAAGGGCAGTGGTCTCCATCTGTCTGCTGAAAACTATACGCCCATTTACTCGAAATTTATTGGCTCTGGAAAAATTACAGTTAGCCTCTGTAGACTTCATTTTCTTCAGGGCAGTTGATGGCAGTTACGCCAGTGGCTGTCATCTGCAGTCCTGCTGGTGTGCTGCCTCTTCTCACCTCCTTTCCTGGCTGTAAGGGTTCTCATCAGGGAATCAAAAGCACATCCCACAAAGCTGACCCAAGAATGAACTCTTTTGCTTTCTTTGGGGAGAGGAATCCAACTAAGACTTATCAGTCACGTGATATCTTTCCTCATGATAGCAATTTCACAGAGGAAGAGCCCTTGGGGCTGCTGGGGAAAGTTGCTTCTAGGTTAAGGAAGGAAAATCTGTAAGTTTTTCCACGTCCACTAAAGCCTCATTGGTTACAGCAAACTATCTCCTAGGAGTTTAAAATGCAGTCAAACATGCCAAAGATTACTTCCCATCTTTTGTCCCACTTGGGCCACAATTGCTGTTCTTCATTCTTCCTCTTTTAAAGTCAGTTTCTTTCCCTTGTCCAGGCTTGTGGGAAGGATGACATAAAGACAGATAAGGGAGGGAGTTCGAGGGAGCGACTTAGACAGCTGTAAGCATAGCTGAGTTCAGCACTTAGTATTTCCAGCCTCAGAGCTGCAGTGTATTGGCGGGACAGTGGTGAGCATAGCTGCCTTCCAACTCCAGTGATTTCCACAGATTTACCCTTGGCCTGCCTCTTCAACTAGGACCCTTCTTAAACTGTGCATTGTAACCCCATGTGGGGTTGCACACCTAAATATAGGGGTCTGGTAATGGTAACAGGTTTCTGAATGTGCAATGAGTAATGAATCCAAAGTCAAATATTTGTACAGTGAATTCGAGTGCTTGACAACTTCTCTGTGGCCCTGCTTCCCTTTGCACTGTGCCTGCTGTTAGCAAATAACACCAACAAACACTGTAAAGGCTCAGCTCAGACTAGAGACTACTCATTATGGATTATAGAGTTTGTACTGTACAATTTTCTGTTCTTATAGAAAGATAATAATTATGGAAAACAAATACTTTAAGCATTTTCTTGTCATCATTCTTCAGCATCTAAGTGCAAATTAGTCTACCTTTGAATTGTACTGTGTTATGCTTGATTTTATTTCTTGCACCCATGCGTGTGTATGTGTGTGTGTGTGTGCGCGCAGGGGTGCTGGCCTATGGGCATGTATGGAGGCCAGTGGCTGATATTAGGGTGTTCTCCTTAAGCACCTCGTCTTATTTCTTGAGACAATGTCTACCACTGAACCTAGGGCTTGTTTTGTCTAGACTGGCCAGTCTGTGACCATCAGGAATATGTCTCCACTGTCTCAGCACCTGGGTTACAGGTATACACCCTCACATGCAGGGATTAAGGAGCTGGGATTCAAACTCGGGTCTTCAACGAGCACTTTACTCTCTGACCATCTCCTCAGCCCTAAAATGCTTGATTCAAAAGTGACTATTTGGGTTGTTGATTTGAGATTTATAAAAGACTATTAAATTCATTTTTCCTTGGGATTAGAACAGAATTTCCAGGGAATTTTGAGACAGCCCTGAACATACTTCTGTCATGTTTTACTATGTAGTTGTATGATTGCTGTTCTCAGCATGGACAGCTATGAAATCTAAGTATCAGGTAACTCTGAAAAACTGGAGACATTCTACTTCCTGAAGCATTATGTAGTCAAGATTTAACTCTTTATGTAAAAGCAAGCCACACATCCACCTGACTAGCATGGGAAGCTCCTTGGTGCTCAATAAATGGTAAAAGCACATGTATACTGGAGAACTGCTAAAAATGAGTTCCTCTGTGACTCGATACTAATTAGTAAATGGTTGGCTTATATGTGCAAAAAAGGGTTGTGAGCAGAAGGAATTTAAGAAACCTTGGTTTCACACACATATTTTGACACAACTGCTTTGTGAAATGAATGTATCATCAATGTAATTGGATTTAGAAACCCATGTTTGGCATTTCTAGAAAAGGAATGAGGCAAAGCCTGAGGTTATAGTATAAAGATACCTGTCTTTATAAGCTACTGTTTAAGAAGGAGTTCTTGGAAACTAGTAAATATATGTCACACAGGGACCACCTCTATTGCTTCAGACGCCAGGACAGTCTTAACTGAGTTTCAGGATGTTGTTTTGGATTACCGTGAATGACTTTTGACATCCTATTGGTGAGGCTGACCTGTATGTAGCGTGTGACAGGACTCTCCCTCTCCCTCGATGACCTGTGTGCATCCTGTACAAACAGCACATGCCCCTGCAAGGTGAACTGGACTAAAAGAGCCTGAGGGTGGGACTCTGGCTTGATAGTCCTTTAGTGCCCTACCAGAGCCCCTAGCACTGTGCTAAGCCTATCAAGGGCTTTGATATATCTTCCAAAGCAGGAACTTATGTGTACACAATGGAGGAAGAAAATAGCTCTATTTCTCTAACAACCAAAACAAGAAACCTCTAAAACCAGTCCCCAAGCAAAGCCAACCAATCGGTTAAATAACCAGACAGCCCGACAAAGCGACAGCGACCTACTTGAATGCGATGATGTTAGGGTGTTTCAGCTTCCTCAGATGCTTGATGTCCGTCTCATTTTGTTCTCTCACTTTCTTGATGGCCACCTCCTCTGCTCGGAATTTGCCCAGGAAGACAGCTCCCTGGGCTCCACTACCCAGCCACTGCAGCTCTGAGATCTCCTCAAATGGCACTTCCCAAGTATCTAGGCACACGAGCGAGAAGCTAGCTCAGAACCTGTTGAGGCCATTCTACAGGCCACTCTGAAGGCACCAGATTCATCCCATCTGGAACGACCATCCCTACCCTGAATCCCACCAAAGGATGTGATCTTCCTTTGAGCCTCGGTACTACACGCATTTTTTTTTTTTTGTTGTTGTTTTTGAGACAGGGTTTCTCTGTATTGTTTTGGAGGCTGTCCTGGAATTCGCTCTGTAGACCAGGCTGGCCTCGAACTCACAGAGATCCGCCTGCCTCTGCCTCCCGAGTACTGGGATTAAAGGCGTGCACCACCAACGCCCGGCACTACATGCATTTTTAACTGCTCAACTAAAGCAGGTTTGAGATCTCAGGAGACCTTCCTCTAGGAACATATACCCTGACACCCCACAACCCGACTCTCCCATACCCTCTCCTTCCCAGGTTAAACCTCATATCCAGTCTCCTTCTTCTGTCCTCACACTCCATCCCTACCCCACTATGGGTGCCTTTTCATTCTTTTGAATGTCTAGTACAGATGCTCAGTGCATCCTCTCTGAATACATTGTCAAAGGTACCCTCCCAACAACCTGGCTATGCAGACACTTCTTAGTGTTTGCTCTTTACTGAGGACTCACACATACCAGAGACTTGCACAGTGATTTGCATATGCCATGCTTAACTCTTACCACCTCTGTATGTCTGGCCTTAATTTTAAAAATCCACTTATTACTATTGGTATGTGTGTCTGAGCATCTGTGTCCAAGCGCCCATGCATGCAAACACCATGTGGGGGTCAGAGGACAAACTTTGGGAGTCAGTTCTCTTCTTCCATTCCAGAATCTGAGATAAATTCAGGTTCTTAGGCATGCATTGCAAGTGCTTTTGCCCACTGACCTTTTTACAATTAAAGATGAGAACCCTAAGGCACAGGGTTGAGTGACTACTCAAGGTCATATGACTAGTACTGCAGGACTGGTCCATTCTAGGAACAGCATCTTCTCCACTCTCCTGCATTGCTGTGCATGCTGGGACAGGGATGGCCCTGGCTATTGGGCACAACCTGTCTACCCACATAACTGTAGTGCTTTCAACTTTTGCTTTTTATTAAATAATATTTTAAACAGTTTTATTCCTGTGTATGTATATGTGTCCCCATGAGAATCTGTCACATACACATGGAAGCCCAAAGAAGGTGTCAGATTCCGCGGAGCTGGACTTAAGGTGATGTGAGTCAACTGACCTGAGTCCTGGGAACTGAACTTGGGTCTTCTTGCAAGAGCAGGGCAAGGGATTAATCCTAAGTATTGATATTGCTGATAACTGATATTATATTTATCTTTTTCTGTATTAGTTTTTCAAATACATTTATCATTTTCATAATGAGTAAAACGTTATTTTATTTTATTGTTGAGACAGGGTCTCAGGTAGCTCAGACTGGCCTCTGTATAATGGAGGATGACCCTGAACCCCTGACCCTCCTGCCTCTACTTCCCCAATCCTAAACTTACAGACATGCACCACCACTCACAATTTAAGATACTATTTTAAATACAACACTGCAGAAATTCATCAATGGGTACTTTTATCTTACAAAACCTAAGAAGGAATGCAGCCATTGGTCTCCTCAATGTCCCTTTCCCTTCTGAACAGAGCATTACTACAAGAAACAAACACAGCAGGGCCAGGAGCCCCAGTACAAGGAGGACAATGACCTCAGTTTAAAGGTCACGAGAGATTCCAGCCTCACCAGCAAATGGCTTTGGACCACTAATGGACGTAGCCCTGAGTTCTTGACTGTGAAGCACCATGGCATCCATCAGGGGGTAGAGAGAGTTACTCAGTATCCAGGAGACAGAGGTACAGAGGTACCCTCTGCAGTTCTCTCAGGTCATAATAAAACGTGATTTCTCATTATGACTGCTAAAGCTTGACCTTAACCGTGAAATCACCAAAGAAGCAAATGATGCCCAGTGAGATTTGGGAGGACTGCAAATTGTAGGCTAGCCTATTGTAAATATGTTTAAGGGACTTTTGCTTTAAAAAAATTTAGTTATTATAGTGAGCATATGAATATGTGCACGTGAGTGTGTATATGTGTATGCGTGAGTGTGTGTGAAGGTCACAGGACAGATTTATGTGTATGTGCATGTATTAATGATGCATTTGGATACAGAGATCTCCAAGATGAGACAAATTAGCCCAAGACTGAACAAGTAGAGGCTCCAAGAACCAAACTTATCTTATTATGGAAATAGATTTCTAGTTGGTTCTGTGAGAGGTAGAGAACAAAACTCTTCTAAAACAAATTAAGGTTAGGTATGGTGAGACATAGCAATAATCCCAGCACTCTGAAGGCTAAGGCAGAAGGGCTTCTGGGAGTTAGAGGCCAGCCTGGGCTACATAATGAATCCAAGGACAGCCAGGGCTACAAAGTAAGGCCCTGTTCCCCTCCTCCCTGCAAATAAAAGGGCATCCTCAAGGCTGTGGGGACCTCTATCACTGAAAAAGAAAGGCATATGTTTGCTTCATATTGTGAAGGTTTTTCCATTTCTGAAATGTAATTCTGCAGCAGCTTTTATTTGTTTTCTGATTTGGGGCAGTGCTGGGAATTGAACCCAGTACCCTGCATATGCTAGGCAAAGGCTCTAGCACTGAGATATAATCTAGAGTCCTCAGTAAGCATAAGATCCCCCTAGAAATGGTTGTGAGCCACCATGTGGGTGCTGGGAATTGAACTCAGGACCTCTGGAAGAGCAGTCAGTGCTCTTAATCACTGAGCCATCATTCCAGCCTCAGCAAAGCATAATTATTAATGGTCATAAATATGTAATTATTTAAATGTGCTTATATTTTTTAAGCAATTCCTTTGGTTTGATAGTTGTTTGCATTTTGTAATTATAAACTACATTACAGTGAATGTGATCTGTTATTTTTTGGTGTGTGTGTATGTGTGTACCTGGGGATGGAGCATCTCGGGGTCAGAAGATAATATTGGGGAGGGGTGTGTATATCTTGCTAAGGTTCAAACCCAGAGATCCACACTTACCAGACAATGTTCTGCCTCTGAGCTACACCCTAGCCCTAGCCCTTTTTTTCCACAGAATGGGAAACGATATTCACTAACCCCAAATCTGACAGAGGGCTGATCTCTAAAATTTACAAAGAACTCAAGAAGCAAGTCTCCAAAACACCAAAGGATCCAATTAAAAAGTGGGCTACAGAACTAAATACAGAATTCTCAATAGAGGAGTCTAAAATGGCTGAGAGGCACTTAAGAAAGTGCTCAATCTCCCTAGCCATCAGGGAAATGCAAATCATAACATCTCTGAGATACCATCTCACTCCTGTCAGAATGGCTAAAATCAAAAACACCAATGACAGTTTATGCTGGAGAGGATGTGGAGAAAGGGGAACACTCCTCCACTGCTGGTGGGAGTGCCAACTCGTACAGCCACTTTGGAAATCAGTATGGAGATTCCTCAGGAAAATGGGAAACAGCTTACCACAAGACTCAGCAATTCAACTCTTAGGCATATATCCAAAAGATGCACATTCATACAACAAGGACGTCTGTTTGACTGTGTTCATAGCAGCATTATTTATAATAACCAGAACCTGGAAGCAACCTAGATGCCCCTCAACTGAAGAGTGGATAGAGAAAATGTAGTACATTTACACAATGGAGTACTATTCAGTGGGAAAAAACAATGGAATCTTGAAATTTGCAGGCAAATGGATGGCACTAGAAGAAACCATCCTGAGTGAGGTAACCCAGTCACAAAAAGACAAACATGGTATGTACTCACTCATATATGGATTTTAGACATGAATCAGGGGAGTGCCAGTCTACAACCCCACTGCCAGAGAGTCTGGGAAACAGAACCTTCAACCAATGACTGATGGAAGCAGAGACAGACACCCACGGCTAAACACTGAGCTGAACTCAAGGAACCCAGTGACAGAGAGGGAGAACTGATGAGCATAGGGGTCAAGACTGGGCTGGTTTAACCCACAGAAACAGCTGACGTGAACAAGGGTTAGCTCTTGAACCCCAGACTGATGGCTGGAAATCCAGCATGGAACTGATCCAGACCCCCAAATGTGGGTGTCAGTGAGGAGGCCTAGGCAATCTATGGGGGCTTGGGTAGTAGATCAATATTTATGCCTGGCATACAAATGGACTTTGGGTGTCCATCCCACAATGAGAGATGCACTCTCATCTCTTATCCTGGACCCTTGGGGGAGGGTCTAGGCCCTGCCCTGGATGAAATGACAGACTATGGATACCCCCTCCCATGGAGGGTCTCACTTTCCCTGGGGGAAGGAGTTGAGATTCGGGGAGGAGGGCTGGGGGGGCTGGTGGGAGGAGGGGAGGAAGAGGGACCTGGGATTGACATGTGAAGCAACCTTGCTTTTTTTTTTTTTTTGGTTTTTCGAGACAGGGTTTCTCTCTAGCTTTGGAGGCTGTCCTGGAACTCACTTTGTAGACCAGGCTGGCCTCGAACTCACAGAGATCCGCCTGCCTCTGCCTCCCGAGTGCTGGGATTAAAGGCGTGTGCCACCAACGCCCGGCTGCAACCTTGCTTCTAATTTAAATTTAAAAATAAAAAAAACTACATTAAAAAAAGACTCAGGATTTTAGAAATTATATGCGTCTCAAACTTGACTAGAGTCTCTGCTCTGAAAGTGGGAGGCTGCTGTGTGTGCCCTTACTGCAAGGCAAGAATTCCTTTTTATTACAATGTAGGGCAGTTCTGGAATTTTAAGGAATAGCATGGTGTCAGTTTGGTTTTGAAGTAGTCTAGTGGCCATCAGACTTATTTAAAAATTGATTTTTTGTTGTTGTTTTTTGGATGGTGGTCTCATTATACTGCTTAGCATTAGCCTAACTATGCTCAAGTAATCCTCCTGCCTCAGCCTCTGAATTGTTGGGAGTATAAGCACATGCTATTGTAGGGGGAAACTTGGGACTGCGCCATTAGCCACGTGGTGCTCTAAAGGCGCATACAGATGTGGTCATGATAGGGCGGTTTACCGCGCCACTAACCACACCTACTTTGGGCGTGACTAGACACACATACGGATGTGGTCATGATAGGGTGGTGAACTATGCGCTAGCCAGTCCCACTTTCGGGCGTGGCTAGAGGTGAGTACGGAGGTAGGAATAAAAGACTGAGCAGCCGAGCCTCTCGCTCTCCGTTTGGCTTCCGGTTCGGTGCAGGGGTGGGCGGGACTACTTGACTCATCTGGGTTGCCGGTTTTCTCTTGTGAGTAATTTCTACGATAAACAGTTCCCTATACCCTCAACAAGTGTGCCTTTTTATCGTTACAGCGACATGCTATCTACTGTACGTGACTCTGACCATCAGACTTTTGGTACTATAAATTATCAGTAAGAAACCTAAACTCACTCACAACGTCGATTATTCATAAGTTACATTTCTATACAACTATATTAAAATATCAGCTATCATCAAAGACCTGTATGAAAATAGAAATCTTAAGTGAGACAAAACAAATGGAAGCTCTAATGCTTCCTTTATGAGCACATGTGTGTACTCGACTCTATACACCATTAGCTGGTTGACAACCCCCAAGTACGACTTTGTTCTATTCGGAAAGGGTAGCCACCTGACCTCACTCTTGGTCTACCCCTTAAAGACTGCCCAGTTGCTGGTGGTGGTGGAGTTAGTGTCGTCCAAGAAGTTCCTTCCCAGTATATTTGTGTTCTAGCTTACCTTGCTGCTGCAGCTTGTAATCGGTGGAATATGCTTTCCCGATGATGTTCCACACGGGTCTGAGGCATCCAAACAGCCCTTCGAGAAAGCCACCCCCGCCACTGCCTGACCTGCTGAACTGAATCTTGATGTCTTCAGTTCCGTTCGTGCTCTCTCCTTCCACAGTGCTGCTGTTCCCCGGAGACACAGTCATCTCCGATTCATCCTGTTCCCTTAGCTGAAGAACACTGTTCTCAAACTGGCTCCTGGAATCCTCGCTTACACTGGTCAACACTGCCGTGGAGACGGGGCTGCCTGTGATATCCATCAGCTCTGGCTGTATAGCCTTCTCCTGGGGGTCCTCGGGGAGCTTGGGCGAAGGGTGGTTCCCCACAGCTGCAGGCTCATTTTGTCCGCTGGAGGTTTTATTCTCAGTCAAGGGCAAGTGTGAAAAGGAGCAGCTCAGGTGCTCCTGAGGGTTGGCCATTGTGCCATGAGGGTGACCCAGGTCCTGAGGCGACACTCAGAGGACTATGGCAACCACGGTCTGATGCAAGAGGGGAGTCCAAAACCTGCAGGGAAAAGAGAACATGAGACCACGCTTTCCTAGTACACACACTGCTCCACTTCTGTCTACACGGCCAGCACACTGAAGCAGGGCTGGAGGGATGCTCAGATGCACTTACTGCTCACCGCTCTTTCAGAGGACTGGGCTTGTTTCCCAGAACCCACACAGCTGCTCACAACTGTCCATAACTCCAGTGTCAGAGGATCTAATTAATACTTACTTCTTCTGACTTTAGCGGGCTCCTGCATGCACATGGTACCCATGCATGCATGCAGGCAAACACGTCTATGCATAAAAATGAATACATATTGTTTAAAAATCACAGAAACAGTAAGGAGGCTGGAGCAGGTTTATTACATGTAATGGAATACAGTGCAGCAGAGAAAACTAACCCATTCACTGTTGTGAGAACCTGTTCATGACATATTAATATGAAGAATGGTTAGGACAATATATTTGACACAGGCTTGAGAACGTATCTAAAGGATACTGAGCCCATATTCAAGAAAAGAGACTGGAAGGATCCATACAAAAAGTGAACAGTTAGACTGAGAAGAGCCACACATTTGTGACTCCACAGTTTCCCAGCATGCTCTATTCCCACTACCTTTTGGTTTGGAGACAGGTTATCATGTGACCCTTTTGCTTCCATCTCCCTCTATTACTAGATTTTCCTTATCACCGGGGGAAACCAGCCTGTTCCGATATATGCGTACAGACATTAGAGATGACTGTTTGCTACAGTTCATCTTCCCTCTCCATTTTGGTGTCTTACACTGGCATCGTTTCTCCTCTGCAGCACTTGGCTCACACGGACAAAAGTCATAGGCATGGCAAGGCAAATTCCTGAACTATAACTGTTTTTTTCATATTATACCCAATCTAGGGCAACACAACTAAGCCCCGGCTTTTTAATTATTCTTTGCTTCTGGTCTATCCATTAGAAACACTGAGGGAGGAATGAACCTCTGAAAACAAAGACTTGCACTAGATTAGTCAGATTGACAAAAATCAATCTCAAATTTGTTGAAAGTAGGATAAGACTCTTAAAGCAAGACACAAATGAAAACTGGGTAAATGAGATAATATTAAACTAAAAAGCTTTTGCATGAAGAGACAGCCCACAGAATGGGAGAAAATATTTGTGAACTATGCATCTGATAAGGGTTAATATTTAGGATATATAAGGAACTCAATCCAATAGCATTAAAAAAATCTGACTTAAAATGGGCAATAAGCTTAAACAGAGAGAGCCCAGACAGTCAAGACCTCTATGAGAAAATGTTTAACATCAAATTATCAGGTTCATGTAAACCAGAACCACAAGGGGCCAGCAAATGTGCAAGGGCTGACTGCCGTCGTGGGTTGTGAGTTAGTATTGTGATTGTGGGAAATGGCATGGTAGAGCTGCAGGACTACCACGTGACCCAGCAATCTGCTACTGTGTATAGGACATGAAATCAGTCTGTCAGAGATGTCTGCATTCTCACATTTACTGCAGCATTAATCACAATACATAGCGACCTAGATGTCCATCAATGGAGGATTGGATAGAGAAATGCATATGCACAGACATTGTATATGATGTACTTTATTCAGCCATAAAAGGATGATATACTATCATTTGTGACAATATGGATGGAACTGAAAGACAGTGTGAGAAAAATAAACCAATCACATTGTGGCAAGACAGGACTGAGCTCCCCATAGGAAGTGAGGGCCCATGGTGACTCATAAGCTAGTCTGTCAGTGCAGCCCATGAACAAGAGAGAGATGTGACCCAATCAGTAGCCTACAACATGAGTAAAATGAGGAAGAGAGGCAGTGGAGAGAGGGGAGAGAGGCACGAAGATGACCCTGATTGGATGGGCAGCACTTGGCTGCCTCTCCTGCTGATCACCAGTTTGGTTCATGGCATCCTCAAAGAACCACTAGTCTTGAGGCAGGTGAGGCTTAGCAAGCAAAGGCTCCTGTCACCAAGCCTGACAGATAACCTGCTCCATCTCAGGAGCAACATGATGGAAGGGGGAAGCTAACTTCCCCAAGGTTCCCTCTGACCTCCACACATCTACAGTGGTGCCTGAGCCCGTGTGAACGCACACACGCGCACACGCACACACACACACACACACACACACACACACACACACACACACACCCTTAGTCAACACATTAAAAAGAAGGATGACTAATCTCAATAAAGATTTCCTCAGTCTGTATTCAGTTACTGACATAAGTCCCATAAAAAGCCACTAACCTAGGTGGGAGTGTGTATGTATCCCTCTCTTGGGAAGATCAATTGGGAGTTAATCTCTCTCTCTCTCTCTCTCTCTCTCTCTCTCTCTCTCTCTCTCTCTCTCTATCTATCTCTCTCTTTCACTGAAATAGATTTTTCCATACTATATATTCTGATTACAGTTTTCCCTCCCCCTATTCCGCCCAGTTCCTCCCCACCTCCCCTCCCAGCTATAACCTTTCTGTCTCTGGTTAGAAAAAAACAGGCATCTAAGGAAGATTAAAATAAAATACGATACAATAAGATAAACAAAAATCAAACAAATTGGAAGACGACAATAAAATGAAACAATAATATCACTTTCCTTGATAAATTTTCTTACATTTCCTCCACTCCTTTCCCCCAAGCCTTTATTCCTCATCACATCAACAGGAGAGGATGTGAACTTGCGAGCCCTGGCTGGGGGTGGGGGACCCTGGCTGAGGAGGGACAGAAGGCAGGAGAAATTATAGGGACCCAAGAAGGGAAAGGAGCTCCCTTACCTTGGAGTCCAATGGAAGCCTCTGCCAGCAGAGAAGCAAGAGTTCCAGCATGAACACCAACTGTGTTAACTCAGCTTCCTTCTCAGCCATTAGCCTGGAACTTTCTAGGAATCTCCCCAGGAAGCTACTAGCAGAGAAAGGGCACCACTAACCCCCATGTAGACCTATTACCTCTGGTTTCACCTCCATAATTCCACTCAAGGCATTCTGGAGTCATTCATTTACCCCACTTAACAAAAGAGAAAAGAAAAAGGTTTCTTAGCAACCTTGAGAGGCCCCGAACTGTTAATATCAAGACGTTAATTACTTTCCCCTACTCTCCCTCGGGGAAGCACATACCCACATCTGGACTCGTCCATTCTCTGAGCGCCTTTTTCACTTAACTCTTGTGCTAGCACGTGTGAAAACAGATTCACTTTGCTGGCTAGTCTCTTCATTGTCAAAGCCACCAATCCTAGTTAGGCCTGACTTAGGGTCCCTAAAAGTCTAGGAGAACTCCCCGGGCTGCTGAGGGTGAGCAGGTGGAACTGTGTCTGTTCCTTTGCTGCTGACGTGGTGACTGATAACCATCCTGCACCCTAGGACCCTGAATAAAGTTCAGTAGGACCAAAACAGGCTCTGTTGTCCTTAAAGACGCAACAGCAACTAGTACCAGATGGCATCAGGCATGTGCAGACTCAGAAAACTTTTAAGAATTATGAGTAGAGCACCTATAATATCTAGACTGACAGAATCACGATATTCTTTTTTTTAAAAGATTTATTTATTTATTATGAATACAACAGCCTGCCTCCATGTATCCCTGCAGGCCAGAAGAGGGCACCAGATCTCATTACAGATGGTTGTGAGCCACCATGTGGTTGCTGGGAATTGAACTCAGGACCTCTGGAAGTGCAGTCAGTGCTCTTAACCTCTGAGTCATCTCTCCAGCCAGGAATCACGATATTCTTAAAGACATCGTCCTCACTTTGGCTCTCAGCTGAAACCATGGCCTCCAAGAAATGGAATTCTCATGCTGCGAGGAGAAAACAACTGAAGCCCAGGGCCACACAGAGGGGAAACTTGTCTCCCAGGAGACCTGCAACCTGTCGGAGGATCTTGCAGGAGAATCTGGAGCTAAGACAATGATGGTTAGTGATGGTGGTCTGTGGACAGGACTGCACCTGACTAGAACTGCTTAGATGTGTGTAACTCTAGCTATTTACTGGAATCTGCACAGCAACCCAGGACCTTGAAGATGGATTCAGAGCATGGGTGAGAGTCAGTGGATCTCTTTGTCCCTCTTCTCGGTGTGGCCACTCTGACGGGGTCTGTATCTCTCTCTCCTCTCGCCGTCTCACTCACTCTTGCTCTTCACTACTAGCTTATGCCTGTAATGGGCTCTCTGAAGACAGCTGAACACCCCCTGTTAGGGACAGCAGACCTTAATAACTCTGCTATCACACTGGAGAGTATGGGGGAGGGCGAGATGGAGACCGGTCATGGTGGTGCACACCTGTAATCCCAACACTTGGAGGTGGAAGCAGGAGGATCTGGAGTTCAAGGCCATCTTGGACTAAGTGAGACCCTGTCTCAAAAAGTGAAACATAACTAAAAGTACTCTGGGGTCAGGGGAGGGCTGACTGCCTTTGTGTTTCCTCGCTATATAATCTGCCCCCTAAAGAAGGCGTGAAGACAGATCTTCAGGATGCTCATCCAGTCTTCTCTGACCGTGGTTCTTGAAATAAATGCAGCCTAAAGATTCAACCTCTGGTTTTTCCTGTGTAGCCATCAACAGGGCTCCTTGCACAGCTAAATTATGTTGAGTCAGCCCCTGTAATAGCCATTTATTGCCCATCTCTGTGTGTGATCTAACATTATTGTGACTGATAGCTAAATCCTTTGGAAAGTGTGAACAGACCCCAAGGCTTAGAATGTTGTCAGGTAATATCCAATGAGTCATGAACTTTGCTAGTAAATGGATAAAACTCAGTGAGGTAACCCACACCCCAAAGACAAACAGGGCAAGTGGACTCTTATTTATGGGTGTTCACTCTGAAACCTTAGAAGTCAGTTTATAACCTAAAGTCACCAGGAAAGTAAAAAAAGGACCATAGTGGAGAAGATTTCTAGTAGGGCACAAGTGCTCTGTGGGTGTGCGTGCGCACGCGCATATATGTGTGTGTGTGTGCTAATACTTTATGGGAAGAAGGAAAGTCAAGGCTGAGAGGGAGAGCGTTGAAAAAA